AGCCGTACGGGATTTCCATGTTCGAGCAAGTGCAGATCCGAGGGTGGATGGGTATCGCCATTGCCGTGCAGGCCCAGCCCGTTGTGGTGTATGTCGAGGCTCGCTCCGACTCGTTTATCAAGTTCGTCGGGGTACGTTTGCTTTGCGTGCGTCTGCCGCTGCGACACTCTGCCGCGTTCTCTTTCGCTTGTGCCCTCGACAACTCTCTCAGTAGCGCAGTCCTTCTCGATTCGTGCTCGGTTGGTTTCTATTCATCTCGTTTCCTTTCTTTTGCTCTAACCACAGCTCAAGTCTTGGTTTCCTTTCTGTATGTTGAATGCCAAATCTTGGAATGGCTGCCTGCCATATGGCGCATGCGTGTATGCATGCAGGGATTCGTGTACAACGACCCGGAATGCTTCTCCACTCAAGTGGTGGACCATCTGGTGGTGGTGGTGGGGTTCAACCTGCTGGACGCCACGCCCCACTGGATCATCCGCAACTCATGGGGCCCATCGTGGGGCGAGAACGGCTACATGAAGATCGCCATTGCGGGCGGCCCCGGCGTCTGCGGCATGAACACCCTTCCGGCTCTCTACCCCGTCCTTTCAAGTATGATGCGAGGAGGAGGCACCGTGTGTGTGGTGTGGATTAATTTACGGCATGATTCGCAAAGCATCTTCTGTATCCGATCTGATCAAGTATATGAGCGCTTTCCCCGGCCTTCCGAGTTCATCGCGTTGCAATTCAAAACCTGCCCTTTGCCCTTGCATGTATCGTCCTTGTCCCTTATCCAATCTCCCCTCCCCTCTCTCCTTTCTGTCTCCTGTTCCACCTTCCTGCCCCTCCCCACCCCCCAGCCCCGGACCCATGTGCGCCCATCAACCCCTGTGGCAGCGGCACATGCATGGTGCTCAGGCCAAAGCAAAATGGCGGCATGCGCAACAAGTGCACGTGCCCCTCGGGATTCATCCCCGTTACCAACCTTGACAAGACGCAGACCTGCGCCGTCGGTACGTGCATTGCGCTGGGTTACGTGCACGAATGAGCCGCCTGGAAAAACAGACCTGCGCTGTTGTTGGCTCGCAACCGAATGTGGGACTTTTTCTTTCTTTCTTTCCTCCATTTTTTTTTTTTTGTGTTTTTTTGTGTGTGTGTGTGTGTGTGTGTGTTTTTTTTTTTTTCCAAACGTGTGTGCTGCTTCTCCGAGCTACATTCCCGCTGGCAATATTTCCCTGCACATTTTATAACATCATTCCTCTTCCTGTCCATCCTCCCTCCCTCCCTCCCTCCCACCTCACTCTCCAGCCAATGTCTGCTCCTTCTCCGCACTGAACCCGTGCGGCTTCGGCACGTGCATTGACGACAGCAAGGGCGGCTACTCGTGCCTCTGCTCGCCAGGCTACGTGCTGGGGCAGCGCACAGACACGTCCCCAACGTGCATTCCGGGGAGCGTGATGGTGAAGGTGACACTGCAAGTGGACATGACATGCAACCAAGTGCGCTCCACGTTTCTCATCTCAGACAAGGAGTTCTCCTCTCTCAACCCTGTAAGCTCTCCTCTCTCAACCCTGTAAGCTCTCCTCTCTCAACCCTGTAAGCTCTCCTCTCTCAACCCTGTAAGCTCTCCTCTCTCAACCCTGTAAACTCTCCTCTCTCAATCCCGTAAGTTTATTTGTCAACTCAAATGCCGCTTCAGGTGGACTGTGGACATGACATGCAACCAAGTGCGCTCCACCTTCTTGGTCTCAAACGAGGGATTCTCTTTCTCTGAATTTTTTGTCTCTGATGTTTTTGTCTCTGATTTTTTCGTCTCTGAATTTTTTGTCTCTGATTTTTTTGTCTCTGATTTTTGTCTCTGAATTTTTTCGTCTCTGAATTTTTTCGTCTCTGATTTTTTTGTCTCTGATTTTTTTGTCTCTGAATTCCGTGAGAACTCCTTCTGGTGCATTCCCTTCAGCCCTCCCACTTGGCTTGCTCGCCATGCAAGTTACGCTCTGGACGTCAGTCAGTCCTTCCCTCCCCTCCCCGTCTCTCTTCTCTTCCCATCAATCCCTCCCGGTCATCCCTTCTCTCTCATCGCATCTCTCACCCTGCCTCTCCCGCCTCTCACCCCGTCTCATTTCCCGGTCTCCCCATCTTTCTCTCCCTTCCCGCATCTCTCCTCTCTCTCTCTCTCTCTCTCTCTCTCTCTCTCTCTCTCTCTCTCTCTCTCTCTCTCTCTCTCTCTCTCTCTCTCTCTCTCTCTCTCCAGGGAATTGACTGCCCGAGCACCATCCCCGCAGGCACTGTGCTGGTGGTGCAAAACGCCAGCTTTGAGACGTCTCAAAAATCAACCCCTCACGGTTACTTTGTCTCTCCTGTCGCGTCTCTCCCCTCTACTCTCCAGGGAATTGACTGCCCGAGCACCATCCCTGCAGGCTCTGTGCTGGTGGTGCTAAACGCAAGCACGTCAGCTACAGGCTGTGTCGTGCCCTACACAATCATCGATGTATGCTCCCTGCACGCACGCACGCCTCACTCACACACACACCCACTCCTGCACCCACACCTGCACCTGCACCAGATAAGACCTCCGCAGCCCACCTGTTTGCTACTAACAGCTACAGGCTGTGTCGTGCCCTACACAATCATCGATGTATGCTCCCTGCCCGCACGCCTCACTCACACACCCACTCCTGCACCCACACTCCCATCGCCCCTTCTCTGCCCTTCCCTGCACTGCCCTTCCCTTCTCTGCCCTTCCCTGCACTGCCCTGCCCTTCTCTGCCCTTCCCTGCACTGCCCTGCCCTTTTCTGCCCTTCCCTGCACTGCCCTGCCCTTCTCTGCCCTTCCCTGCTCTGCCCTTCCCTTCTCTGCCCTGCCCTGCCCTGCTCCCCCTCTGCTATCCTCCGCTGTCACTCCTCTGCTCTCCTCTGCCCCTGTTCTGCTCACCTCCGCTCCCCACCTCTTGCCTCCTTTCTCCTCTCCTTTCCCTGTTCTTAAACCACCTCCCTATTGGTCTTCCTCTGTTGACCCCTCCCACGCTGAATGACTCTAATCAGGGCGACACATGCACACTCGTGGCCAGCACCTTTGGCCTCTCGCTAGCAGAGCTCGCCACTGTCAACCCAGGCCTCAACTGTGACGCACTCTCCACAGGACAGCAGGTAATTTACCAACTGCCCCAGACACGAACATGTAGAGTTGTTGTGATTCGATTCTTTAGAGCAGCTTCGGTCCTTTCTCCAACTCACGGACCTCTCTCTACCTCGAATTGCCGTCCTCTCTTCTCCCCGTCGTGTTTCTGAGAAATCCCCTTCTTCCTTTCCAATCTCTCTCTCTTGTGTTCCTTCTCACCTTTCAATTCTCCCCTTTCCACGCATTGTTGCTCCCCCTGCCCCCTCTGCTCTCCTCCTCCTCTCCTCTCTGCCCCATACCAGGTGTGCATCAAGCTGGGAGCGCCACTCCCGCAGACCTGCCTCAACACCTACACAGTCAACCCCGGGGAGACGTGCAACGATGTGATGATCAACACGTACCCGCCCATCTCAGCCACGCAGCTCTATCAGTACAACCCCGGGCTCATCTGCGCTGCCGACGGCTCGCAACGGCTCGTGGGCCAAGAGGTGAGAGAGACAAGGAGGAGGTGGGGGTTGTTGGACTTTTGAGTTGTCTCAGAGGTCATCTCAGCCATCTCAGCCACGCAGCTCTACCAGTACAACCCCGGGCTCATCTGCGCTGCCGACGGCTCGCAACGCCTTGTCGGCCAAGAGGTGAGAGGCGAGGAGCAGGAGAAGGTTGCGGGATGAGGGGGGAGGGAGGGAGGTGGGGGGTTGTGGGACTGGAGGAATGGGGGGGGGGAAGGCAGGGGGGGAAGGGGGAGGGGAAGGTGGCAGGGAGGTTTTCAGTGTAACCACCTTGTGCAGTACTTGATGTAACCACTTTGCTTTCTTGCTGCCACTCTCCCTCTTCCCTTCCCCTCTCTCTCCCGCCTCTCCCCTTTCCCTCCCGCCCCCTCCCCCCCTCCTCCCCCCGCCCCTTTTCTCTCTTCCTCCTCCCCTTCTTCAAATCCGCCTCGTCCTCTCTTTCCACCCCCCTCTCCCGCCCCCTCCCCACCTCCCATGCCCTTCCAGCTATGTGTAAACTCTGCCCCGATCGTGGGAGCATCCTGCACGTACGGAACGTACACAGTGGTCAAGGGGGACACGTGCGGCGGCATTGTTTGCAAGATCTGCAAGTGCAGCAGCACCAACTTCAATAAGTTTAACTACCCCTACGTGTGCACGTCCGGAAGTCTCTACGTCGGCAGAGTGCTCTGCAAATGCCCCCCTTAAAACCTGTGGAAGGATTTTGACGAGGTGGGGAAGGGGGGGGGAGGGGAAGGGGGGGGGGAGGGGAAGGGGGGGGGAGAGAGGGGGGGGGGTGTGGTGTGGCAAGGTACCAGTTTACCTGAGCTTGACACTTACCCTACCAGTCGTGCGCCAAGAATTCGGAAGCTTCAAGATTTGCCCGGTGGTCGCGGTCGGGTTTTTTCTCGGCTTTCACTTCATCCTTTGATTCTACTCCCTAATTATTTATTTCGTTCGTTTGCCTTTTTCCGAAGGAGGTTGTACCTTAGTGCGGTAGCGCATGCACCTCTTCTTTCCTTCGGAGGATAATATTATTTCATTCATTGGTGTGGGATGTATAATTGCTGGAAATAAATAGATACCTAGTTGTGTGCAAGCTAGAGTTCCGTTCTGCACAGTGACGCAACTAACTAGACCGCAGAGAACGCATAGGAAAAGTACCACCTGACAATACACTTACGGTAGCACCCCTTTGACTGAGCTGTATCGTGCAATGCAGTGTACCACCACATGTGTTATTTTGGTGCAATAGTTTCGCAAGCTACTGTACTATTGATACCATTCTGCTATGCATCCGCCCGCACACATACTCTTGCTAAGCATCCCACATAGAATTCTCCATGCATAACCTCCCTCGGTTCAAACTTCAGCCCACCCTTTCCTCTCACTCAGTTCAACCCCCTATTGGATCATCTGTGTGTGCGCTTTTCCCGATTCCTTTCCGGATTCCATTTGGTCACTCTCAACATAATCACCTCCTGTTTTCTCACATCCCCCCTGCCACCACTACTTAGACTTTCGGCACTAGTGCTGCTGCCGCCGCCACTACAGCCAACATAGCCACCGCCACAGTCGCCACTGCCCCCTCTCCCACTCTGCCCACCACGATCCCCACCACCACTACTGCTGCTATTGCAGTTCTGCCTGCCCTGCTTGCTCTCACCCCTCTCCCCACCTTCACCAATACATGCCTCTGTGATTCCAATCCCCGGCATGTCCGCTTGAAGGCCCGCATGGCTTTTCTCGTCAGCTTCCTCTTCATCCACATATGCAATCAATAGTTTCTGCAAAACAGCAAAGGTGGAGCAGCGCAAGAAAAAAAAAAAAAAAGGCAGAGGAGGATTTAAAGGAAGGACTGGACACCGAAAACGGGTTGGGCCTAGGGAAGGAAATGTCAGAAAGCAGGGGGCTGTGCAGTGCTTCTAATAGCTACTTCAGTTAAAGACTCCCCTTTTCTTGTATATGCAACTGGCAGTTCCTGCATTAGAAAGAATGGCATCAGCTGTTTACGGAGTGGGGGGGGGGGGGGTTGTGACAGGTCCTAGGTCACAGCAGGAATTTGTAGATAACTAAGCTGGCTAAAAAACAGGTTCCAAGCTTGCGCAAGAAGGAACAAGAAGAGTTAGAGAAAGTCTGTGCATTCCTCCTTAAAAAGAAACCAAGCATTACTACCGCATGCAATTGCGTCGCACCGTTTGCTGTTGTGGCTCAAACGCGAGAACCACTGCCTCTTACACCACCAGGTATTGCCTCCACAAGCCCTTGCTTGTGCCTACACACACTCTCATATTTGAGTGGGTATAAACGAGCAAGAGAAGCAAAAAAACAGCAAAAAAAGGCGAGGCAGCAGAGCAGCATACCTTGGCAACAGTGGAAGCAAGGCGAACAGTGGCATGTAGATCATTCCATGTTGGAATGGGATTGCTGAGCCCTGGACCATTGACCAGAACCATGAAGCTGCACCGCAAGCCATGGCAGCATGCACAGAGAGTGTGCAGGGAAAAGTGGGGAAAAGAGTACATGGGAGGGGTAGAACAGGGGAAGGGAGAAGCTGGAAGGAAGCAGAACGGGCTGTGGAGACGCATGCACACATGAGAACAAAGTTGTCGAACATCGAAGGAGGAGCGAAAAGAACAGCAGGTCAGGCAGAAGTCGCAATGTCGCAATGGATAAAAGCAGGCGCGGACGAATATTGTCTGTTGCGGAGGAGAGTGGTGTGAATCTTACTTGGAATGCACCAGAGCAGGGTGGTGTTGGTACGCTGTGAAATGGCTGCCAAACTGCAACCCTGGTCGCACCACCCAGTTCCTCCCCCTCAACTGCCCATACACTGCTGCCATCGCCCCAAACCCTCTCCTCCACACCTCACCATACTGCACCAACTCCTGCTCTTTCACCTCCTCCCATGTTGCTGTTGGTCCAAGGGAGTGCTTATCTCCCCGGCTGCTATCTCTGCTAGGACAACCGCTCCAGTTACCATCCCCACCACTACGATTTCTCCTGCTGACATCTCCTGTGTTGCTGGTCTGCTGAAACCCTAGCTGCTGACTTGGTGTGGCTGTTGCATGCTCGTCCCTTCGTCCCATGCTCTGCTGCTCCACGCTTTGTTCCGAATCTCCGTCCCAAGTCGTATGCACGTTGGGATGATTGTCCACACACACCATGCACTTGACACGAGTGCACAGAAACACCAGCTCTTCAAGTGACAGCAGAACTATGCGAGCTGGAAGCTCGTTACTCAGACTTCTGCTGATGCTGGTCGTATTGAAGCAATCGACGCTTCTTGTCTTGGTGCTACGCTGCAAGATTTGGCGAATTGACGGGAGCATCCCCACTGCAACGCCTGCTAATGTCACGGTTGTTACTGCCACTAAGGCCACAGCAGCACTGGCAGCAGTGGCGCCTGGGGCGGGAGCAGCTCCACGAAAGCCTGAAAGCCAATGCAAATTCAATTTATTGCCACTCTTGGCTCGAAGAAACAGCAAAAGCAATGCTCCCCCTGCTGCCGCCACTGCTGCTGCTCCTGCCGCTGCGGTTGATGAAAAAACGGCCATGTCCCCCTTGGCTGCAATAGGAACAGGGATAACATGTGGGTTTAGAAACGAGAAAATGTAAGAGACGTGACTTGCTCGCCCCGTCTGTGATTGAGAGAGAGACATTGGGTCTTCTCAGCATCACAACACAGGTCGTTGCGAAACAGCTCAAGCTGAGACCAGCACGTGCGTAACAACGTTCGGGTCCAGAACGTCCAGGGACAAATGGAATCTCCCACCTCTTTCCGTTGACACTGTTGTGGAGATAGTCACCTGCTCGTGCTACTGATTCTTCCTGTGTTCTAAGACTTGCAGCGCTCTCTGCCTCCTCAGCTGCTCGCAAGTCACTATTGAGAACCGTCGCTACCCCAGTCGATTCTTCAATCATTCTTGTTAGTCCCCCTCCCCAATCTCCCATCTCTCTCCCAAACGCGGCAGCTTCTAAGACAGCCGCTTGGGTAGCTGTTACTTCTGCTACCACTGCTCCGTCAACCAAATGAACTCTCAAAGGCCCGAGTCTAGCCAAATCCTGGAGCAGCGACGGCATCGGTTGTGCCTTGGCTGCTTTCGCAGCTCCTTTGAGCTTCCATTTCGCTAGAGGAGTTAGCGCAACGGAGGCTGGGGGTCGCATCGCGCTTGTCAGACCGCACGAGGGAGACGCGGACACGGCACGAGGGAGACGCGGATATGACGAGAGTGCGGAGTGAGGAGGATACTAGTAGGCAGATTGTGACCTTGTAAGTGGAAACAACCAATGAAGTCGCTGAGAGAAGTTCGGAACCCTGGACAAGCTGTCGCCAAACAAGCAACCCGATAATTTTGTAATGCTACCTCCAGGATAATTTTGTTGGTGCTAGATCACCATTCGTACAACAAGTGTCAACAAACTCGGGCCAAACACAATTGTACAGGAATCTATATCATAGGTTCGTATATAATACCATATTATTACCACACAACACAGAATGATAAATCGTTCGGGAGGAAGACACCTTCCCAAACGGATGCGTGCACAAGCATCAACTGCTTTGGCAATATAGGGTGGAATCTACGTCCTAAGGACTTAAATCTACACATAACAGAGGCGTAGGAAGAAGTCTGAATCAAAGTTTTTTGCTCATTCCTGTTGCTGCCACAAGAGAGGAGAACTCTTGAATGCTCAAGCTACCATCCTTATCGGCATCGTAAGCAGAAAGAAGAGAACTGGCAACCTGCAACGAGCGAAAACGATGTATTGAAGACCATCTGAAAAGAAAAAAAGGTGCGCCAAGTACTTCACGGGTCAAGCGACGCCAACCTACCTGACCCAGCAGCTCTGCAGATAAACTCTTTCCCGCAGTAACAGATAGAAGATCCGTCAATTCCGAAATCGAAAGCTTTCCGTCGTTGTCGCGATCATGAAGCTTCATGAGTACTGAAATGAAGAACCAGCAGAAGGAAGAGCTTGAGATCCGACATGGAAATAAAGATGTTAATGGAAGAGATTTACCGCAGACTTACACTGTATTTTTCCGTCTCTCGTTTTCCGCAAAGAGCGATACATTCCCATGCCGAGGCAGAATTCTAAGAAGCTTATTTTCCCGTTGCGATCTAGGTCCATAAGCGCGAATAGACGAGGGACGTATGGGTTATTGGCTGCACAGAGAGAACAAAGAGTAACTTTGCAGTCAGTAGTCTATCGGCAGGATTGCGTTTGCAAAATATTGCGAAGAACACCAAAGCTTACATAGTTCTGGAAGGGAAGAAAACTCTTCGAGAGTTGCCTCAGTGTTTCGCTTCCCGACAAACTTCTGAAATCTCCGTTTGAGCCTTTGGACTTCTTCATCAGTCACTGTAAGAAAGGGCGACGAGATGATTAAGGGTCATTCTTAAACGGATCACTAACTAGAAGAAGTAAATGCGATGAATACTAACTGTGAGTCTGGATTTTGGCCTCCTCGACAGCAGCCGCCGATATACTGCTGGAATTCCCCATTGTAGACTAACCTACCTAACGGGACGACAGTACTATCGACGATATATATCCTAGTGCATCCTTAACAACATCCGATTAGGGACTAGTTTTCCTGTCAGGGAATAGCTAGCTCGAAAGCGTTAGCGTAGTGACCAGTCAGCTCCTCTTAGAATCTTAGTCGCAGTGAACGCATGAAATTCGTTGTGATGACACACCTAGCCCACGTGACCTAAAACAAGTGAAACGATTAAGCAGAGACAATGAACGTAGGAATGATATTGCTCGCAGCCGTTGCCAAACGATGGCACCACTCTGCTTCCTTGCTTGTGCCTTCCTAGGCTCGAGAAGAACATGGTCAATGGTCCGGCATTCCTACGGAATGGATGTGACCAGAACCGAGGAGGGGTTGCGGAAATGGTTCTGTTGTGGGGGGAATGGACTGTCGAGGCGCTGACATCTCCGATGTGGTTGGGTTTGGTTCAGACGGAGCGCTGTGATTTGCACACGAAAGCTGTTCTGTGTGCGAGAATGATGTGGGCGCGAGATAAGAAATTGGTTTGGAGAGTGCAGACTCGTTTGCTGACAACGGCTAAATGGGTGGGGGTGCGCTTCTGGCTCCTCGATAGATGCAGAAAGCGTTTTGCGTGACTCTTCGATTTTCTTTGTGTAGACAGTGCTATGATTTCACGGAAATTTTAAATCACGTTTAAAATGGGGTTATATCGTAGTAGAATTCAACACAGCAACTTTGGCGTATTTCTGAAATTAAATGGCGTATTCTTAAATCCGTGTAAATCATAGTTGCGCGCGGCAGAAATCAGCAATGTTGACACGGTGTCAGCTCAAGTAGACAAGCTAGCTATGACATCGTGACCACAAATGCACAGGTGACAGAATCAGTTTGAAACAAAATTACACCTGCATCTGAATCGTCGCAAGAAACAAACCCGACCTAAGTTGTACCACCATAATTATCGCACGCCAACTTCCACTACCCGATTTCCAGAAACGCCATCATTCAACAAACCTCGAAATCTCCGACTGTCGATCGTTCCCACGCGAAGTCCGCACGTCCCAAACCCAGTGACAACTGACTAGCCTAGTCTAACTGGCATACCTCGCTCCGTGACGGAGATTGCTTCACAGGTTTCGGTACCTCATATTCCTTGGAGCAATAGCAACGACCTCATTTTCGTGGTTTTAGCCTTTCAGCATTCTCTCGTCTCCTTGTGGGTCATCATGAAGCTCTTGACTCATAACATGTTGCAGTGCACGGTAAAAGGGGTTACTAAAGGTTACCCGCTGAAGATCGAAGCGGTCAAGTACGAGGAGCGTGAAGCAGATTTCAATCCTGACTTCTTACGGCATCTGTTTCCGAAGATTGATTGGCCAGCCCTAAGGGAGGCAGCTGAAGCGGTAGGCTCGTCGTTCCTTTCGTTTATCTGCATCAGGGTAGCTGTTTCCTGGAACAGACGTTATTGCCTTGCTAAATTCCGCAATCTCTGTCCCTGCTTACTTTTGTTTGATGCCTGCAACCCCCATGCTGTTCTGAACCCCATCTCGGTTCTCCCTGCCATTCACTTCACCCTTTTCGTGCGTCTCGTAATATCAAGGCAACGGAATTCGTCACTCTGACAATACCCCTCTTAAACCTCCTCCCTTCAACCCCAAGCTTCCCACTCCACGCTTCACCTCTCATGTCACCAGTTCTTTCTCTTCAGGCCTCTCTTCGTCATCTCCTCCCATTCTTTCCCATCTTTCGGTCGCTGCTTCCTGCCTGGTATGTGCCTCGGGCGATGGACCCGTTTGAGTTCTCTATCTGCCGTGACATTTCTACTTCCTCCCGTGACTCCTATCCACCCATGTGCAGCTTGGTGTTACCGATTTGCCTCCACAGGCAGATGCTTCCATGCTGGACGATGAGGAATTTCTTAAAAAGTTCCACCATGCTCTCATGGAGGTGAGTTCTACGAGCTAGCTCTCTCTCCTACCCCTCTCTCTCCCCCATCACCCTCTCCTATCCCTCTCTCTCCCCCATCACCCTCTCCTACCCCTCTCTCTCCCCCATCACCCTCTCCTACCCCTCTCTCTCCCCCATCACCCTCTCCTACCCCTCTCACTCCCCCATCACCCTCTCCTACCCCTCTCTCCCCCCATCACCCTCTCCTACCCCTCTCTCCACCCCATCACCCTCTCCCATCACCCTCTCCTACCCCTCTCTCTCCCCCATCACCCTCACCTATCCTTCTCTCTCTCCCATCCCCCTCTCCTACCTCTCTCCCTTCCCCATCATCCTGTCTTGCCCCCTTACCTTACTGCGCCCCAATTCTCTCCCAACGTTTCCCCGTCCCTTTTCCCCCCTTTCTCCCTTCCCTCCGTCCCCCCCCCAACCTCGGTCCACCTTCTCTTCATTTTCCCCTCCCCGTTTTTCTCACAACTCCGTCTCCCAGTCAGCGTAGAAGCCACGGGTCCTTTCTCTATTTTCCTCCACAAGCCCATGCTCATCCCCCTTCCTTACACGCATGCAAGTGCACACTTCCACTCACGTCCATGCGTATGCGTCATTGCACTAGTGGACTTATCCGTGACTGTCTTTGCCCTTGAGATTGTCTGTTTGCACGCATTGACAAGGCTCTGTTCTCACTGGATTTAGTGCTGCTACCTCTGATACTCTGCCCCATCCAGGTTCATCTGGAAGAAGGAGCTCTGATTTGCCCAGAGACAGGCAGAAAGTTTCCCGTGTCCAAGGGTATACCAAACATGCTTCTGAATGAAGATGAAATTTGACACTCCATTAGACAATGGGCAGTGGGCACTCAAATGGTTTACATTTTACCAGACTTACTAGTTTGTAAGCTTAGTTTTTAGCAAGAAACCCAACCTGATGTTGGGTTGGGTTGGGGATGCCAGTATGGTCAACTATTCACAAGCTATGGTAGAAGCATGACCCACGGTGTACTGTGTACAGCATGGTCAACTATTCACAAACTGTTATGAGGTCATCCATGGAAGTTGAGGTGAAACCTACTAGTGTGAAGGCGTTGTCATTCACAAATAAAGGGACGGATGTAGCAGTTGAGGGTTTGACACTGTTTACTACCTAAATGGGATCTGGCCGAGTGTTACAGTATTACCACGGTACGTATGTATCAAACTGTTTACAATAGGTAACTCATTTCTATTGAACCATAGCATAGCATGGTGCAGCCACTGTTCTTCCACAGCCAAATACCGTACAGTAGAACAAAGTATCGAGAACAAAAACAACCTGCTAGGGGGTCTGATGATCTTAATGAACCCCCATTTGAATAACAAAATGTATGATTTTGTCCAAGGGGGCTCAAAACGGCACCGTACTTGCAAAACCTTGAAAAAATCTTAATCAGCCAGCTAGCCATCCAGAATCTTGAAGATCCTTGGCTGGAGAGCGGAGAGGCGGCCAGCAGCAGCAGGCAAGACCACCATGCCATCAAAGGCCAGCGATGCAGGCACTGCAGGCACCTCTGACTTCTCCAATTGCTCCTGATCTGGTTCTTCCTCCTCCCTCCCTCCCATTTCCTCTCGAATCTCCCGACGCTTCCCTTGCTCATGTTGCTCTGTCCGTTGCTCTTGCTGCTGATGCTGCTGCTGCCGACTTGCCCGTTGCCGTGGTGCTGCTGCTGTCCTGAGAGGATCAAGCTCGGAAACCTGCAGGCAGGAGCGGGAGGGAAGGCAGAAGAAGAGATCCTTTACAACTTACTCCTGTCACAGAAACCTCACAACAACACTCACATCAATTCACAAGAGCAGACAACTTTTGAGTCGACTCAAAAGGCAGGAGGGCGAGGGAAGGCAGACGAAGAGATCCTTTGCATCATACTCTTCTCACAGCCACCTCGCAACACTCACATCACTTCACAACCGCAGAAAAGAGAAGAGCCAGCAGCTTGCTCTCCGCCTTCAGCAATATCTCATGGATAACCGCTTCAATTCTTGCCTTTGAAAAGGCTCAAGCGCCAACACAAAGCTTCACACTCCCTCGCAGCACTCACACCCTTGTTCTTGTTCCTGAATCGACATTCCAATCGACTCGACAATCCCTCTAAGTTGAACAAACGCGCAGAACTCACCCAGCGGTGCTTCCTGCTGAAGTGAGTGAGAATGAGCTGATCTGCAAGCATCCTCCTAATTTTTTAGAACCATAAAAAATGACACAACCATCAACCCCCCAGCCCTCACATCACTAGCACTCACCCTGCGGTGCTTCTTGCTGAAGTGAGTGAGAATGACCTGCTCCGCAAGCATCTTCGTCGCCACGCCCACAGCCTCCTCCACCGTCGAATGCAGCTTGCCCCGCGCATCCTCCACGTTCTCGCATGCAAACGTCCCCTCGTGCACCAGCAGCGTGCATCCCACTGCTTCCCGAGCGAAAATGTCATTCGGACGCGTGTCTCCAGAGTAAGCAAACGACCATGTCAAGCTGCTGCTGCTCCTGCTGCTGCCGGCGTTGTTGTTGTTGCTGTTGTTGTTTGCACTGGTGTAGGTGTTGATTGTGGTGTTGTGTGTGGCAATCGTAGTGGTTGATTTGAAGGAGGAGTGGGTGGTGCGAGTGGTTGTGTGGGAGGTTGTCTGCAGTTGTATCTGTCGCTCTGTTCGCTCGTAGGTGGCATAGGAACCGAGACCGTGGTGCTGCTTGTCTGCATTTGGGGCTTGCGGGAAGGGAGACTGCTGCTGCTGCTGCTGCTGCTGCAGCTGATGGTGTTGGTGGTGCTGCTGCTGGTCCTGCTCCTGCTGCTGGAGTTGCCATGGAATCTGGTCAGTCTGCTGGTTATGGTTGGCCTGGTAACCCCTCTGCTGCTGCAACGGCTGTGTCTCATGCTGCTGCTGCTGCTGATGGGGTCCCTGCAGCAGCAACTGCCCCTGCTCCATCTGCATTTCCCAAGCACCCATTTCTGTTGCCACCTGCGGCCCTGATCCCACCGCAGGCCATGCCGACCCTACGAAACCTCTGAAACTCCCTGGAGGTCCTATCCCTGGCGCAGCCTCGGGTGGGGGGGCTGTGGCAGACTGTGGCAGCACCTGAAGATTCACCTGGCCCTGTGGATCCACATGCAGCAAGATCGGCACCCCCTGCGGTTGTAATTCCACCTCCAGCTGGATTCGAACTCGTGGCCTCTCATGTTGGTGGTAGTGGGGATGGTTCTGAAGATGTTGTTGCTGCTGTTGCTGCTGCAGAGGGGCACCGTGGACACGCATGCTGACAGGCCCTGCCTGTGTTGCGTGCACTACTAGCTGCCCTGGATAGGGTGGCTCCTCAGTAGCTGTAATCACAAGTGTCTGAGGAGGAAGCTGCTGTTGCTGTTGCTGCTGCTGCTGCTGCTGCTGCTGCTGCTGCTGCTGCTGCTGCTGCTGCTGCTGCTGCTGCTGCTGCTGCTGCTGCTGCTGCTGCTGCTGCTGCTGCTGCTGCTGCTGCTGCTGCTGCTGCTGCTGCTGCTGCTGCTGCTGCTGTTGCTGTTGCTGCTGCTGCTGTTGATATTGGTGCTGCTGCCAGTGTTGGTACTGGTGTTGCTGCTGCTGGTGCTGGTGTTGAGTGTGCTGGTGCTGTTGGTACTGATGCTGATGCATTTGCGTTTGGGGCGGGTTCGACCAAGGCTGCATTTGCATCTGATTAGGCGGCGGCTGGATCTGATTGGGCGGCGGATTCCACGACAAATGCATCTGACTGGCCGGCGGCTGCATGTAATTGGGCGGCGGGTGCATGTGATTGGGCGGCAACTGCATCTGACTCGGTGGCATATGCATGGGATTGGGCTGCATGTGATTGGGTGGCGGAGGCATTTGATTTAGTTGCAGATAAATGGGCGGCGGTCGCATCTGATCGGGTGGCGGCTGCATCTGATTCGGCAGCGGCTGCATGTGACCGGGCGGTGGCGGCATGTGACCGGGCGGCGGCGGCATGTGACCGGGCGGCGGCGGCATGTGACTGGGCGGCGGCAGCATGTGACGGGGCGGCGGCACATGACCGGGCGGCGGCGGCATGTGACCGGGCGGCGGCAGCATGTGACCGGGCGGCGGCAGCATGTGACCGGGCGGCGGCGGCATGTGACTGGGCGGCGGCTGCATGAGACCATGTGTCTGAACGTGAACTGCTGCTTGACCGTGCAAGGTGAGACCTTGCACGCCTGGCTGTGAGCCGATCTGCATCTGCTCGTTTCCTCCCTGCACGCACGCCTGCTGCACCTCATGCGGCATGCCCCTAGGTTGCAAACCTACATGAGGTGAAAACGGGGTTTGAGGATCCTCCAAACGCATCTGCATACCCTGTTGCTGCTGCTGCGCCCCTGGTTGCTGCTGCTGCTGCTGCTGCTGCTGCTGCTGCTCTCGCTCCTCGCTTCCTTCTTCTGCCGAATGAAACCGTCCTGAACCTTTTTCCTGCCTACTTTTCACTCCAACCTCTTCCCTTTCTCGTCCTTGCTTCTCAGCATCCTGGTGACTCCTTTGGCCCTTGAGGCCTTGTGCAGGAGCAGGAGCAGGCAGAGCAGGAGCAGCCGGGGCAGCAGCGGGAACAGCGGCAGGAGCAGCCGGAGCAGCAGTGAGAGGAGGGGGGCCGGACGCTGTGTGTGCGGCAGTGGGGGGAACCGGGCCCCATAGAATCAGAGACCAAGAGTCGGCGCAGTGAATGGCCGGAACAGCCTGGCAGGACAGCACACGGGGAAGGGAACACGGAGGAGCAAGCTTGAGGAGATGACAATAAAAAATATGACTTTTAAGAGACATCGGTGGAGGAGATGGGGGGGTGACAATGAGTGGGAGGGGTTGAGATGGGAGGAGAAGAGGGGGCTGTGCTGAAGGAGAGAGGTGGGCAGAATGGCAGGGGGCAATGGAGGAGAGAGAAAAGGACAGAGAGAAACTAGAACAGCGAGATGTGGACAGAATCGAAAGAGGAGTGGAGAAATGAGGAGTGGAGAGGTGAGGGAAGGAGAGGAATCAAGAGAGGAGAAGAGGGGTGACACGAGGGGTTTATGGCTGGAAATCCAAGAAGCAAGTTAACGCTGAAGCAAGCCAAACAAACAAACAAACAAACAAACAAACAAACAAACAAACAAACAAACAAACAACAAACAAAAAACGAGAACAAGAACGAAAACGAAAACGACGGAAAAAACGAAAACGACAACGACTTTAACCGATTGGTCCGACCAAGGACGGGGAAAGGCTACCTTGATATTGCTCAAGCCCAGCTGCTTTAGCATTCGCTGCTTCAAATAATCCACAGAAACACCAAACTGCTGATGATGCTGATGGCGATGCTGATGGTGATGATGGTGGTGCTGATGCTGGTGCTGCCGGTCCCTCGCCCCTCTGCTGTGCGGCGGCACGGAGCGAGAGAACACACTGAAGTTGCTGCAGTGCACAAAGTGGTACGGAGGGAAGGGCAGCGCCGCCGCCGAATACGCCGCCGATATCTGCCACACAGGCGAGAGAATGGGAGTGGGGTTCGTGGTTGGGGTTTTGAGACATTTCAAAACTCTACAGGCGGTTTTTGAGACTTCTCGAAAACAACCAGCGACGCCATTGAGTATGTGGCCATATCTGCCACACAGGCGAGAGAACGGGGGGTCGGAGAAGGTGGTTTGGGGTTTTGAGACATTTTCGAAACTCTAAGGGCTGTGACGTCGCCGAATATGCTGCCAATATCTGCCACGCAACAAAGAGAAACGAAGCTAGGAGGTGGACGGGGAGGAAAGGAAACGAGGTTGGATTTGATACGAACGTGAGAGAGTGGGGTAGAGGAGTGAGAAAGTGTGAAATACAAACAGGTGGTGTTTAGGAATTAGAGAGATTTGAGGAGAAGGATAAGAGGGAAACGTTGGCCAAGAGAAAAAAAACATCAGAAATGAGCGTTTGAAGAGAAGAGCAGTGCGTGTTGGGGAGGACAGGGGAGAGAATTGGGGTTGGAAGGAAGGCGAAACGGAAGGCAAGATTGGAAAGGATGGGAGGAAGGGGGAGAACACCAGACATGAAAAAAGGAGGGAGGAAGAGAGAAAAAGAGAAAGAGAGATGCATTTGCTTCACCTCGGTAAGCCATCTTTCAGCCAAATAAGGACCAACAATGAGCAACGGTTTGACAGAAACTGTTGCCACTGCTCCTCTGCTCACATCCACATGCGCAGCCCCAACTGCCTTCCACCTCCCACTCTCCCTACCCCACTCCCTCTCCCTCTTCCTTCCGCTCTGCTGCTGCTGCTGCTTCTCCAAATCTTCCGCCCTGCTATAGCTCTTGCTCCTGCCTTTCTGAATCGCCTTCCCACACACAGAGCAGCCCCACTCTCTCTCTCCCTCCTCCTCTTCCTCCTCCTCCTCATCATCCAAACCACTGCTTAGTTTTCCATCCTCCCTGTTATTTGGCTCACTTCCCGTACCCTGCTTGTCACTTACTCCTCCGTCCCCCACCCGTCGTCTCTTTTCTCGGCCATGTCGCTCCCTGTGCTGCTTGCCCTTCAGCAGATCACCTTTTGGAAACTTGCACTGACAGTAGCGTCCAAACCCGTTGATCTTTCTACCTCTCTCCTGAGCCTCTTGGTACCCAAACAGGATCGGCACAAGCCCTAGCATGTGATCCGCATGTTTGTGCGACACCCAAACCACAGACAGCCGCCGAAGCTCGTCCCAAACCTGCCGTTCCCCGAACCTCCGCTTGAGCGCCCCCAGCGTCCCCGAACCTGCATCCAGCAAAGCGTTCTGGCCTGTCACTGTTGACCGAAGCAGAATGCCGCTGGCTCCCCGAAGCCTGTCAGGCTCGGCCGAGCCTGTTCCAAGGAAGGTCACTTCTAATGGGCAAATGGGAGTATTGCTGGGAGGAGGCTCGGAAGTGGCAAGAGGATTTGAAGGAGGGAAGGGAGAGGGAGGAGGGTGAAGAGGCGATGGGGCTTGATCTCTGTTTAGTGGTGCAGGAAAAGCAGCAGAGGCAACTGCAACAGCAGGCGCGACAGGAGCAGGCACAGCAGGAGCAGGAGCAGGAGAAGGAGAAGGAGAAGGAGAAGGAGAAGGAGAAGGAGCAGGAGCAGGAGCAGGAGCAGGAGCAGGAACAGGGGCAGGAGCAGGAACAGGGGCAGGAGCAGGGGCAGGGGCAGGAGCAGGAGCAGGAGCAGAATCAGGGGCAGGAGCAGAATCAAGTGCCGAAGCAGGAACTTTCGCTCCTGCCATACGAGCCCGCAACCGTGGGAAAAGCGGTGGTGGTGCAGCAAACCTCGGAGGGACACCTGCTGCTGCTGCTGGTGCTGGTGCTGGTGGTGCTGCTGGTGGTGGTGCTGCTGCTGGTGGTGCTGGTGCTGGTGCTGGTGGTGCTGCTGCTGGTGCTGGTGGTGGTGCTGGTGGTGGTGGTGCTGGTGGTGGTGGTGGTGCTGCTGCTGCTGCTGGAGCTGTGGCTGCTGGTGCTGCTGGTGCTATCGGCAGCGCAGGGTGGAAAGGCAACGGATGCAAGGGAGCACCCATGGGAGGATACTGCTGACCCATCGAAGGGGGTACTAAGGGTGCTGGTCTTTGAGTTGACTCAAAACTCGGATGCAAGGGTGCACCCATGGGAGGATAACGCTGACCCAACGAAGAGGGCGCCGGTCTTTGCATAGACTCAAAACTCGGATGATGCATGGGCGCATTTAAGGGAGGAAAGGGAGGATACTGACCCAGTGCAGTGGGTCCTGGCCTTTGAGTAGACTCAAATCTCGGATGCATGGGCGCGCCTGTGGGAGGATGCATGGGGGCATTTATGGGAGGATACGGGCCCTGTGAAGGGGGTGCTGCCGGTACATGTCTCGGCTGGTTTTGAGTCGTCTCAAAACTAGGGGGTGGTGCCGGCACATATCTCGGCTGGTTTTGCAGAGAAATCTGCGGTGGTGGTGGCACGTGGTTGATCCAAGAGGCTCGTGCTGCTGTATGTGCTGCTGCTGTGGGAGGTGGTAACTGCGTAACAGCAGGTGTACGCGCAGCAAACCAAGGTGGTGGTATGTGGTGTGGCAGGGTTGGTTGTGGCGGGGGTGGTTGCAGCGGGGGTGGTTGTGGCAGGTGCGGTTGCATCACTGGTGGCTGTTGCAAGGGTTGTGGCAAGGGCGGCTGTGGCAGCGGCGGTTGCGGCACTGACGCTTGCAGCACTTCGGACAGGTTCGGTTGCAGCAGGGGCGGTTGTAGCAGGTTCGGTTGAGGCAGGTTCGGTTGAGGCAGGTTCGGTTGCGGCAGTGGTGGTTGTGGCGGGGGGGGTTGCGACAAGGGTGGTTGTGGCAGGTTCGGTTGCAGCACTGACGGTTGTGGCAGGGGTGGCTGCGACACTGGTGGTGGCACTGCTGTTGGTGGGAGGCCGACCTGTGGGATCACCGGTGGGATCACCGGTGGGATCACCGATGGTGGGATCACCGATGGTGGGATCACCGATGGTGGGATCACCGATGGTGGGATCACCGGTAATGGGGGCCGATGACGAAGCCATGGCGGCACTTCTTGTTTAGAAGGTTTACAAGGTTTAGAAGGTTTAGAAGGGGATCCTCCTCCCGTCATTGCCACTGCTACGGCCGCTGCTGCAGCTGCCACTGTGGGCGATACTGCTGCTCCTGCCACTGCCGCTGGCTGTGCCACTGAGGCCGGCACTGCTGCTGCTGCTGCCGCTGTTGCTGCTGCCGCTGTTGCTGCTGCTGCTGCTCTTGCTGCTGCCGTTGCTGCCACATGCACTAGTGGTTCTTGTGGCGACTGCGGCACTTCTGGTGATTGCGGCACTTCTGGCACTTGCAGAACGGGTAGCAACTGCCGTGCGACGGTCTTTTGCCCTGCTGTGTCTGCTCCAGCCCCCTTTCCCCTGCTCAGAGCTTCCCTTATCCTCTGTGCTGCTGACTTATTGGCCGAATCAGGAGACTTATCGGCTGACATTGAACACCCATATTTTTTCAGTGGCGGTGACCCCTTTGCAAGTAGAGAAGAGGATTCCTTTGCAAGTGGAGCAGGAATTTCCTTTGCAGGTGGAGCAGAAAGTTCCTTTGCAGCAGAAATTGCCTCTGCAGGTTGAGGAGACGGTTCGATTGCAGGTTGAGTAGAAACTTCTTTCACAGGTACAGAAGAAGAGTCCGTCACAGGTAGAGAAGAGGATTCCTTGGCAGGTAAAGAAGACAATTCTTTTGCCAGTAAAGAACTAGTCCCCTTCTCTCCCCCCTCCACCTTTCCTCCCTTCTCCCCCCCATCCACCCCCTTCTCTTCTTCTTCCTCCTCCTCATCTAGTTCTATCTCCTCTTCGTTCTGCACCATAACAGCCACCACCTCCGTTCCAGCAGTACCCCCACCAGTCCCCCTTCTCTCCACCTTTCCTCCCTTCTCCCTTCCCACCTCCTCCTTCTCTTCCTCCTCCTCCTCCTCCTCTTGCTCCTCATCTAATTCAATCTCCTCTTCATTCCGTACCATCACAGCCACCATCTCCGTTCCAGTACCCACACCAGTCGCTGCACCAGTCCCCGCAGCAGACGACTTTTGAGACGTCTCAAAAGTCACCTCCGTTCCAGTACCCACACCAGTCCCCCCAGCACTCCCCGCAGCATTCCCCCCAGCAGTCGCACCAGTCGCCACAGCAGCCCCCACAGCAACAGCAGCCCCACCCCTTCCCTCAGCCTCCTTGACTCCCTCGCGCTCACCTCCCCTCCTTCGGCCCCCACCCTCATTCCCCCGTACGTCCCACCACCACTCCAGTACCCCTGTCCTCCCCACACTGGTATGCCCACCATCACTCGCTCCCACCTGCCTGTCATTCTTCTCCTCCTTCTCCTTCTCTTTATCCTCCTCCTTTTTCTTTCCTTTTCTCTCTTCCTCCTTCTCCTCCTTCTCCTCCTCCTTCTCCTCCTCCTTCTCCTCCTCCTCCTTCTCCTCCTCCTCCTCCTCCTCCTCCTCCTTCTCCTCCTCCTCCTCTTTCTCCTCCTCCACCTCTTCCTCCTCCACCTCCTCCTCCACCTCCTCCCCCCCCTTGTTCTTTTTCCTTTTCCTATTCTTCCTTTTCTTCTTATTCTTCTTCTCCACTGCCACAGCAGCTGCAAGCTTCACAACCTTCCGCTGCGCAACCACAATCCCTCCCTTTCCGGTCACTCCCTTGCTTCCCTGCTCCACCTGTGCAGTCTCCACCCATTCCTTTCCAGCACTCACATCGCTCACATTGGTCCCCGCGCCCCTCCCCTCCCCTGCTTCACCTCGCGCCTTCTCCCCTGCTTCACCTCGCGCCTTCTCCCCTGCTTCACCTCGCGCCTTCTCCCCTGCTTCACCTCGCGCCTTCTCCCCTGCTTCACCTAGCTTTGCCTCCAGTTCCGCCAGTTCCGCCTTTCGCATTTCCAACCGTCTCAAAACCTTCCTCTCTTGCTTGTTAGACAACAGTCCATTCTCTCCCCCTTGGGTCTTCCATCTCTCCTCTAACTTCAGGATTCGTTTGGCCGTCCATTTTATACTACTCAGTATCTCTCCCTTCTCCCCTGCTTCACCTTGCGCCTTCTTCCCTGCTTCACCTTGCGCATTCTCCCCTGCTTCACCTTGCGCCTTCTTCCCTGCTTCACCTTGCGCATTCTCCCCTGCTTCACCTTGCCCCTTCTCCCCTGCTTCACCTAGTGCTGCCTCCAGTTCCGCCAGTTCCGCCTTTCGCATTTGCAGCCGCCTCAAAGTCCTCTTCTCTCGCTTCTTAGACCACTTTCCACTCTTCCCCCCTTTGTTCTTCAATCTCTCCTCTAACTTCTGGATTCGGTGGGCCGTCCATTTAAGACTACGCAGCATCTCTTCCTTCTCCTTCCCACCCTCTGCCCCATCATCTCGTCCCTCACCCCCTTTCAGTGCCTCCTGCAGCTGTCGCTCTCTCTCTTCGTCCCGTTTTGCTCGCTTCTTCTCCTTCGCTCTCTTCCTTTTTGCCATTTTCATGTCGAGTTTCATTCCCTTTTCCCTTTCCCTCTCCTTCTCCCTTTCCCTCCCCTCTGTCGTATTCGCTCTTTCCCTCTCCTTCTCCCTTTCACTCTCCTCCGCCCTTTGCCTCTCTTCTATTGCCCTCTCCTCTGCCCGTTTCCTCGACTTCTCCCTAATTATCGCATTCTGATTTAGTCTCATCTTCGCCTTTCCAATCTCCTCCCTCGTTAACTTTGCCAACTTATTCCTCTCCTTAATCCTTCTCATCGCCTCCGCATGAATTCTCGCCTTCTCCTTTTTCCTCTCCTTATTCCTTCTCATCGTCTCTGCATGAACCCTTGCCTTCTCCCTTTTCCTCTCCTTCTCCAGCGCCCTTCTCCTCTCCATCTCCTGTCTCCTCTCCTTCTCCCTTTGCCTCTCCAGCGCCCTTCTCCTCTCCATCTCCCTTCTCATCTCCTTCTCCCTTTCCCTCTCCTTCGCCACCTCCCTCGCTTTCCCTGTAGGCCTCCAAACCTTCTCCCTATAATCCTCCCTATCTCTCTTCCTTAGTTCCTCTTCCTCCTCCCGCATCGATCTCCCAGCCACCTCTTCCCAAACCTTCACAGGATTCACAACCTCAGGGCACTTTTCATGACTCACACATGCCCGAACCACCCTACGGTTCCCCCAACATCCCCACCCTCTCCCGCCCCACCCCTGCCCTCCCTCCTCCGCTCCCCCCTCCACTCCTCCGAAACCCACTGCTGCCCCTTCCTTGCTCCCGCCCACGCCATTCTCAACCATCTCCCCAACGCCAATCAGAACTTGCATTTGCAACCTCCCAGCCACCACACCACCGTTACTTCCCCCTCCACACCCTAACACCCCCTCATCTAAATCCTCCTCCTCCTCCTCCTCCTCCTCCTCTCTCCCCCCCTCACCCTCCTCCTCCGTTCCCTCCTCCATACCAGTCCTTACACCTACCCCTCCTCCACTTAGCAACAGCCTGGCTCTCGCCTCAGCAACAGCATCATCCCTACCTCCCTGCCAGCCCGGCAGCACCCACGCCCGTTCCCCTTTCCCTTCCCCCATGCCTCTGTATCCCTGCTGCTGCTGCTGCTGCTGCTGCTGCCGCTGTAGCTGCAGCTGATGCTGCTGCTGCGGCGGCAGGGGGAAGGCCGCAGGGTCGAGGGAATGCAGGCGGCACAGCTGCTTCAGAGTGCTGATGAAACCATACTCCTTGGGCCCACCTCGCACCAGCACCTGCCTCACCTCCAGCCGTGGCTGCGCCTGCGAACGCAGCTCCTCCCGAGCCTGCTGGAACATCGGTTGTCGCTGCTGCTGCTGCTGCTGCTGCTGCTGCTGCTGCTGCTGCTGCTGCTGCTGCTGCTGCTGCTGCTGCTGCTGCTGCTGCTGCTGCTGCTGCTGCTGCTGCTGCTGCTGCTGCTGCTGCTGCTGCTGCTGCTGCTGCTGCTGCTGCTGCTGCTGCTGCTGCTGCTGCAGCTGCTGCTGCAGCTGCTGCTGCTGCTGCCACTGCTGCTGCTGCTGCTGCCACTGCTGCTGCTGCTGGGCATTGCTTTGATTTCCAAGACCCGCAAACCCTACTTTGGCAGGGTTTGACATTGGCTGGGAGAGGCCACATGAGTCAGGAACAGTGAGCCCCTCTGTGAGCACACGTGGCGTTGCCAGCCTGTCAACGAGCATGCGATGAGCTGGTGATGCCAGCACAGCGCGCGAGCTGAGGTGGAAGGCCACAGTGAGAGGGCCAAGGGCTGCTGAGGTGTTGACACTTGGCAGCATAGACACAGACACATGATCAGCATGAAAGGCACGAGTAGCCGATGCTGCAGAGGCAGAAACTGCAGCAGCGGCACCAGCAGCGGTGGCGGCGGTAGCGGCAGCAGCAGCAGAAGTCTTATCATTGCATGCAACACCACCAACAGGAGCAGTGGCTACAGTAGCAGCGCTACAAACTCCTGCCTTACCTCCTACCTTGAACCCACTACCACAGTGGCACAACCTCCTCTTTCCTCTCTTCCCACCCACCCCTCCTTCTGCCTCTCCTTCTCCCCCTCCCCCTCCCCCCTCCCCCCCTCCCCCTCCCCCTCCCCCTCCCCCCCCCCCCCCCTCCCCCTTCCCCATCAGCACCCTCCTCGCACCCACTGCAAACCGACGCGATAGGAAGCAGCGCAGCAGCTTCCTCCGGGCTGCTACAATCTGTCACAAGCACTGCAGTGCCAGCCTGCTTGAAGAAAATCACATAGCCCACTAGCTGAGGCACGATCTTCCCAGCCATGGCCATGCGCTCGCGCCTGTTCCCCCCACCACCCCCACTGTGCCCCAACCCGCCCACCAGAGGGGTATAACTCGCAAATGGGTTGCTGATTACAGAGAGGGGGCTGAAGCACCCGCGGGCAACAGCAGCCTTTTCGGCGGCAGAAGAAGCAGCAGATGCTGCACGGGCAGCAGCACGGGTAGCACGGGCAGCAACAGGGTCTGCGGTTGCATTCGCGTTGCTCGCTGCTGCTTCCGTTGCTGTACCTTGCGCTGATGAAGCAGCAGCAGCAGCAGCAGCAGCAGCAGCAGTAGAGGCATGACAACGACCAGCACCAACACCAGAAGTAGGTCCAGCAGCACCGCCACCACCAGCAGCACCAGAAGCAGCGACAGCACCAGAAGCAGCAGCAGGGGCAGCAGCAGCAAGAGCATCTGCAACTGAGTGCACAGAACCGTCAACACGGCTGATCGCATACAGAGCGTTCTCAAAGGTGCTCACCAGCGGCAGACTGTCTAGCACTGGAAGCGGCACCACAGCAGCCAGAGGGGGAAGAGCCACAACCCGAGCACGCCCCCCTCCTCTTTTCCCCCCCGTTGCCCTGAGCACCCTCCCCCTTGAATCAGCCCGTTTCGCTTTGCGCTTTGATCCGGTTCTCTCTGGCTTTGACTTTGAGGCGGCTGAGGGTTTTGAGGAGGTTTTGATAGCAGCCCATATGGAGGAAGCGGGAGCAGCGGAGGGCGAGGTGGACGCGGGTTTGATGACTTTGAGCGATGTTTCTGTGTCAAACCCAGAGAAAGAAACGGCCAGCGTGTGAGGCGTGCTGCTCTGATCGGCAGCCTTCCCTTCTTTGAGCTTTCGCCGCTTTGACCTCCCGTTTCCGACTCTCCAAACCTTGCCACCTTGCTGCTCCTCCTCCTCTTCCGCCTTCTCCTCCTCCTCTTCCGCCTTCTCCTTCTCCTTCTCCTTCTCTTTCTCCTTCTCCTTCTCTTTCTCCTTCTCCCCCAATTCTTCTTCCTCCTCCTCCTCCTCCTCCTCCTCCTCCTCCTCCTCCTCCTCCTCCTCCTCCTCCTCCTTCCCCCCCCCCTCACTTCCTTTTTTCTCATCGTTCTCCTCCCTTGCCTCCTCCTCCTCCTCCTCCTCCTCCTCCTCCTCCTCCTCCTCCTCCTCCTCCTCCTCCTCCTCCTCCTCCTCCTCCTCCTCCTCCTCCTCTTCCTCCTCCTCCTCCCCCTCCTTCTCATCCTCCTCCTCTCCCTCCTCACTTTCTTCCTTCGCATCCTCCTCCTCTCCCTCCTCACTTCCTTCCTTCTCATCCTCCTCCTCTCCCTCCTCACTTCCTTCCTTCTCATCCTCCTCCTCTCCCTCCTCACTAACTTCCTTCTCATCCTCCTCCTCTCCCTCCTCACTTCCTTCCTTCTCATCCTCCTCCTCTCCCTCCTCACTTCCTTCCTTCTCATCCTCCTCCTCTCCTTCCTCACTTCCTTCCTTCTCATCCTCCTCCTCTCCCTCCTCACTTCCTTCCTTCTCATCCTCCTCCTCTCCCTCCTCACTTCCTTCCTTCTCATCCTCCTCCTCTCCCTCCTCACTTCCTTCCTTCTCATCCTCCTCCTCTCCCTCCTCACTTCCTTCCTTCTCATCCTCCTCCTCTCCTTCCTCACTTCCTTCCTTCTCATCCTCCTCCTCACCCTCCTCACTTCCCTCCTCCTCCTCCTCCTCCTCCTCCTCCTCCTCCTCCTCCTCCTCCTCCTCCTCCTCCTCCTCCTCCTCCTCCTCCTCCTCCTCCCCCTCCTCCTCCTCCTCCTCCTTCTCCTCCCCCTCTTCGCCACCCGTGTTCGAATCAATCATTCTTATCTTCTCCACCTTCTCAACTAGAACCACATCATCCTCCTCACTCTCACTCTCAATCTTTTTGCTCTGCTCCTTCTGCTCTTTGCTCTGCTCCTTCTTCTCCTCTCTCTGCTCCTTCTTCTCCTCTCTCTGCTCCTTCTGCCCCTCTCTCTGCTCCTTCTGCCCCTCGCTCTGCTCCTTGCCCTTCCTACTGCCCTGCTCCGTGCTCTTGCCTTCACCCTTCCCCTGACTCATCTGCTGCTTTCCCCCATGGTGCGGAACAAGGTTCAGGCGGCGGGCACCCGGAAAGAGAGTGCGCAGAGCCTTTCTGGGGTCCGAGACCCCAAGAAAAACCTCATCCATTCGAGAGAACATCAATTCGCGTGACAGCCTCGAAAGTATGTCCCCTTCCTCACTCTCTCTTACTCTCTCAATCCCCCTCTCACTCTCGCTCTTGCCCTTGCTCTTGCTGTCTGCACTCTTCTTCCCCCCCTCCGTCCCACTCCCACCCTTGCTCTCCCTGTCTCCACGACTCTTCTCATTCTCACCCCCAATCTCCATCTTGCTCTCCCCACCCTTTTTTGCACTCCCGCTTTCACTTTCGCTTTCACTTTCGCTCTCACTTCCGCTCTCGCTCTCAATCACTTCAGGACTGGGAGCCTTTCTCTTCCCCTTCCTGCCTTCCTGTTGTGCTTTCCCCGGCTCCTCCGCACACGCCGGTCTCTTCTCTGCACCCTTTACTGGCCCCGCCTTACTTGAATTCTCCTTCTGAGGCGCCTCGAAAGTCTTCTCTGCACCCTTTCCTACTGCCTCCGCCTTACTTGGAGGCTCCTCGCCTTCTGATTCCGAACTCGTGCTGCTGCTACTACTCGCCCTGGCCTTCTCCCTCTCACTCCCACTCCCACTCTCACTCCCACTCTCACTCCCACTCCCACTCCCACTCTCACTCTCACTCCCCCTCCCCTCACCTTCAACCCCACCATCCCCGGAACTATACTCTCCCTCCGTACCATCTTCACTATCAGAATCATCAAAATCCTCCCCCTCATCTCCACCCCCATGCGCACCACAGCAACCACCCACATCCCTCCCAACAACCCCTGCATCCGCCGTCCCTTGTGCTGACGCCCCACCACCTCTGCTCTCGCCCCTCACATCCCCTCCAGCAGCCCCTCCATTCCCCCCAGCAGCAGCAGCACGGGCGGATCTAGCAGCCATGCGGAGGGCCAGGCGGCGACGGTAGCAGCAGAAGCAGAGGGAGAGGGAGGCGGTGTGCGTGAAGAGCGGGAGCAGCAGCACGTTTTTGTCTTCGAATACTGGCTGGTCCCCTGAATCCGCCTCTCGCACAAACACCTGAAGAGTGCGAGTAAGTGTGATGTACGCACAGGAGGAGATGGGACGGGGAGAGGGAGGCGGTGTGTGTGAAGAGAGGGAGGAGCAGCAGAATGGGAGCTTCGGATACAGGCTGGTCCCCTGAATCCGCCTCTCGCACAAACACCTGAACAGTGCGAATGAGCACGTCATGGGAAAGGATGGAGTGAGCCAAGGAGCCGGAAAAGATTTGACAGGATGTTCAAAGCGGAAAGCACAAGGAAGGGAGGCAGATGGCCGTCCTGAAATATCGGCTAGTTTTCCCAGGTCTAAATCTGGATCTTAGCCGGTTTTTGGAAAGAATTATCCAATAGGTCTTAGGGCGGATCAGGTGTGTAGGGAAGGGTGAATTATAAGAGTGGAAGGAAAGAACACAACGCATCAAACCGACAAGACACACGGCACCATGTGCTGTTGCTGCAGTGGATCGATGGTTTGTATAGAACAATGCTAGACCATCCGCCAGGTACGAAATGCCGTTGACTCTTCCAACTGCTTCAACTCCACCCAAAGAATCAGAGCGCTTGGTAGAGCGCTGCAGTTTCCATCGAAGTCAACTCAACTCAAAGCAGGCTCTCACGCAACGCAGCTTGGGGTGTTTCCATCCCACGGAGTGCCGTAGCGCATGGCAGTACGCAGCAACCCGCTTTCAACACAACTCTTGTGAGTCAACTTGAAGCAGGCTCTCAGGCAACGCACCTTCGGGTGTTTCCATCCCACGGAGTGCCGTAGCGCATGGCAGTACGCAGCAGTCCCCGGCGGCCCGCAAATCTCCAGGGCCAAATGCCCTTCCTGCTTCAGCCGAAACAACACGCATCCCACATCGGCCTGCACGGAAAGAGCAGAGCAATCAACGGCAAAAGAATAGACGATCTCATTCACTTGTTACAGACACTAGAAGATCTCATTCACAGCATTCGCAGCTCGCGTTTCACGGGCCATAGGCCAAAGGATTCGCTCGATGCAGCAGCGGATCTAGTGCAAAATCGTATCAGATCCACTCACCGCGGCATCCGGGCCCAGGGACGTCAAGAAAGCCGCGCGCAGGTTTCGTTTGGGGCGCACGTGATGCTCCAAAGCCAATCGCGCGGAGCCATCTGGCATATTTATCAGATACTCCCCCCTTTGCTCCGCATAATTCGAATATCGCGAGATGAATTCTCCCATGGGCCGCAGCAGCAGCGCGGGAGCAACGCCATCGGCCTCGGCGCAAATCACCACCGCCTCGTACGGCACGAAGGGAAGGTCCTTAAGATTTTGAAAGTTTAGACGATTCGGATCCATTGGGTTGCGTTTGCATGGATCTCGCGGGAGCTTCCTCCCAGCATGTGATCAAGGATTAAGGTTTAGACGGGCGGAAGAAAGGCGCAGGGACGTAACGGAAAGAGAATCGTCGGTCTGGCATGAATCAGCTAAGTGTGTCATAAAAGACGGAAGAGATAGAAGCAGGCGCCAGACACGCAGCGAGAAAAGAGATTCGTCGCCTGCACCCACTAGAGATCATTCTGGGATGTGAGGTGAGGATTGGATTAACGGGAGTCTTTGAATCCTCTGAACAGTCAGGAACCGTCAGCGGGACGATATTTACGAGGGGACAGACAGATAGATCAGAACTGGTGGTGTTTTCTGTTGATGCCTCATGTATCATATTTATACTCGTTATTATGACTAATGTAAGACGTACATGAGACATGTGTAAAACTTTTGCGTATCCTACCGTTTGGGAATTCGCTTGGAAGGGCTACACTATTTCGCGCGTTACCGCTAGCACACTTTTCGCCATTTAACTTTCGCAGGCACCACCTCGCTCACATGCGTAACACTCCCCCTCTGCCTTCCACCACCCCAAAACCCTCGAACAAAAATGGATCGATTTTGCATTACTCCCCCTCTGCCTCCCCTGCCCACTGCCCCCCACTGCCCATGTGCCCACCAACCTCAACACAGCCATGCCCATGAACCATCCCACTGTTCTGCTGCACACCACCGCCACGTCGAACAGCATTGCGACGACCAATGACCGCGCGACGACGTTCCCCCCTGAAATAACTGTACTGTAGCCCGGCACAAGCTACGACATTTCATCAAAATCAAAATCAACCCTTCTGCCCAGTGCACCAACAGTCTCCGCAAGTTGACCTCCCACCTGGATCTGGACCGTATCTTCTACCTAGTTCAACCAGATCGAACCAGGCGAAAACCTTTAAAACCGATTCAAGTTCCTCATACAATAGTTTGTAAGGTCCGCTTTGTCAGGGTTTTTGCGGGTGGAGCTGGACGCGGAACGGAATGTCGAGGGCAGTGGGCGCGAGCACGATGAACTGTGCAGGTTGGTGCGCAGGAGAAGGAAATGAAATTTCAGAAGAAACAGCAGAACAGAAGGCATTCAGAGAGCTCCACTCCCCTTTCCCTCTCCCCTCATATCCCCGCCCCTCTCCTCTCCCCTCCCTGTCCTCCTCCCCTGCTTTGGTCCGCGTACGTACTTGCTTCTGCTGCCTTCACCCAAAAGACCAGAGTGTTTTGTGGGGGGAGCAAGAATGGAATGGAAACCCTAACAGGCTGATATGGGCCAAGCCCCTGACAGCGGCACGAATAACTGCACCACACTCTGTTACCCAGGAGGGGGGGAATCACCCTCGAACCCATACTCGTGTTCTGAGTGGCGGCAGTCTGTGAGCTTGTCTCAACTTGACAAGGAGTGTGCGCAAAACTGATCTTTGTCAACCAGCTGGTGCGCAAATAGCCTCGCACTTAGCGCGCATATTAATCTCACTTAGTACTAATGTACCCTAGTCCCATCCCAGCGTTTTACGACAGAATCGCGCCGTGTAGGTTGCCATCGGACGGACTCTAACCTTCCGCTTCCGTTCCCAGAGACCATTGCAAGAGACTAGCGCTCCGAAGTTTCCAGTCGCGAGCATCTCTTACTGTCCATAGAAACATCCCGACAGCTCAGTTCAGTTCTGAGATATTTTCAGGGCCGCAAGAGACCTGCATCTTACTTCACTCGTCGTCCATCTTTCGACTAGCCACTGCCTAGCTAACTCCAGTCGAGCAAAGTTCCTTTCCCCCATATTTCCCTCTTCCCACCCCCCCGTCCTTCCTCCCCCCCCCCTCCTTCGACCGTCGAAGCCACACGATGCCTTCATGCTTACGTAGCGCCTCCGACAGCCAATCACGTTCGAGTCTTTCACGTAGCGCGTGCCACCAAAGTTCCCACCCGCAACACACCCTCCCCGACCGGTGTCAGCGGTCGCACTCACAGTCGCAGTCTCAGTCGCAGCTACGGTCTCAGCCTCAGTCGCAGTTTCAGTCGCGCGGTTCTCGTGCATCGGGAGTATCATGTTCGATGGAGTCCTGCTTCTCCCCCTCGCGCCACTCGAACCCTCGATTCTTCCTCTCGCTCGCGTGCTTGTTACTCGTCGTCGCGAGCTGGGGTCCACATAGGCTTACAGGTGAGGCGAGCGGTGAGGCGTGGTGAGGCGAAATGAGGCGAGCAGTGAAGCGAGCGGTGAGGCTAGCGGTGAAGCGAGCGGTGAGGCTAGCGGTGAGGCGAGCGGTGAGGCAAGCGGTGAGGCGAGCGGTGAGGCGCGCTTTCCAGTTTATTCGATGTCCTAGACGTACGGGTACGACCGTCGGAACCTAGCGCAGGTGCTCCGCCATAGTCACATTTCCGCGCCGCGCACTAGCCCAGGATTAGGTTCACTAGTGCCTGCTGGAAATGCGAGTGCAGACTCGCTAGTAGAGCAGGTGGAACAAGGTGGCGTAATGCGTGTGCTTCCCGTCGTGTTATAGTGCAAGGTGGTAATTTTAAGGACTCTCTTATTTTTCCACTTCCTTTTCGCTTCTCTTCCGCTTCCCTCTCATCAGTATCAGCGGCGGACAGGCAGTCGGGACCTTCTAACGGGGCTCAACTCTACACCGTCCGCCTTCGCTCCGCGCCCCCTATAGTCAACTACAAGGGCGGGATCGCCGGCATCCCCGCTACAGCGCCATCCGATAGCGACGCGGACGATGACGACCAGTTGGATAGCGACGGCAGCAGCAGCGGCAGCGGCGGCGGCGGCGGGGCTAGCGCGTTGAGTCTAGACTCTAGTGATTCCCGTGCTTCGAGTACGCTAGCTAAGGCGGCTGAAACTATGGCTGCTCGTGCCGCCAATGCCGTGACTTCATTTAATAGGCGGTTTCGGGGGCGGAGAGGTCGCGGCGGGGCGGGGTGGAATGCGGGGAGGGACTTGGGGAAGCTGGCGGGAAAGTGGCGGAAGCGGTTGCAGCGCAAGGTGAATGCGCGCGCCCCGCACGTGCGCCAGTTCGGGCGGTATTTGCGCCAGATGCAGCTGCGTGTGGCGCAAGACGCGGGGGTTCCGCTCATTAACCTGGTGCACAGGTGAGGCAGTGAGAAAGAGGAAGGCGGAATGATGAAGGGGGACGGGGGAAGGTGGGAGGGGGGAGGGGGAAGGGGGAAAAAGGGAGGGAAAACGGGGAAGGGGAAGGCGGAAGATTGTTGTGGCCGGCAACGGGCAGCTCCCAGTGAGCATCTCCTCACCTCCCCTTTCCCTCTCTTTCCCCCCATACTTCTCTTATGCCCCGCCCCTCTCCGCTCCCCCGTTCCGCGGCGCAGCTATCGATTCGCCTCCAACGGCTTCTCCGCCAAGCTCTCCCGCGCGCAAGTCGCCAGGCTGCGCCAGCACCCCGCGGTGGCGCAAGTCGCGCGCGTGGCGGAAATCCGCCCGTTCACCACCAACTCCCCCAACTTCCTCCGCCTGCCCGCATCCCTGTGGGCGGGGAACGGCGGGGAGGACAGCGCGGGGGAGGGCGTGATAATAGCCGTGATCGACACGGGGTTCTGGCCCGAGCACCCCGCCTTCTTGGATAACGTGAGCCGAACCTACCTTCCTACTCGCCTGTATTCCCGCTTGCCGTGCCGCCTGCTTTCCCGCTTGCCTTCCCCCCTCCTTTCCCGCTTGCCTTCCCCCCTCCTTTCCCGCTTGCCTTCCCGCCTCCTCTCCCGCCTGCTTTCGCGCCCGAGTCTTGCGCGCCCCGTTTCCTCCATCTGCGCTCTGCGTTTCCCCTCTCTCCTCTTGCATCCTCGCCTCTCCGCTTGCTTCCTCGTTTCCCCGCTTCTTCACTGCTTTCCTCTATTCCCCCTGCCTAACCTCCCCCCTCCATCCCCCCACCCCGTCATCCCCGCATTCTCCCGTCCCCGCACCCCTCCGCATCCCCTAGACCACCAAGCCCTACCCGGACGCCCCGCCGACGTGGGCGGGCGCGTGCCCCGCGGAGAACAGCGCGATGTGCAACCGCAAGGTGCTCACAGCGCGCCACTTCGTGAACGGGTACCTCGCGAGTGGTTACACCATCGACGAAACCGCGGACTATCTTTCGCCAAGGGACTCGGCGGGGCACGGCACGTGGTGTGCGGGGTGAGTCGCCATTGGCGCGCGGGCGGGTGGATCGGGGAATGGGGAGGATGGGGAGGATGGAGGGGCGCATGGGGAGGATGGGCGGATGGGGGGATGGGGGATGGGGGGATGGGGTGGGTGGATAGATGGAGATGTTTCTTGCTTCTTGCACTTATTCCTCCTTCCCGCCCACCTCTTCCTCTCCCCCCCTTCCCCCCCCCGCCCTCCTCATTCTCCGTCCGTTCCCCCACTCCCCACCCCCCCACCCACCCAACCTCGTCCCCCTCTCTCCCGCGCCCTCACTCTCTCCCCCCACCTCCCTGCCGCAGAGTGGCGGGCGGCAACGGCCAGCTCCCCGTGAGCATCTCCGCCACCACTGTCCTCGGGCACGCGACGGGCATGGCGCCGCGCGCGCACCTGGCGATCTACAAGGTGCTGTGGCGGCAGGCGCAGACCGACGGGGGGGGCGACGGGAGCATGAAGGCGGCAGCGCCGTCGGGGTCCATGGCGGACCTGTACGCGGCGCTGGACCAGGCCGTGGCGGACGGCGTGGACGTGGTGTCGCTGTCCGTGGGGAGCCTGAGCGATTATGAGACGTATTTCAATGACGTGCCGTACGCGAATATCCAGAAGGTGGGTGCGGGGGGGTGAGAGGCGGTGGGAGGCGCTGGGAGGCGCTGGGAGGGGGTTCACGTCAGGGTAAGGCAGAGGATGCCAGGGCTGGAGGAGAGGCGGGCGGTATTGTCTCCGCGGTACTGATTTGCTTCTTCTACGCTCTTCCCCGGCCCCCGTCAGCGCCCTTTCCCTCCCTCTCCGCGCTTAGGCGGGCATCCTGGCAGTGTTGGCGGCAGGCAACAGCGGTGCGCCTCTTGACTCCCCAGCAGCAACTCTGCACGCTCCTGCCCTGACCTGCCATCAACTCCGGCGTGTTTTGAGTCGAGTCAAAACCCAGCAGCCCGCTCATGCCTTGACCTGCCATCAACTCCGGCGTGCACCCAACTCAAAACACGTCTCACAACTTCTCGCCCTTGCCTTCCTACGCCCCCTTACCTTCCCCTCCCTCCCCGCGCGCAGGCGGGCATTCTGGCGGTGTTGGCGGCGGGCAATGGCGGTCCGCCCCCCGAGCCCAACAGCAGCACGCTCCTGGCACTCACACCGGCATGAACCGCATGCTCTCTCTAACTTCTCGCCCTCTCTCTTCCTTCCTTCCTCCCTCCCCGCGCGCAGGCGGGCATCCTGGCGGTGTTGGCGGCGGGCAACAGCGGTCCGCCCCCCGAGCCCAACAGCAACATGTACCGCACGCTCTCCAACTTCTCGCCCTTCTACCTCACCGTCGGCGCCAGGTGCGATTCCTCTCTCCTGCTTTTTGAGAAGCCAGGTGCGATTCCTCTCTCCTGCTTTTTGAGAATTCCCAAAAGCCAGCTTGAGAATTCTCAAAAGCCAGGTGCGATTCCTCTCTCCTGCCCTGCCTTGGCTTGCATTCGCCCGGTTAAGCTCTGCAACACTGTGTGCCCTGTATGCCCTGTACGGGGTTAGCAGCGGCAACTTGTACCGCACGCTCTCCTGCTTTACCCCCCGCCCTGCCACGCTCTTTGAGGCGCCTCAAGTATCCCCCCTGCCGCGCTCTCCAGCCTCTCGCCCTTCTACCTCACCGTTGGCGCCAGGTGAGGTTCCCCTAAACTCCTGCTTTACCCCCGCCCTGCCACGCTCTCCAGCCTCTCGCCCTTCTACCTCACTGTCGGCGCCAGGTGCGCTCCCGTCTCCCCTCTTTCCCGCCTTGTTTGCCCTTTCTCCCCCCTCCTGCTTTACCCCCCTCCTGCCCAGCCCTGTGCTCACCCATGCTCCCCTGCCCTTGCCCCCTCAACCCGTCCCTCCCCTGCCCCTTCTCTCCCCTCTGCAGTAGCATGGGTCGGCGGTTTGTGGTGCGGTTGACTCTGGGCAACGGTGCAGTCATGAAGGCGCGTGCAGTGGAGGGGGCTTCCGTCTCTCAGCGCGTGCCCTTGGTCTACTCCCGGAACGCCATTGCTCCAGGGAGCACCGTCTACCAAGTGAGTGAGACCACTGTTTTGAGGCGCCTCAAAACTAGACGTCTCTCAGCGCGTGCCCTTGGTCTACTCCCGGAACGCCATTGCTCCAGGGAGCACCGTCTACCAGGTGAGTGAGACCACACACAACAGCAGCAGCGGCAGCAGCAGGCAGAGCGGTGTTTTGATTTTGAGAATTCTAAAAAACAGCCCACAGCAGCAGGCAGGGAGCGGCTGGGAATGGCTTGCGTTTCTCCAAAGCTCAGCTCTGCCTGCTGCTGCACAGGACCCATTCTTTTGTCCGTCAGGCTCCTGTGCTCCCGCTTCCCCTTTCCAAGCCCCTTAGAATAATGACACTCCCTCCCTTCCACTCACCCCCCATTCCACCCTGTCTCTCCCGCCTTCCTCCCTTCCCCCTTCCCCAGGCGGATCTATGCGAGCAGGGTTCTCTCGACCCTAACAAAACCACCGGCAAGATTGTGATCTGTTCTCGGGGAATCAACCCGATTTGGAACAAGACTCTGGCAGTGAAAGACGCGGGCGGCGTGGGCATGGTGATGGTGAATGTGAAGGGTGGCGCGTCCAACTTCCCCGTGGTTCCTGGGCCGCCCCTGCCGTATGTGCACTTCTCGCTCCTGCAGGCAGCGCAGCTGGCGAAATACATGAAGAAGACCAAGAAGTGAGTGAGAGGAAGTGTAGGGTGGCTAGAATATGCTGAATCTCTTTTGAGAGTTCTCGAAAGTCGCTCCAGCAGGCTGCTCTTCTGGCGAAATACATGAAGAAGACCAAGAAGTGAGTGAGAGAGAGGGAGGGAGAGAGAGCTTTGGGTGGCATTTTGAGCAGTAGGAATGTCAGGTTCCGGGTTTTGGATTTCGGGGTTTGAGTTGTGGGGGGTTTGAGATGCTTGGAAAAAGGCTGTAGCAGAGGAGAGGAGTGCACATGTGGTAGAGAGGTGAGGTGAATGAGAGGGAGGTGGGAGTTAGGGCTCCCGTGCTTGGTTGTTGCGTATCCATCACTTTTCTCGCTCTCTCCCTCATCCCGCGCCACCACCTGCTCCTTGTCTCTTCCTGACCACTCTCCCCTCCCTCCCTTGTCCCTCCTCCGCTCTTTTCTGCTCTCCCCTCCTCTGCGCCCTTCCGCTTTCCCCATCAGGCTGCTTGCATTGCCACGATGGGCACAGAAGTGAAAGCAATGTTCTCTGAGGCACCCGCCCTCGCACCCTTCTCGTCCACAGGCCCGGTCGCAGACCCGGACGGTGCCCCTCAGAAGTCTGACTTCTAAAGTTTAAGGCGCTCCCCTCCCGTCCCCTCCCCTGCGCCCTCCCCTTCCTTCCCCCCACCAGGCCGCTCGCCACGATGGGCACGGAAGTAGAAGCAGCGTTCGACCAAGCACCACCCCTCGCCCCCTTCTCATCCATGAATCGACTCAAACCCCACCTCCCGTCCCCCTCTCCCCCCCCCAACCCACTCCCCCCCACCAGGCCGCTCGCCACGATGGGCACGGAAGTAGAAGCAGCGTTCGACCAAGCACCACCCCTCGCCCCCTTCTCATCCATGAATCGACTCAAACCCCACCTCCCGTCCCCCTCCCCCCCCCCCAACCCACTCCCCCCCATCAGGCCGCTTGCCACGATGGGCACGGAAGTGGAAGCATCGTTCGACGAAGCACCAGCCCTCGCCCCCTTCTCATCCACAGGCCCGGTCGCAGACCCAGACAGCGCGCAACTGCCCGTCTACCCCACCAACGACATCCTCAAACCCGACATTGTCGCTCCGGGAGTGAACCTCTGGGGAGCGTGGATATCCTCCACCACGGACGGATCCGACGGTCCACAGTACTCGCAGCTCTCTGGAACATCCATGGCTACTCCGCATGTGGCGGGGATCGTCGCGCTCATCATGCAGATGAATCCTGATTGGTCGCCGGCGAGGGTTATGTCCGCGGTTATGACTACGGCCACTCCCGGAGGGTCGCCTTCGGATATCCGAACCATGGTTATTTCATCGTCGGGGGCGGCTGGGGGAAAGCCGGGGACGAGTGGCGGTGGAGGGGGGTACACGTACCGTGTGGTGAAGCCGATGAAGAATGCCTTGAATAAGGAGGCGACGGCGTGGGAGCTAGGTTCGGGGCATGTGGATCCGCCTAGGGTTGGCGATCCTGGGCTGGTTTTCGACGTTTCGTTTGAAGACAATGTGAATTTTCTCGCCGGGTTGGATTTGCAGCGCGCCAAGGATACATTTCCGAGTGTAACGGCGTTTTCGCCGATCAAGCCGGCGTACAGGTTCAATCGGCCGTCGATTTCGGTTTCGAAGCTTTTCGGCGGGGTTACTGTTACGAGAACAGTGACGAATGTGGCTTCAGTGGCGTCGACTTATGTGGCTAAAGTTGTTCCGCCTCCAAGAGTGAAGGTTACAGTCACTCCGTCTACTTTCACTATTGCACCGGGGGATAAGGTCACGTTTTCTGTGGAGCTGAAGGTTTTGAAAGGTATGGATGGCTTCTCGCATGGGTCGATAACGTGGGTGGACAATAACATGCATGCAGTGAGGGTTCCTTTGGTGGTGCAGCCATATGGGAAATTGTGATCTTGGAGGGGGGTACACGTACCGTGTGGTGAAGCCGATGAAGAATGCCTTGAATAAGGAGGCGACGGCGTGGGAGCTAGGTTCGGGGCATGTGGATCCGCCTAGGGTTGGCGATCCTGGGCTGGTTTTCGACGTTTCGTTTGAAGACAATGTGAATTTTCTCGCCGGGTTGGATTTGCAGCGCGCCAAGGATACATTTCCGAGTGTAACGGCGTTTTCGCCGATCAAGCCGGCGTACAGGTTCAATCGGCCGTCGATTTCGGTTTCGAAGCTTTTCGGCGGGGTTACTGTTACGAGAACAGTGACGAATGTGGCTTCAGTGGCGTCGACTTATGTGGCTAAAGTTGTTCCGCCTCCAAGAGTGAAGGTTACAGTCACTCCGTCTACTTTCACTATTGCACCGGGGGATAAGGTCACGTTTTCTGTGGAGCTGAAGGTTTTGAAAGGTATGGATGGCTTCTCGCATGGGTCGATAACGTGGGTGGACAATAACATGCATGCAGTGAGGGTTCCTTTGGTGGTGCAGCCATATGGGAAATTGTGATCTTGGAGGTTAGGCACAAACTCACATCACATTGGGTGGGTGCTGTGTGCACCATAGTTTCTGTTTTATTGTTATTGTTTTGTTTTTTGGATCACATTAGGGCCATGCTATTGCTGCCCCTTGTGTTGTAATTATGTGTTTGTTGCTCATACATCCTGTGCTGATAGGGTAACTTGATGAGCTAGCATGAGTTGCCTTTTATCATGTTCAAATGGACTAAGGGAGAATGGTGGTAGGTGCTATAATTTGAGGACCTCTAGGTCCAGCCTTATTTTTCTAACATACTTATAGAGCTCTGCCATAGCCATACATATACGAGTACCGGTAAACATTACTATGCGTAAATTCATGCTTGACGGCTGACATCGCAGTTCACACAATGCGTGAACAATTTCCAGCCAAGCAAAGCAGTGGATGGCTGGCAGGGTTCGTGCGCTGGGCGCACTTTTTCTCCGGGCAGACAGCCCGGACACGGTGGCAGTAGAGGCTGGTGACGTGTTATGATCACGCAGGTTCATCCTTGTGACCGTTTACGCACGCACCAGGGCTGGTTCGCTGGATAGCACTCGGGTCAGCGAACTGGTATTGGGAGTTTGGTGATGTCACTCTGTTGGCTAAGCCTTCTCGATTAGTTAAGAACCCACGTTTCTCGTTAATTTAAGCTGGTTCTTGCCCTAGCACCGTTTTGCTTTTCACACAGTATTGTTTAGTGTAGCGGTGCAACTGAGACCCAGGGAATCGTTTGGTACGGACCTTGAGATTCGTTTCTGCCCATCTTCCCTTCCCGTTCATTCACACCATCAGCTCCTTTTGAAGCCAAGCCAGCTTCAGAAACTCGAGCTTCGTACTCCGTTTTGGCTGACCGCTTGGTTCAAGCTGTCTGCTCGAGCTCCAGTCTCGAGTCTCGACTCGACTCGACCGCAGCCATAGTCGCAAGCTGCCTTGCGTTGTTGCATTCGAAGCGAAGAGACAGGTTGCTTGTCTCCACCTTCTTCGGACCTATCTTCTCTCCAGTGTCCCCGAGGGGATCAATCAACAGTCATGGCTGCGCTCCGCCATATCCGCTCCAAAACACCAGCGCTTTCCATCCCTCTCTCTCCGCTTCTCGCGTCAGTCCAGTCCGCCTCGCTTTCCGCCAACCACTCTTCCGCCAACCCCTCCGCCGATGCCTCCGCGTTTCCGCCTCCGCGCACCAGCGGATCTGCACTTTCAGAACCGTCAATTCCCGCCATTTCATCCGTTCAATCCGTGAATCCAGAAAAGTTAAGATCACATTCTTACCTTCCGTCCAATCATCCGTCCATTCCACCCGCCACATCCATCGCCTTTTCCCGCCAGCAACACACCCTAGCCTCTCTCCGCGAACGCCTCGCCGGTCCAGATTCCCCTAGCCTCGGCGATTTCATCTTAGGCGCCCAGCGGAAGAGCGATACCGATCACGACGGCGAGTCCGGCGGAGACGTGCCATCTCAGCCGTCCGCCGGGGCCGGACGCGGATTGGTGAAGGCCGACGCGGGATTGGGGCTAGGAGGCGTCTACGCGGTGCAGGCAGTGCAGCCGCGGGAAAGGCGGCGAAAGCCTGATTGGATGAAGCGCGAGGTATTGCCCGGAGGAGAGAAATTTGTGGCGATTAAGAAACGGCTTCGTGAGTTGAAGCTGCATACTGTGTGCGAGGAGGCGCGGTGCCCGAACCTAGGAGAGTGCTGGGGAGGGAGCGGCCCGGACGGCGAGGGCGCAACGGCTACTATTATGATCCTCGGCGACACGTGCACGCGAGGCTGCAGGTATGTTGGCGCAATCTGCATTATGACCGTCAAGAGTTTAAAGGCGTTTGTAATATTCCTTCGTGCTGAGGGTAGCTCGTATCGCGTCACAAGCGAAAAGGTGAGCCATGTCCGCTCCCGCCTCCCCACTTCCCTGTTCCGTTCCCCACCTCTCTACCTTTCCCCCATTCCCGGCCCCCACCCCTCCCTATCCCCCTCTACCTCCCCTCCCCCCTCCCGTTCCCCCTCCCCCTCCCCCTCCTCTCCCCTCGCCTTTCAAGGTTCTGCGCGGTGAAGACGGCTCGCAACCCGCCTCCCCCGGACGCGGACGAGCCGCGGAAGGTGGCGGACGCGGTGGGCGAGTGGGGCCTGGGGTACATCGTGTTGACCAGCGTTGACCGCGACGACCTGGCGGACCAGGGCAGCGGGCACTTCGCGGAGACCATCATTCGCCTCAAGGAGCGCCGCCCTGAGATGCTCGTGGAGGCGCTGGGTGAGTGCGAAGAGGCTTTGGACTTTTGAGTATTTTTTTGTAGACTTTTTAACAACACTCTTCAGCTCGAAAGAGGAAGGGACCATCATTCGGCTCAAGGAGCGCCGCCCTGACATGCTCGTGGAGGCGCTGGGTGAGTGCGATCGTGGGGGGGAAGGGAAGGTGGGGGTAGGGGGGAGAAGGGGAGGCGGGAGAAATGGGGGAGAGAGGGTGAGGGTGAGAGTTGGAGGTCTGGGAGTGGGTGTGGGAATGCGGGGTGGAGTGTTTAAGAGGCTGAACAGTTGGCACTTGGTCGTTGTGCAGGAGTAAGCAACGTGTATGAACATGATAGCGACTGACTGAGCGATGCGAATGAGAGTGGGAGAGGAGAGGGCAGAGGAGGGGAAACAGGAAGGGAAGGAAGGGGGAGAGGAGAAGGAAGGGAGGTGGATGGAATGGGGGAGGGAAGACAGGGCCGGATGATCACACATGGTGGGTTGCTATGGATTTGCAACCTGATTGTGAAATAGAACAATGTGGGGCATGCATTGTGTTGCACTTCGGTCGCTGCCATGAGCACAGCAAAACTCGTGGATGGAACTCAAGCTCTCATGTAGCACATTACCAACTATTGCAACCCTCTGCTGCACGGGAAAACGTTGCGTACTGTTAGCATTGAGCACTCTTAATGTCATCCACAAATGAAACACCATCATGTAAGAAGAATAGCACAACAAGCAGCTGTCGCAACTTCCTCCTTCGTCCCCTCACATCCTTCACCCCCTCAGCATCCACCTTCCTCTTTCCCCCCTCCTTTTTTCATCCCTTGAACCTCCCTTTCCCACCCCAGTGCCGGACTTCCGGGGGTCAGCGGAGTGTGTGAGGCGAGTGGTGGACAGCGGGTTAGACGTGTACGCGCACAACATAGAGACCGTGCGCGAGCTGCAGCAGTTTGTCCGGGACCCGCGCGCCGGCTTTGAACAATCTCTCACCACGCTGCGCCTCGCCAAGGAGATGGCCCGCGAGGGCAGGGAGAGGGGCGGGCCAGGCATGCTCACGAAAACGTCGATCATGCTGGGATGCGGGGAGACCCCGGAGCAGGTGAGCCATTTGTGTGTATTGAGTCGGGCTTCAAATGCACGGGACCAGCCTGGCATGCTTACCAAGACGTCGATCATGCTGGGATGAGGGGAGACTCCGGAGCAGGTGAACCGTTTGTGTATTTTGAGTCGGGCTTCAAATGCACGGGACCAGTCTGGCATGCTCACCAAGACGTCGATCATGCTGGGATGTGGGGAGACGCCGGAGCAGGTGATGGCGTGGTTTAGTCGGAGTTATAGTGCACGGGGCCAGGGGTGCTCACCAGGACGTCTATTATGCTGGGATGCGGGGAGACCTCGAAGCAGGTGAGGGTTTTATTGAGTTGAGTGGAAGAGAGGGGCGGCCTGGGAATGCTCACCAAGACGTTGATTATGCTGGGATGTGGGGAGACGCCAGAGCAGGTGAGTGTTTCGCCGGTAGCGCAAGCGCCTGCGTGCCCAAACGAAATCGTTTCCTTAAGCTTGGAATTCTGCAATCTGATGCATTCTCGCCTCAAATTTTGGACCCCCCCCCCCCCTATTGTCTTGTTTCCTTGTTTGGCACTGCTGTGTCTCCCCCTCCCCCCCCCTCCCCCTCCTCTCCCCACAACCCATCTCCCCGTCTCCCCACCTTTTCAATCCCCTTCTGTCAGGTTCTCACCACAATGGAGGCAGTGCGGGCATCAGGGGTGGATGTGATGACGTTCGGGCAGTACATGCGTCCCACGCGCCGCCACATGCCTGTCAGCCACTACGTCACTCCCGAGGCCTTTGACCAGTGGAAGAAAGTGGGCGAGGAAATGGTGAGCTTGTCCGGTTGCGTGCCAGTGTTGCATGCTTTGAGAGGCGGAATAATACACCCTTGTGGCTGCTTGTGTGGAAAAGGTTACTTGCTGCCGAGCCTACGCATGCTTTTTTTCTTTTTCATTTTCTTGGTTTCTTGTTTTTGTTATGGTAGGAAGGTGCTGACGTCCATGAGATTTTTTTGTCGTGCTTACCTCTCTGTATTCAGGGCTTCCGCTATGTTGCTGCTGGCCCCATGGTTCGCTCATCGTATCGTGCTGGAGAGTTCTATATCAAGGCCATGCTTGAAGATGATAGGAAGCGGCAACAGGAAGCTGAAGTTTCTGTCGCTTGTTGATTTTTGTTCATTGAAGGATATGGTGGATGCTGTCTAGTTTCGAAATGATATTCTGCTCTATCAATGTTGTGTTGTTGTAGTCTTCGATATTTTGCTAAACGTGTATCCTTTAAACTAAAAGTTTTGTCAGTGCACGTCCCAGTCAATAATGCACCACCTGTCAAAGCGGACGTTTCCAGAACATTTCGCAATCACCTGACCTTCGATGAGGCCCGTCCCATCACCCTTCTAGGGGAGGGTAACATTCTCGTTAATATTCGTTGGGATTCCCTCTGTCCCCACCCACCAATCTCTCCCCTGAACCCGAGAACCGGAACCCGAACCCCTAGTTACAGATTAAAGCTGCGGTATACATTTGAAAGGAAGAGTTCAAAAACTTTTGAAATTTGAAAAGTTGCCCCAAACCTGTGAGGTTCACTCCCTAAACCCTGAACCCTGCTGACAAATGTATACTTCAGCTTTAAGCATTTCAAGCCGTTATTTCTGCTGGCCTTTTTCTCAAGCTCCTCCGCGCATAACGTTGACTGATCGCGCGCTCTAATTCGTCGTGCCGCCGCTCACAAACTCGCTCGCAGCTATTCCAGCATAGTCACGGCTGTAACCCAACCAAACTCTTTATCACCAACCCTACAGTAACGTAATCGTCGGTCTCAGCACATCGTAGCGCGACACCTCGTATAAGCATGGGTAAGAAAAAGGGAAGAGGTGGCGGCGGGGAGGACGGCGCGGAAGCAGCAGCAGCGGGGGGAGGGGAGCGGGGAAGCCATGGCAGCGCGCAAAACGGAGCGGGAGAAGCGCCAAAGAAGGACCACAAGAAGTACCGGAAGCCTAAGCCGTGGGACACGGACGACGTGGAGCATTGGAAGGTGGATAAATTCGACCCCTCGTGGAACCCCACGGGGTTGCTGGAGGAAAGCTCCTTCGCCACGCTGTTCCCGCAGTACCGAGGTGCGCTATAACGGGGTGTGGAGTTATAGCGAGGTGCGACGTGATAGCGAGGTGCACTGTATCGGAGTGCGCTGTATCGAGGTGCGACGTGATAGCGAGGTGCACTGTATCGGAGTGCGCTGTATCGAGGTGCGCTGTATCGGAGTTTTCTTGATTGCAATGCCCTCTTGCATCGAGGAACCCCTCCCAACCCCATCCCGCCGAGAGCTGTTTCCCCTTCTCGCTCCCCCTTCTTATCGCCCTAGAAATATTTTTTTTCGCGAGGCGTGTCCGATTTTTTTTTTATTAATGCGCCTTTTAGTCACTCTTTCCCACATACTCCCTCACCCACCCCCGAACCCGCCGCCCTTCCCCCTCCCCCCTCCCTCGCCTCAGAGATCTCCGCGAGGCGTGGCCAGAGGTGATTTCCGAACCGCTTCACGAATCTCTCCCCTCCCCCTCTCCCCCCCTCCCCCCGCACCTCTTCCCCCTTCCGCAGAGAAATATCTCCGCGAGGCGTGGCCGGAAGTAACCCGTGCGCTAAACGAGTTCGGAGTGGCGTGCGAGCTGAACCTGGTGGAGGGCAGCATGACCGTTAAGACCACGCGCAAGACGCGCGACCCCTACATCATCGTGCGCGCGCGCGATCTGATCAAGCTGCTCTCGCGCTCCGTGCCCGTCACGCAGGTGGGCGCTCGTGGGGTTGGTCTTGAATGCGCGCCAAGGGAATTTGGAGTTGGCTCAAGATATTGGGTTTGGAGTGCGCGTGAGGGTGCGATGGTGTGGGTGTGTGTGGGTGGAGGTGCGAGTGGGTTTGCGAGTGTGTGGGTGTGCGAGTGTGTGGGTGTGCGAGTGTGTGGGTGCGTAGATGTGTGTGTCCCCCTGTCCGCCTGTCCCCCTAACCCCCTGCCCCCCTATCCCCCTGTCGTCCGCCTGTCCCGCTCTCACCTTGTCCCCCTCTCCCCCTGTCCCTCTGATCGCTTGCTCCTCTGCCCGCTTGCCCCCCTGCCCCCTACCCCTCGCCGCCTTCCCCCACATGCTCCCCTCCCCCCTAGCCCCCATGTCCCCCTGCTCCTCTAAATCCCTCTGTCGCCCTATACCCCTGTCTCTAAATCCGACCCTGTCCCGCTGTCCCCCTGTCCCGGTCTCCCCCCTGCTCCCCTGCGGGCATGGCAGGCGTTGAAGATCCTGGACGACGAGACATACTGCGACATTATCAAGATCGGCGGGATGGTTCGCAGCAAGGTGATTGCCTGCCATGCACCATCGGTCACCACCATGCACCATCGGTCACCACCATGCACCATCGGTCACCACCATGCACCATCGGTCACCACCATGCACCATCGGTCACCACCATGCACCATCGGTCACCACCATGCACCATCGGTCACCACCATGCACCATCGGTCACCACCATGCACCATCGGTCACCACCATGCACCATCGGTCACCACCATGCACCATCGGTCACCACCATGCACCATCGGTCACCACCATGCACCATCGGTCACCACCATGCACCATCGGTCACCACCATGCACCATCGGTCACCACCATGCACCATCGGTCACCACCATGCACCATCGGTCACCACCATGCACCATCGGTCACCACCATGCACCATCGGTCACCACCATGCACCATCGGTCACCACCATGCACCATCGGTCACCACCATGCACCATCGGTCACCACCATGCACCATCGGTCACCACCATGCACCATCGGTCACCACCATGCACCATCGGTCACCACCATGCACCATCGGTCACCACCATGCACCATCGGTCACCACCATGCACCATCGGTCACCACCATGCACCATCGGTCACCACCATGCACCATCGGTCACCACCATGCACCATCGGTCACCACCATGCACCATCGGTCACCACCATGCACCATCGGTCACCACCATGCACCATCGGTCACCACCATGCACCATCGGTCACCACCATGCACCATCGGTCACCACCATGCACCATCGGTCACCACCATGCACCATCGGTCACCACCATGCACCATCGGTCACCACCATGCACCATCGGTCACCACCATGCACCATCGGTCACCCACCATGCACCATCGGTCACCACCATGCACCATCGGTCACCACCATGCACCATCGGTCACCACCATGCACCATCGGTCACCACCATGCACCATCGGTCACCACCATGCACCATCGGTCACCACCATGCACCATCGGTCACCACCATGCACCATCGGTCACCACCATGCACCATCGGTCACCACCATGCACCATCGGTCACCACCATGCACCATCGGTCACCACCATGCACCATCGGTCACCACCATGCACCATCGGTCACCACCATGCACCATCGGTCACCACCATGCACCATCGGTCACCACCATGCACCATCGGTCACCACCATGCACCATCGGTCACCACCATGCACCATCGGTCACCACCATGCACCATCGGTCACCACCATGCACCATCGGTCACCACCATGCACCATCGGTCACCACCATGCACCATCGGTCACCACCATGCACCATCGGTCACCACCATGCACCATCGGTCACCACCATGCACCATCGGTCACCACCATGCACCATCGGTCACCACCATGCACCATCGGTCACCACCATGCACCATCGGTCACCACCATGCACCATCGGTCACCACCATGCACCATCGGTCACCACCATGCACCATCGGTCACCACCATGCACCATCGGTCACCACCATGCACCATCGGTCACCACCATGCACCATCGGTCACCACCATGCACCATCGGTCACCACCATGCACCATCGGTCACCACCATGCACCATCGGTCACCACCATGCACCATCGGTCACCACCATGCACCATCGGTCACCACCATGCACCATGCATGCCGCTTTTTAGAGAGTCCAACAAGGAACGCCAACATGGCCACCCTAAACCCTGAACGCTGCTTCGAGTCTCGGGAAGCATTAGCACAATTGCTGGTCGCTCGCTCGTCAGCGTCGCAAACGATCGCTCGTCTGTGTCACTCAGTCAGACCTGCTGACTCCCTCCATGCGCCAACTTTTGAGACCTCCGTGTTGTCACACCTGAAATCACTTATGAGAATTCTCACAAGTGGTTTCAATTCAACATTGAGACCTCCGTGTCAGACCTGCTGTCTCAAAAATGGTCACTCGTCTCGTCTGTGTCGGACCTGCTGAGTCCCTCCATGCGGCGGCGCAAACATGCATTTAGAGTCACGAACCTTCCATCTCCGCCCCCCCCCCCCTTCCCCCACCCCTCCCCTCCCCTCTCCCCCTTCCCGTTTTTTTCGTAGCTCTTATTGGTCCCCCGTTTCCCCCTCTTTCCTCCCTCATCCCCATCGTCACCACCTCCTGTCGCCCCCCCCTCCAACCCAACACCCTTTCCCCCTCCTCCTCCTCCCCCCTCTGCTCGCCTTCCCATCACCAGGAGCGGTTTGTGAAGCGGCGGCAGCGCCTGCTGGGGCCCAATGGCTCCACGCTCAAGGCCATTGAGCTGCTCACTGGCTGCTACGTGCTCGTTCAGGTGTGGTTCTGTGCGGTGCTGCGCTGTGCCGTGCCGTGCCTGGCCGCGCTGTGCTGTGCTGTGCTGTGCTGAGGGACAGAGGTGCCGTGCCTCCCACCTCTCCCTCACATCTGTCCCTCTCACCTCTGTTGCTTCCCTATGTTGCTCATCTCTTACCTCCCATGGACCATCACCCATACCGCCATCGCCCACCACCCTCCCACCGCCCTCCCATCCCCCCCTCGCATGGCACTCCCAGCCCCCCCTTTCATGGCACTCCCAGCCCCCCCTCTCATGGCACTCCCATCCGCCCCCCATCCCCACGGCAGGGTAACGCGGTATCGGGCATTGGCACGCCTCGGGGGCTCAAGGCAACACACGGTGGTGCCTCAAATCAAATCCCCCCTTCCACCACCCTCCGTCCGCCCTCCTTCACCACGGCAGGGTAACACGGTATCGGGCGTCGGCACGCCGCGGGGGCTCAAGGCAGTGAGGCGCATTGTGGAGGACTGTATGAAGAACATCCACCCCATCTACCACATCAAGGTGTGCGCTCCTCTCTGCACGCACGCACGCATGCATGGATGTATAAATGTATGCACGCGTTTGGTCTGGGATAGGCCCCAAGTCAACCCGCATTGTGGAGGACTGTATGAAGAACATCCACCCCATCTACCACATCAAGGGGCCCTACGTGCATGCATGCATGCATGGATGTATGGTTGTGGCGTGGGACATCGAGATGCTGTACGCGTGCATGTCTGGGTAGTCTGGAATAGGCGCCAAGTAAACCCTTCATCGTGGAAAACATGTTATCGTGGAAAATAAATAGTTGTGGACGACAGGGGGTGGGGGACGGGGGGTTTAGCTTAGCACAAATCTGACTTCTCTCATCCGTACGCGGGTGCAAGGCGATTTTTGCGGCACCTTTGGACAGGCCGAATTTTGAAGAGGTGACTCTTGATCGACTCAAAAGTCGACAGGCATCTTGTAGAACAGCCCAAACTTCTCAATGCGTACACTCCCTCACACCCACCTCCCCGCCCTCGCTTTCCCACACCTCCCCACACCTCTCTCCACACCACCGCCTCGTGTCCTTCCTCCCCACCCAGACGCTGATGATCAAGCGCGAGCTGGAGAAGGACCCTTCTCTCAAGGAGGAGATCTGGGTTGTTCTTCCAGCCTTGGCGCCCCCCCCGCTCTCTTGTACTCTCGAAACCCCTGCAAACTCCCTCATACCTCCTTCTGTCCACTTCCCTCCAGACGCTGATGATCAAGCGCGAGCTGGAGAAGGACCCTTCTCTCAAGGAGGAGATCTGGGACCGCTTCCTGCCCACCTTCAAAAAGTAATAATTGGGTTGGGTTGGGAAGGTGGGGGGGAGGGGAAGTATGTATCAGCAGTGGAATGGAGATGCTTCCTGCTCACATTCAAAAAGTAATAAGTGTGGGCCCAGTCCAGGGCGGAAGGAGGAGTGTGGGAGGAGATCAGGGAAGTTTAGATTTGCGGTTTGCTGATTTTTTTTTTTTTTTTTTTTCCTGCCCCTGTTTGGCTTTCGCTGCTTCTCTTTCACCCTTGAAGCTTGTCTGTGCAATTTGCTGTTGGGAACCAACTGAAGCCGGTCCGCCCTGTCTCTCAGACAACAAAATCACCACTGTCCATCCATGCTTCCTCACTCCCCAAACCTCCCCACACTCTCCTCACTTCACCCACTCCCCCCACACCAGGAAGAACGTCCAAACTAAGAAGGTCAAGAGCAAGACCAAGAAGCCGCACACACCCTTCCCGCCGCCGCAGCAGCCCAGCAAGATCGATCTGGCGCTGGAGAGCGGCGAGTACTTCCTGTCGGCAGAACCCGTGTTGGAGGTGCCTCAAATATAGGCCTCCCCACACCTCCCCACACCTCCCCACACCTCCCCACACCTCCCTGCACTGCCCCCACCCCCCACACCCCCTCCCCCCCCCCCCCCCCGTTCCCACTCCCCCCACACCAGGAAGAACGTCCAAACCAAGAAGGTCAAGAGCAAGGCCAAGAAGCCGTACACGCCCTTTCCCCCGCCGCAGCAGCCGAGCAAGATTGATCTGGCGCTGGAGAGCGGCGAGTACTTCCTGTCGGCGGAGCGCAAGGCGGCTAAGAAGCACGCAGAGAAGATGGAGAAGCAGGAGGAGGCGGTGGAGGAGAAGAAGCGGAAGAGAGAGGAGGCGTTCCAACCCCCCAAGGTGCGTTGTGTTGTGTCTCTTGTGGCTGGCGGTAGCATGGCGACTTCTGAGGCGCCTCAAAAGGCGGTGGGGTGGAGGAGAAGAAGCGGAAGCGAGAGGAGGCGTTCCAACCCCCCAAGGTGCGTTGCATGACTTGCGTTTCTTGTGGTTGGGCTCTCCTTGTGCGAACTTAAACCTGTGTGAACATCAACCCAGGTAAATGGGAAAGGGAATGTACGGTCCGACATAAGTGTGTGGGGATGGGGAGGGGGAGCGGTGAAAGTGAAAAAGGGTAGGGAGAGAGCGTGTGAGAGAAAGTAAGAATACAAGGATTCTGAATTGCCGTACCCACCTGTACCCAGCTAAAGTATCCACGTATCCTCTTTCAGCTTCCCCCTTTCCAACTGCCACATTCCCTCCCCCACCTTTCCCCCGCCCAATAATATTCAACTCCCCTTTCTTTCTCCCCCACGCACCGAACCCCCCCACTTCCTCGTTCACCCCTCCTCCCCTCCCCCCCCTCCACCATCACAGCTGCGCAAGAACACGGCAGCAGGCAAGGCCGCACCGGGCAGCAGCAACAAGGTCACAACGGAGGACGTGGCATCCATGGCCAGGGCCCTCAAGGAGAAGACCAGCAAGCCTGCTGCTGGCTCTCGCTTCGTCCAGGGGCAAGGTGCAGAGGCGTTCCTGGCTGTGCCTGTTGCTGGAGGTGCTGGCGGTGGGGAGGGGGAGAGGAGGAAGAAGAGAAAGAAGAAGGCAGCTGCAGCAGATGAGTAGGGGTGATGTAGGGTCGAGTCAGGTCTGGCTAGGTGCAGGTCTGGAGATGGGGGGTTGAAGGAGAACAGAAGGGAGCGCAGGTGCAGAGTTTTGTTCAACATTTTGCATTGAAGCTAGGGCAGATGACGACTGGAGACTTTGGAGGTTTACATCGCTGTTCCCAAACAGATGCTGAAGAATCTCTGTTTCTGAGTCTGACTCGAGGCCCCTTTTTGCAAGCATCTAGCATTCTTTGGCCTGATTTGTATCCATGGAAATGCACTGGAAAAGCTTTGCACTCCAGTCACATGATGTTGTGATGGTACAGATAGAGGTGTAGGTAGGTACCTTTATTACAGTTTACCACTCTTGTAGGTAGATAACAAAGAATTCAATGAAGTATCATTACCACAACTGCTGTTAAATGATCCAGGCATGAATAGTATAAATCCCCATACATAAGTTTAGGCCTGCCTGCCTTACGGCACCAACAGCTACATGCTTAATGGAAAATCTCGAGAACGCAAACCGGTCAGCTGGATCAGAAGCGTGGTAAATAATGAAAACTCAGGAACAGTTACTGAGTTAGGGCCAGGCCGGGGGCACACTGCTGTTCCTAATCACTGCTGCTGCTTTTTGCTTGCACTATGACGCTTCGCTTGGGCTGAGCCTTAGGCCTTGACACCCTGGTTCTCCAAAAGCTTGCTTGATTCATATCTGATAAGGCACAGCACCCTTTCCATAGGCCCAGCTGCATGCCTCTTGAGTCGACTGGTAATAGGCCCAGCTGCATGCCTCTTGAGTCGACTGGTAATAGGCCCAGCTGCATGCCTCTTGAGTCGACTGGTAATAGGCCCAGCTGCATGCCTCTTGAGTCGACTGGTAATAGGCCCAGCTGCATGCCTCTTGAGTCGACTGGTAATAGGCCCAGCTGCATGCCTCTTGAGTCGACTGGTAATAGGCCCAGCTGCATGCCTCTTGAGTCGACTGGTAATAGGCCCAGCTGCATGCCTCTTGAGTCGACTGGTAATAGGCCCAGCTGCATGCCTCTTGAGTCGATCAGTTGTCTGTGGTTGGCTGTCCTGCTGCTATGCAGTCTGTTAGTGCGTGACTTGGCAGTTCATACAGCTGGTTATCTCTGTCCACCTGTGAACACACAAACACACGTGGGTACCCATTGGCAAGTTTCCACACACGCACGCACGACACTCACTCACTCAAGCACGCACACACGCACATGCACACACACACACACACACATGCACACACACATACATACACACACGCACTCACTCACTCACGCACGCACGCACACACACACACACACACACACACTCACTCACGCACGCACACAGATGCACACACACACACACACACACACACATAAACACACATGCACATTGCATATGTACGCACAATGAGTGGCAGATTAGGGGGTAAGGGACCATAGTACTGCAGGAAACGCTTGAATGGAATCTTGCAAAAGCTGACAGCAGAAAAGGCCTGGATGCATTCTAGTTCAGAGGAGGCGCTGTGATATCACCAGAGGCACCTTCTGTAACAGATTAAAGGCACTGCCTGGTTCGAGGGGCATGCAAAGGCAGCTCACCAGCTGCAGCAGTCGCAGGAAGTGTGCGGACCCGCGTCGAAGAGTGGAGCTAGAGCCGATTATCAGTAGCTTCGCCTGAGGGTTTCAGGGGTGATGGGCATGGGGTGATGGGCATGGGGTGATTGGCATAGGGTGATGGGCATAGGGTGATGGGCATAGAAGGGGCAACACAGTGATCGGATGGGATAACAGCAGAGCAGAGACGTCGGCATGGAGGGGTCAGACTTCAAGCAATGTTCCAGGCGTGAAGGGTGATGGGATAAACGCGGACTCCGCAGAGCGCTCAAGAAACATACGCTGAAAAGTGGCGCATGAAAATCGCTTAACAGAGATCATCCTACCTTGGCTCGTGTGATGGCGACGTTGCAGCGGCTCGGATCCGCCAGCACGGGCCCCAGCTGGCCGCGCCGGTTGCACCGCACCGTGCTGAACACCACACACGCCTTGTCCCGCCCTTGAAACCGATCCACTGTATCCACCTCCACCTCCCCACCCACTCCCCCCTCCCTTCCCCCTGCCACACCCCCCTTCGCGTCCACTTTCCCGCTCCCTCCGTTAACCCACGCCCCCTTGACGCCCTCTTCTCCCCCATCACCACCGCTGCTCCCTCCCCCTCCTCCCCCTCGCCCGAAGACTCTCGTCAGAGCAGCTCTCTGTGCCTTGACTTGCGCGTTGTACACCGTGGCCACGCCGATGTCACACGCAGGCAGCCCTGCTGCTATTAGGGAGGCCACTATTCGCGCCACAATTGTCGCCTCTCCCTCGTTGCACGTCGACTCCTTCTCCCTGGTTTCCTGCATGCCCTCCACTTCAGCTACAGGGGGACAGAAGGGAAGAGGGGAAGAGGAGAAGGGGGGAAGAGAGGGAGAGCGAGAGAGATAGAGGGCTGTTTGAGAGGGAAGAGACGGAGAGAGCAGCTCTCTGCGCCTTGACCTGCGCGTTGTACACCGTGGCGACGCCAATGTCACACGCGGGCAGCCCTGCCGCTACTAGTGACGCCACTATCCGCGCCACTATTGCTGCCTCGCCCTCGTTGCACGTTGACTCCTTCTCGCGGGTTTCCTGCATGCCCTCCACTTCAGCTGCAGAAGGACAGAGGGGAAGAGGGGAGGGGCGGAGGGGGGACACGGGAAAGAGGGAGCAAGAGAGGGAGGACCATAGGAGAGACGGATGGAAAAGAGTCAACGGGGAGAAACATTCATGGCTGTGTGTGCGTGTGAGTGTGAGTGTGTGCGTGAACAGTAACCCTCCTGTAAATGCTGAGAACCTACGAGGCACCTGAAGAGTCTGCTGCTGCTTACCTGTGTCAAGAAAGAGCAGCCGTTTTTCTGGATCAACCACCTGCCAGGTACCACATAGAGAGAAACTTCAGCAGAGATGCTGATGTTACTTTTGAGAATTCTCAAAAGAGACATCATGAGCCTGTGGTGTACAGAAAGGACACCACCCGCAAGCCCCACTTCCCTTCCCCCTCGTCCCCGCGTCCTACCGCAAAAAAAAAAAAAAAAAAAAAAAAAAAAAAAAAAAAAAAAAAAAAAAAAAAAAAAAAAAACCGACAACCTCGTCTCACCTGCTGTAGCCACAGAGGCAGACCCCCCTTCGTCTGCCCTGTTCCCGTCCCCATGCCCAGGACCGAGTCTAGCTTCGGCAGGACCAGCCTGGCGTTGCTGACAACCTCGGACCCGCACTTCAAGCGCCCCTCGTACACGAGCTCATTGGCGAGAGCCATGACGGGGCGGCACATGCGGTACTGCGTGCTCAGATGCGCCACTGCCTCTGGATGCGCCTCTGCCAGCCGCTGCAGCAGACTCACCCCCAGCCCCTGCTGCCGCGCCCTGGGGTCCTGTTGGGGACGAAGGAAGGTTGAGGTAAGGTGGGGGAAAAGGCAGGGAAACGGAGGGGGAAGGAGGAAGGGAAGGCGAGATGGAGCTAGTCACACACCTGATTGAGGTTTTATAGAATTCTCAAAAACCAGAAATCTCAAAAACCAGAATTTCAAAAACCAGAAATCTAAAAATCCAGAATTTCAAATACCACAATTCCCAAAAACCGGATAAAAAACAAAAAAAAACCAGAATTCTCAAAAACCATAATTTTACAAAACTAGTCACGCACCTGATTAAGTGAGTGGGTGAAGGAGGGTTGAGGTGGATGGTGCAAGGGTGTGTACCCAAACAAGAGGTGATTTTTTAGTCGAGTAAGAAAGGTGGAAGGTGCAAGGGTGTGTGTACGTACCCGAACAAGTGGTGGTAGCTGGTGCAGATCTCCCAGCAGCACGAAGGTCAACTCTTGGGGCGCCTCAAAAGATGTACGTATGATTTAGTGTGAGTGGGTGAGCGAGGATCGAGGTTGAAAGGTGCAAGGGTGTGTGTATGTACCCGAACAAGTGGTGGTAGCTGGTGCAGATCTCCCAGCAGCACGAAGGTTGACGCCAGGCGTAGCGGGCCAAGGGCCTCCTGTAAATGCGTGCGCACACACACACACGCATGCACGCACACACACACGACATCAGATGAGAGATTAAATGGTGTATGGTGTGACATATCATGCCACACATGCCCACCATCCTCCACACACTCCCACCCACTCCTACACACTCCCCACAACTTCTCTCCTCCCCTCCCCTTTTCTCCCAATAAGCCCCTCTCACCGGCAGGGTCGTCTGCCCCGCCTCGTCCAGTATAGCCACGTCAAAGCGCTTGCGGGCGAAGAGTGACTGCCCCACGCCCAGGCAAACCGGACCACCCAGGGCGCCCCCTGTTCTCAAAGTCTCCCCATGCTTGATACACCCTCTCCCCTCCCTCCTCCCAAGCAGCCCCTCTCACCGGCAGGGTGGTCTGTCCCGCTTCGTCCAGTATAGCCACGTCAAAGCGCTTGCGGGCAAAGAGCGACTGCCCCACACCTAGGCACGTGCACCCCACCACTGACGCGCCCAGCCCCACAGCCTCCATGCCTGCTACACTGCCCACGTCCATGCCTCCTCCTGAGGATGGGATAGGGCGAGGGAAACTTGGAAAGAGCGTGAGATGAAGCACATGGAAGGGCGTCAGGGCAGGGTAGGGAAGAGAGCACCCCACGCCCAGACACGTGCACCCCACCACTGACGCGCCCAGGCCCACTGCCTCCATGCCCGCTACACTGCCCACGTCCATGCCTCCTCCTGAGGACGAGTGTAAGAAAAGGGAGAAACGATAAGGGAAGAGGGAAGAGCGATGGGGACGAGGAGAGAGGGAACAGGACAAGGGACGAGGGGGCAGTAGTGTATGGCAGGAGCAGGTCCGGGTATACTGAGAATTCTCAGATGCGACTCCATTGACTTTTGAGTCGACTCAAGAGGGGCCAGTAGTGTATGGCAGGAGCAGGTCCGAGTACACTGAGAATTCTCAAATGTTACTCCATGATAACATACATACAGATCCCTCTCAAGTTTTGAGAATTCGCAAAGGGCCCTCTTTCTGCTCACCTCTGTCGTTGAGAGTGTAAGGCAGCAGGTCCGGCTGCACAGCTGCAGGCTTTTGAGACGTCCCAAATTTCGAATTCCGTCATGTGTACATTGCCCGCCCTCCCGCTCACCTCTGTCGTTGAGAGTGTAAGGCAGCAGGTCCGGGTGCACAGCTGCAGGCCTCCCCACACGCAGCACCGCCACTCCCTGCCGTTAGATGAATCACAGGGGCGCAGCGCAGGAGGAAGAGTATGGTTAAGGGGCTACAGGGTTTCAGCAGACTTTGGTGGACAGTCCGTCCGTGTTTTGGTGTGAGCTGCTCTTCTCGTTAAAGCCTCTCTCTTCCAGGCGCCTCATAAGTCATAACACTCTACCTACCCACCCACCTGTGGTCGACAGCCGTGTTGGTGTGAGCCGCCACTAGCACCTGCACCTGCACCACGCCGTGCTCTTGCCTGCACCTGTGTTGGTGCGAGCAGCTCTTGTCATGCGCCTCAATAGTCACTCTACCCACACACCTTTTTTCATGAGCTTCAGGAGAATGTGGTCGACAGCCGTGTTGGTGTGAGCAGCTCTTTCATCGCTTCAATTTCAGGCGCGTCAGTAGTCTCTCCATCCACCCCACCCACCCACCCACCTTTTTCATGAGCTTCAGGAGAATGTGGTCGACAGCCGTGTTGGTGTGAGCAGCCACCAGTACTGACCGCCCCCCAGCAGCTAACGCCTTCACCAGATGCACCACCGCCGTGCTCTTGCCTGCACCTGGCCCGCCCTGCACCACCAGGTAGTCCCGTGCTGACATGGCCTGGGCAAGGATAGGCGTGAGAGTAGGAGTAGGGGGTAAGAGTAAGAGTAGAAGTAGGAATAGGAGTGGCATAATGCATGCTTGTTTCTGTCTGCGTGCTGTGCCATGAGACACAACACACACTGCCACGGATTCATTCTTATCCGACTCAACAAAAACGGATCGTGTCTCAGCCTTGATCATGTGGCTGAGGTATTGAACAACTACTTCTGTGTGTGTGTGCAGTCCAACGGGCTCACCTTAATGACTGCTTGCTTCTGATCATCGTTAATCTCTCGGGGTGATAGGGAGGAAAGATACGCCATGCTGTCTGGATGGATGTCCTCAGGCGGGGAGAACTGGGGAGGCTGCAGATGGGTGGATAGGGGGATGGGGGGAAGGAGAGATGGGGGGATGAGTGATAGGAGGATGGGGTGATCGAGGGGAGAGAGGGGCATGGAAGGAGAGTGAGAAGAGTGGAAGGTCACACACACACACACACACACACAAACACAACACAATTATTCACTCACACACACAGAACTAGCACCCTCACTTGCCCTCCCACCTCCAGATGCACCACCAGTCGTCTCCGGCGGTCATTTTCAAGCGAGGGCAGAAACAGCCCGACGAGGTTGAACCTCAGCTGCCCGCCTCCCCCTCCCGCCATCTCGTCCTTGTCCACTCGCCACCTCTCACTCCACACCCGCCTCTCCTCCTCCTCCTCTCTCCCCGCTGCTGGTCCGCTTCTACTCGGCAGCCGTAACTGACGGTGAGCTCTCATCTGGATTGGACGGACGCACACGGATGAGGGAGTGAAGAATAAGGGGTCAGGGGCTTGGATGAATACAGACGTTTTTGTTCACGACTCTTCCACCTCTCTTCTCCCTCACCAATCACCCACAGACAAGCAACAAGCAACAAGCAAGCAGGCAGGCAGGCAGGCAGGCAGGCAGGGACTCACGGTGATGTTATGGGGTGTAACTGCAGTGATGGTGGCAGTAGCTACTCCAGCCTGCCCTGATACGGTGCTCAGGATCTGAAAGAACGACAGGATGGAAGGGCGTGAAAGGGTGTGAAGGGGTGTGAAGGGGTGTGAAAGGGTAAAGAAGAAACGGACAGGCACACGCACACGCAGGAGCCGCCGCGCGGTCATGTCTTTCAAACTCGCCAAGAAAGATTGAAACGTGAGCAAATTCAGTAATAAGAATGACAAACAAGAAACAGCAGCTTGCTCTCTCACCACATAGTCGCCAGCAGCAAAGCCTGTCTGGTCCAACCTTCCACTCCCACTCTGACTCCCCCCACCACCACCACCACCACCACCACCACTGCTGCTGTTGCTGCAGTTCTGTATGCTCCAGGCTCTCTTGAACGTATACTCCCACTGGTCCCTCGACTGCCCTATCCGCCCATCCGCCAACACAGCAGCTGCCGCCGTGCCCACTATTTGAGTACACCCACCCCCTCCTGCCGTTCCCACCCCTGCTCCTGCTGCTCCTGCTCCTGCTCCTGCTCCACCTGCTCTTGCATCTGCTGCTGCTTCTAACACTCCTTCAGGTGGTTTGATTGAGGCGAGCTGCAGGGGACCAATGCAGCGCCCGGTGGCCTCTCGCTCCTCCGTGGGCATGGCCCAGATGTCAGCATGAGAGGCCTGCGGCAGGGAGGGACGAGGGATGAGAATGGAGCAGGCATGCACAAGAGGAAGCAGGGGAAAGGACGGTTGTTGAGGTTGGGGCGACTCAAGAACAGGCTGATGCAGCGTCCGGTGGCCTCTCGCTCCTCTGTGGGCATGGCCCAGATGTCAGCATGAGAGGCCTGCAAGCAGTGACGAGAATGGAGAAGGCATGGACGGGAGGGAGGCGGGGCGGAGGCGACTCAAGAACAGGCTGATGCAGCAATCAGTGGCCTCTCTCTCCTCTGTGGGCATGGCCCAGATGTCAGCATGGGAGACCTGCAGGTAGGGGCGAGAATGGAGTGAGCATGACGGGTGGGAGGCAGGGAGGCAGGGAGTGAAGAGCAAAAGGGAGAGAGAAGAGTTCAACCTCTGCCCCACTCGGTGCCACAGCTGTCCTATCGCTCCCAGTGGGTCAGAAGCAGCGGTCCTGCCTTTGAAGCAGATCTAAACCCAAAACTCAAACCTTAAACCCTAGTTCCCATACACTATACTCTACACCCTGATCTTTAAATTCTATAGTGTAAACCTTGGGCAGGTCAGGATGCCCTCCACTGCTCGCCCCGCCTCTTTTTGAGACGTCACGGAACGGAATTCGTTTTCCTACTCACAACTGCACTGTTCGTCTCCATATCCACCAGTCGCTCCCAGTGACTCAAGTCTCTTTTGCACAGTGCATGAGGCTCCACTGCTACCTCTGCCTCTTTTGAGACGTCCCAGAAACAGTTCCCTACTTACAACTGCACTGTTCGTCTCCATATCCACCAGTCGCTCCCAGTGACTCAAGTCTCTTTTGCACAGTGCATGAGGCTCCACTGCTACCTCTGCCTCTTTTGAGACGTCCCAGAAACAGTTCCCTACTTACAACTGCACTGTTCGTCTCCATATCCACCAGTCGCTCCCAGTGACTCAAAAACTGCGCATCCTTCTCGCCCCACTCCTCGCCCCGCTCCTCGCCCCACCCTTCGACCCACTCCTCGCCCCACTCCTCGCACTGCCTCTTTTCCTACTTACAACTGCACTGTTCGTCTCCATATCCACCAGTCGCTCCCAGTGACTCAAGAACTGCGCATCCTTCTCGCCCCACTGCTCGCCTCGCCTCTTTGCCACCTCCTCTGCGAAGGCTGAAGGGTCAGAGGCAGGGTGTGTGTGGTCCTGAAGCTGTTGTGGGGGCAAGGGGAGGGGGGAGAAGAGGAGGAAAGGGAACGTGCCGAGGGTAGGACAAAAAGTAAGAGCCCTTTGGAGACATGCATGCATTCGAAGGGGCACATTGCAACAGTTATTGAGTAGTAAGTGCAGTAAGCCACAGCAGGTGCAGCCGTTACCTTGAAGTATGACGAGCACACGTCGAATTGGCTGCAGTTGTTGCACTGGTTCACACTCTGCCATGTTCACAGTGAAGAAAAACACGGTTTCCAAAGACAGAGGAGAAGACACAAAGAAAACACAAGGGACGGGGGGAAAGGGGGGTGTGTGGGGCGGGGGGAGAAACGCAAACAAACAGCATGAGAAGGAATAAAAGTACACATGATTTGAGTACTACATGGATCAGCCTCACACATGAACGGTACACCAGCCATGACCCTAACCCAATCATACATGGCCTCTTCCCCAGTGCCTACCTCGAGGACAGGTGGCAGCTCCTGATACGCCGAAGCTCTTTTCAAGTCGTTGGCCAGGATGTTCCGCCGGATGATCAAGCCCACCAGCTCCCTGCGACTCACTTGAATGCCCTGTGGGGCATTAAGGGAAAAGAGGTATGGGGGAAGAGGTAAGGGCCACGGTGCATGCAGCTTGGGGTATGAGGTATGGATTAAGGGTCATGAGGTTTGGTGCATAGAATATGGTGCATGCATGGGGCATGGGGCGTTTGGGATGCGGTATGTAGCATGGGGAGTGGTGTATGAGAATGGGACATGGGCACGGGGCATGGGTATGGGCACAGGGCATGGGCAGGGGGTATGGGCATGGGGCATGAGCATGGGGCATGCGCATGGGGCATGGGCATGGGTCATGCGCATGGCATGGGGTATAGGGCATGTTGTGCTGAGATGTACCACATGCCCCATGGTGCTGAGTTCTTCAGGCTGAGCAGCACCAGCCCTGGAATCACCCCTGCTGGCATGCTCTCGATGCCTCTCACATTCACCTACTTACCCCACCCCACCACACCACATCACACCACGCCACATTCCACCACATTCCACCACATTCCACCCCAATGCACCGCAACCCACCCCTGGCACTCACGGTGGTGGTGCTGTTGTGCAGGTTGAGCAGCAGCCCTGTACTCACGCCCTGCTGGTACCGCTCTGCCATGAGCAAGCAGTAAAGCATCACCTGCGCCCTGTGCTCTATGGCCGCCTGGGAGGGAGTGGGAGGAGGGTGTGTTTGTGTGGCAACAATAAGAGCAAGGGCAAGGGATGCGCCCAGGTTGGCTGGTAGCGCTCGCTCTGCCATGAGCAGGCAGTACAGCATCACCTGCGCCCTGTGCTCCATGGCCGCCTGGAGGGAGAGAGGGAGGCAAAGGGTAGAGAGCGGGAAGGGAGGCTTTTGTGGGGTGAAAGCAAGGTCAAGGGCAAGGGGATGGCTGGTACCGCTCTGCCATGAGCAGGCAGTACAGCAGCACCTGCGCCCTCTGCTCTATGGCCGCCTGGAAGGGGCAGTTTAAGAGAGGCAGGCGGGGGGGAAGAGGGGGGGGAGGCGTTTACGTGGTAACAGTAAGGGCAAGGGCAAGGGATGCGCCCAGGTTGGCTGGTAGCGCTCGCTCTGCCATGAGCAGGCAGTACAGCATCACCTGCGCCCTGTGCTCCATGGCTGCCAAACGAAGAAGAAGAAGAAGAAAAAAAAGCCCCCCACTATGTCCATAAGAAAGCATACCTGGTTGGTTTTTGAGTCGACTCAAAAACAAGCCCCCCACTATGTCCATAAGAAAGCATACCTGGTTGGAGCTACTCCTCCCAGTCTTCACCTCCAGAGGCATCATCACCATCTCCTCCCCCTCCGCATCCCCTCCCTTCCCACCCCCGCCACTCGCTTTCCCCTTCCACCTCCCCGCTCCTGCCCGCGCTCCCTGCTGGCCCCCCATCCTTCCCCCCACACCCGCCACTTCCTTTCCCTTGTTGCGCACTGCCACACGCACTGACACGTCCAGACGCCCTTTGAGGCCCAGCCTCGGGCTCCACACGGTCTCCTCTATGTCCACCACCTGGACAGATGCAAATGCGAGAGAGGAGCAGACACGGGCAGGGGAGTGCTTGAGTAAGCCACGCTTGTGCGCACAAAGAGACACGTCCAGCCGCCCTTTGAGGCCCAGTCTAGGGCTCACAGTCTCCTCTATGTCCTAGAGGAGACTGTGTGCTGCTGCGTGTCTTACCACACCCCCCACGCTGTGTCCACCTCCTGGGAACACACAGGCCGTGGGTGGATAGCACACAGCGTGTGGGGGTGTCTTGGTAAGACACGCAGCAGCAGCAGCAGCAGCGCCAGCAGCGGCGGCAGTGGCGGCGGCAGCGGCAGCAGCAACACCGATACTGAAGCATCCAATAGCAGCAAAGGCACATCCAGCCCTTCATCTGCTTTCCAACATCCCGCACTAGCGCCTTCCTCTCTCACTCACATGCACCGTACCGTACCGCTCTCGACATTCAACACTCAACACTCAGCAGCACAAGCAGTGGTACCTTGGCCAGTCGCATGTGCCGCTGCTCGCCTCTATTGCCAAATGGTACAGCCGCCAGGGCGCTAGACTGACATCGGAGGGCGGGGTGGGGTTGTGGGAGTTGGGGAAGGGTGGAGTGGGAGGGGGTTGAGCTTCGGTGGGGGGAGGAGGTGTAGGGGTTGAAGGGGGGAGGAAGAGCAGAAGAGAAGGGGATGGGTTAACTAAACAGTGACTCACAATGAGAACGAGAATGCTGAAAGGACAACGAGATAGAAGAAAGCGTGAAAGAGTGAGTGCACAAGTGAGTGAGGGAATGAGTGAGTGAGTGAGGAGGAGAGTGTGTGGTGGTACCTTGGGGTAGAGGAACTGGTGCACCCAGGAGAGCACAGTGGGAACCGCCTCCTGCAGCTGCTGCAATGCCCACGCTTCGTCCTCTGCTCGCGCATACAATGGGACATGTAGTGAAAGACAAGGAAACAAGACAGCACGATCTGATCTGAAAGGGCGCCTCATCATCAGACGCCAGAGTTTCGTGTTGGGACAACCAGTGACATAAAGAGACATAGAGAGTCAAAAACATTGGCGCCAATTCAAGCTATTTAGCAACCTCCGAGTCCCCAGCCCACTACCTCACTCAACAAACATTCACGCCTACACATGCACGTGTCACGTCATAACTTCACACACACCTGACCTGCCCGACCTACCTGCTCCATCCCAACTCACTCGCAAGTGCAAAAAGCGTGTCTGTGTGCGACTGGCTGATGGCTACTGCTGCCTCCTCCAGGTGCTGTGCTGATAGTGATGCTCCTGCCTCGTGCTGCAGTGCCACCTGGTGGGGGTCAAGGTGAGGTGAGAGGAGTGAGGGTTTGAGTCATTGTGAATCGACCCGACACACGATACAAGATGCACGAATGGCTGCTGCTGATGGCTATTGCTGCCTCCTCCAGGTGCTGTGCTGATAATGACGCACCTGCCTTGTGCTGCAGTGCCACCTGGTGGGGGTCAAGGTGGACGTGAGGCGAATGTCGGCACGAGAGTAAGAGTAGGTTTGAGTTGATATATTGTGAATAGACATGAGACGGCACGAGAGTAAGAGTAGGTTTGAGTTGATATATTGTGAATAGACATGAGACGGCACGAGAGTAAGAGTAGGTTCGAGTTGAGATATTGTGAATAGACATGAGACATGGGATAGATGCGTTCCTGCAGCTGCTCCTGCTCATCAGTATCCTGCAATGGATTCCGTGGGATGACATCGTGCCTCCACCAGCTGAGGCAGCATTGTGCCTCGCAGGGCCAGCGCAGTGACGTCTTTTGAGACGTCTCAACAGGCATTCCCTGCTGCTGCTGCTGTTCCTGCTCAGTAGTACCCTACCCTGTTCATCAATTCCCTGCCACCGCCTTGCTCTTACCTGCACCAGCTGATGCAGCATTGTCCCTCGCAGGGCTGGCGCAGTGACGTCCCTCTGCCGCACTCTCTCCTCCAGCACCGCCCTCCGCCCACACGCAAAGCTGCCCCCCACCTGAGATGGGGTTGGTTGGGAGTATGGGGAAAGTGGGTGGAATGAGGTTAGTCTAGAGCATGGGGACAAACGGAGTGTGAGGGCTTTTGAGGCACCTCAAAGGTCGGGCTAACGCAGTGACGTCCCTCTGCCTGGCTCTCTCCTCCAGCACCGCCCTTCGGCCACACGCAAAGCTGCCCCCCCACCTGACAGGCATGGTTTGGGTTGAGGTTGGTTGAGAGCGTGGGGAGAGAAGATGGGGGGGATGGCTGTGAACAGCCGAGGGGTGCAACACAAGAAGAAAGAGAGGGGGGTGGGGGGGAAGGGGGGGGGGCGGAGGAGAGAGATAGTACGGAGCCTGCACGCACACACGCACGCACACACACACATGCACCCACGGTGACTGTAAGAGATGCTTCTTACCCGAGAGCCAGAGATAAGGACATCTGGATGCAGGATGAGCATGCCGTTGTTAACGTCCACAATCACCACCCTCTCCTCTTCCCCTTCCTCTGCTGCTGCCCCTGCTCCTGCTGCCCCTGCTCCTGCTGCCTGCTCTTTAGTCTGGGGTTGCCCGCCGATGAGCGCCACAGTGTCACCGGCTGACACAGGCACGTCCAGCCTGCAGGCAGGGGAAAATGGTAAGGTAATACCAGTGCACAAGAAAGCGATGCTGCTTGTGCTGATGAATTTTTTAGCAAGGCGGGCGTGAACTAGAGGAGGGAGGGAAGAGAGAGGAAGGGAAAGAGAGGAAAGCGGAGAGAGGGTGGAGAAGAGCTGTGAGAGAGGACAGAGGGTAGAACGAGGGCATACCAGTCGTCACGGAGAAGCACTTGCACAGGGCGGTGGGGTTGGGCGCGCATGCGAACACGCAGCACCTGAGACGGACGGAGAGAAGAGGGCGTTGGACGTGGCAAGAACATGGCATTGAGGTTGGTCGGGACACGTCGTGGAGTGAGGCAGGCAGGGGGGGAGAAATGGAGGAAAAGGCTTCTGAGTCGACGCAAGAAAGCATGAGACACAGCAACGACATGGCATTGAGAGGGTGGTGCAAGGGGCGGGGTTGGAGGAATGGAAGGGAAGACATTGCCTACTCCCTCATCACTCTCCATGGCTCCAATAGTTTGCATTGCTCACAAGAAGGCACACATTACAAAACCTCACAAGCAGCTTCAATGCTGCTGTAGCTTCTGAGGACTCTCAGAAGCGAATTCAATGTTGTTGTACCTTTTGATGCTGCACTGTTGCGATGCCACGCGCGTTGACAGCACTGAACGTCGCCTCCCATGCCTGGAATGCGGATGCATGGTGGGGTGGATGGATGGATAGACATGGAGGGGGGATGTATATGAATGGAGAGTGCGCGCTGTAAAGCAAAGAACATGTTCATTCAGGGCTGCTGCCCTTTTCACACCCCGCTCCTTTTCCCCAAGGCACACCACACCATGCTCATACGGTCATACCTCCAGAACTAGTGCATGCTCCATCGTAGCAGCAGTACACTTAAGCTGCTTCTCCTCCTCCCCTTCCCTCTTCGCCTCCCTTCTCTCCCACTCCTCCTCTTCCTCCCCCACCTCCTCCCCTCTCTCCCTCACCCTGTCTCTACAACCACGGCGTTCCTCGCGTGCATCACTACCCTGTGCTTGCTTGTTTTCTCTCGTGCAGCCACCTTGCTGCTGTTGCTCGTCTTCCACCGCCATAGCATTTATTTCGGACAGAAACTCTTCCATCTCCTGCTGCTGCTGCTGCTGCTGCTGAAGATGCTGCCGCCTCTGCTGCTCCTCGTACTGCTGCTTCTGCTGCTCCTCCTCCTCATGCTGTCTTTGTTGCTGCTGCTCCTCATTCTGCCACAACTGCTGCTGCTCCATATTTTCCCTCATGCCCTCTCCAGCCATTCCTTCGCCACAACCCCTCACAACGTTATCACAACCCTCCAAACCGGTAACATCCTCCTTAACTCCCAACCCATCACCGCCTTTCCCACTCCTCTCCCCACAGTTCCTCTGCAAAACCACTTCTTCCACCCCCTCTACCTCATCTCCTTCCACTTCTTCCCCCAGCAACACTCTTTTCATGCCTCCCTCTCCCATGTCCATCCCATCCATCCCTCCCATCTCTAGCGAATCTTCCTCTTCTTCCACCCCTCCATTCACCATCCCCATCGCCCATGCGCAAGCCTCCGCCTCAGCCCCTAGCATGCCAATCCCCTGCTTCTGCTGCTCCCCTTGATCCCTGGATACGCCTATAGAGCTTTGGTGTGGCTGGCAGGCTTTGAATGGAGCTGGATCAGCAGCCGCAGTAACAGAAGTGCCAGTAGCAGCACCAGCAGCAGCAGTGCCAGCAGCAGGAACAGTAGGAGCAGCAGGCAGTGCCACATCGTGGTTGGGAGAGTCCTTGCAGCGCCTGTCTTGCATCCACTGCCCCACAATCTTTACCCTTCCCAGTAGCGCATGCCTTGGCAGGGAAAGTCACATCGGTAGCGGTTTTCACTGTGCCTTTGACGATGGTGGCTTCAAGCTCGTCCAGGATCTTCAGCACTCCCTGCAGTGGACAGTACAGCATTAAAAGGTGCTTGCACACACAGATACATGCACTAACGCACACACACACACATGAGTACATGCACAACCACAATCTCGGGAGCAAGCACAAGTACATGCCAAGCTGCTTTTTTTAGATTCTGCAGGAACAATAACCGCCAACCACCCAACACTCACGAATTATGTCTATTCACCTTGTGTCGTTTCGCGCTCATTCTTCGGCTGCGACCCACAAGGGGCTTTTCCGTAGCAGAAGCCCCAGCAAGAACAGCAGCAGGAGCAGCAACATTAGCCACGCCAAGCGCAGCAGGTTCCTTTGGCTCATCACCGACCACCTTCTCCTTGCCATCATTTGCGTCAGTAAATCTGTGACTGCGTCTGTTGTGACTGTAGCCGTTGTGACTGACGCGAGCGCAACCAGAAGCATCCGTTTCAGTGATATCGCATGCACCCAGTCCCTCCTGGCGCTTCTGCTTCCGCTTACTGCCAGTCGAACTGCAAGCTAGCAGGCTACATAAGGGAAGAGCAGCAGGTGGACTACCGTTCCCCTCATTCCCCTCTATCTGGTCTCGATTTGCCTTTATCTGCTTATCGCTCTCCTTTCCGCTCTCTGCATTCCCTTCCGCCTTCACCACAGGGACTTGGCAGTTGCCGTCTTCGCCAGGCCTTGCCTTTACCTTATCCTGGGCGGCCGCTGACTCAGCATGCAAGCATGCTGACTCAGCCTGCACATCTTCCCCCATCTCGTCCAGTTCACTCGAGCGCCGTCGTTTTTTGGATTGCGTTTCGCCCTTCGGTTTTGGCTCGTCGGGGTTCACACACGAAACATCTCTGTTGGTAACCAGCCGCTTCACACCATCACCAACTTCGTCCTTTTCGCCACAGTCTTTGGCTGTTGTGCGATTGCAAGGAACAGTAGATGCGGCAGATCGACTTGCTGCTACTACACCTGCTCCTGCCAGTGCCTCTGCCGTTGCTCTTGCCGTTGCTCTTGTCGTTGCTCTTGTCGTCGCTCCTACTGCTCCTTCTGCTTCTCTCTCTTCAGGCGCCCTTACCAGCGGCACTTCCTTCCCTGCAGTTTCCTTCCCCGCCGTTCCCTTCACTGTTGTCTCTTTCCCCAACGTTTCCTTCCCTGCCGTTTTCTTCCCCGCGGTTTCTTTCCTTGCAACTTCCCTCCCCGACCTTTGCGTCTCCGACGTTGCCTTCCCCGCCGTTTCCTTCCCCGCCGTTAACTTCCCTGCAACTACTGCGCGCGCTGCTCCTACGTCACCTCCGCCAGCGCCATTGCTCCCCGCGCCGGCGGTAGTGACATCAGCCGCCGTCGCTCCTCGCGCGGAAACCACACGCGTATTTTGAGTCGACTCAAACCGCACTGCTCCTGCGTCACCTCCGCTAGCGCCATTTCTCCGCGCGCCGTCAGAACTGTCATCTGCCGCTGTCGCTCCACGCGCGGAAATCGCACGGGTGGTGTCAGCGATGGCGTCATTCCCTGCACGTGCAGCGGCCCACTTACCGAAAAAGTGTTTAATACCGAAGTTTGAGACGGCGGGAGGGGCGCTTCCTTTCTTCGCGGAGACCTTTTTGGGTCCCTGCGCGATTCAACGGCAGGAATCAAAACGGAATTCGGAGAATGAGAGAATTGGAGAATTGAAGAACCAGAGAATGGTTCAGCAATGCGGAGGCGGAAGGACTTAGAGAGATTCTTTTCTTTGCCATGCCGTAGTTGGGACTTTCAAAACAGCAGCACCGTCAAACGCTGATGCCGCAACGAGAAACGCGGAAACATGTATGCTGAAAAGGGAACTGACGCACGAAGTGCGATCCGATCGGACGCACTAGTGGGGCAAAACCAGATAGGAGGGTTTCTAGCCAAACCAGGAGTTGACTCTGTAGAGTGGCTTCTCACCTTCCCGCGCATTGTTGCTGCGGACTGAGACGGCACCACCATGCTATCGAGTTTCGGGTGTACTGATGCTTGACACAGATCCTTCGCTGAGGCACTTTCTGGGAAGAGAACGGAATCTGCGTTTCCTAATGCTGGCGGAAGGAGAATGCTTTTTAGAGCTTACAGTTTTAGCCTTGTTCCTACAACCGCTTATGCAGCAACAACGAATCTCACATCGAGTTAAGCTCCGCCAGTTAATTCCGCAAGTCCGAGCTGGATAAGTAAAGGTGGATACATGGCGGGCTACGAGGCAGTCGAGGTCGATGTCGCTTTGGCCTAAAACGCCGCCAGAACCTACGAAAGCTTTACACCTTCGAGGACTCTCAGAAAAAACAAACTCAGGGAACTTCCAGAGAACGGAAGTGATGCCATGATGAACCAGAGACCACAGGGAGATCTCGAGGCGCTGATCGTGGCAGAAGCGTCATTGTGGCTCTTCCGCACAAGGCAGAAGCCAGAGGCATGGGCTGACAAAATCAATATCATACTCGCTCATTACCCTACTCAGCACTTCTTCACCGCTCTTGAAAATGAGAAAACGCATGAAGCCGCATTCGAAAGAGCTTTGGAGTCCGGCCTTGAGGGTACCCAACCCACTCTACCCAGCCGGGGTGTTCCTCTGCGCACTGCCCCGCACCGACTCCCGCCAATTCCCATCTGCCCACACTTGCTGCTCGAAGTTTGAAAAGTTCAAATCTCCAAGTCGCCATACGCCCCTATACGCTTTTCGGGACAAACTCAATAGTGATACCGGGACCATTTTCTTACCATATAATTTGGTTTTATCTTGCATCTTTTACCAACCTCTTGCTTGATTTTAGAATCTTCCCAACATCAACAACCTCCTGATCCCAGGTTACTATGAGAATTTCCAGCTCTTTTTTTTAAATCCTACATGTCTAGTATGACGATCTTATCGTTATGTTGCCCACGTAATCGACATTTCCGAGAGTCATTAATGCAGATGCAACGAAGGCTTCTATAAAGGGGGGTACAAGCAAAAGTTTTTTGAAAGCCTTCGTTGCATCTGCATTAATGACTCTCGGAAATGTCGATTACGTGGGCAACATAACGATAAGATCGTCATACTAGACATTTAGGATTTAAAAAAAGAGCTGGACATTTCTATAGTTTGCGTTGCTTTCAAAATGTATAGTATGACGATATTATCGTTATGTTGCCCGCCTAATCTACATTACCGAGAGTCATTAATGCAGATACAACGAAGGCTTCTATAACTTTGGGTCGAATGGGGGGTACAAACAAAAGTTTCGATGGAATTTATGTACCCACTAACATGCAACTCACTATAACCTAACTACTAATACAAACATACATTGACACCCCCCCATAGGCTAAGTGAGGAACATAAAAACAACCGAGTTAAGCACATGGAAACCATACCAGTCAAAAGAAAGAACACAAAAATCTCAGGGTGGATCACTAAGTCACTACACAGTCTGAGCACAAAGAAGGGGTCATAAGGCCAGTTTAAGAATTCACAAATATATGAATAAGTATGTACAGCAAGAAAGAAGAGGTCAAACTACATCAACCAGGGACCTACCTAAACAAGGCCTAGTCGTATAGATAATTTGTGGTGGTCATCAGGCAGAAAGGGCCTTGATGAAGATGTATGCAGCGTTGGCCGCTGAAGCCACAAAGTATAGGCGCGCCTGCCCGCGTCGCTGCAGCTCTCGCAGTAGAAAGTACCACACGTCAATATACTACACTACACTCTACTCTTCAGTTGGCGCTTTCGACATAGGAGAATTATGGCCTTGTTGACAGCAAATTAAGTCGGTGCAGAGCTCGGCCACTCACCAAGGTCAGCGAGCAAGAATGTCAATCAGCGAAGCTCCTGCGCAGTCATGGAACTACCGTAGATCTCTGCCTCTGTGCTAGACTGCGCAAAAGACAACGACCGTAAACCTCGACGACACAGCACCAGAGCCCAAGCTGAAGCAATAGCCATGAGTAGACCTTTGGGTCTCGACATCGTCATCGTAGGAAGAGTCGTGACCGGTCAATACAACTGGCTGTGTCCCTCCAAGCACAAGCCCCACGCGTGATGTAGTCACCAGGTAATTCGCCACCTTCACAGCAGCCGTCCAGTTAACAGGACGGTGTCTCCCAGTCCCAACAAAGCGAGACAGGATGCCGAGGGGAAAAGCGAGGTCAGGGTGAGTACACGTCATCTGGTACATGAGGCATGCTACAAGTGTTGAAATAGTAGGAGTAGGGCCTAGGCTTAGTAGCTTAGGCCAAGGATAGTCGAGAGAGTTGTTGCAAGAAGGAGGGAGTTCACTATGGAGCGAACAATACAAATAGGAAAGAAACAAGAATGGTGCACCACCATTAGTTTATGATTGCTACACTAAACTACAGCTACAGGCAGTTACACAAAGATATTATGACACTCCCCCATAACTGCCTGCAGCAGGAATATGTGCAACGACACCTCATGGATGGGTACACCAAGCAGAAGAAGAGGCGAAGTGAGGAGGAGGAGGGACTGTGAGAGGAGTGGAGATAGGAGGCGACAAGTGAAGCCGCAGTCACACGGGCAACAGGAGCGGCGCGCACAGTGGCTACCGAGCGCACGAGGGCACCGGACTACGGGAGTATCTGGCTCCGCGGCTACGACGAACGGCAGGAACGGACCCACAGGGGACTGGCGAAGCAGGCTCGCTGGGCTATCGAGAGCACGAGGGCTCCGGTCTACTGGCGCTGCTGACGACACGACGGCGACCTCCGCTCAACCTCCCCTAACAGTCCCACACCTCCTTCTCACACACCCCCTTGCTGCACCCCTGTCTCCACTCCCACGACACCCCCTTAGCTCCACTCCCCTCGGCTCCCACACATCCACCCCCCTTCAGCGGCAGTTGCAGCAGTGGGAGACGAAGAAGGAGGAGGAGGAGGGGAAGGGTAGCACCCACACTCATCACCCCCACACCCGCCACCCCCATACCCTCCCCCCCATGGCTGCACGAGGGCACGCGCGGATGAGGCAGGGGCGGCTGCACGAGGGCAGGCGCAAGTGAGGCAGGGGCGGCTGCACGAGGGTAGGCGCGGGTGAGGCAAGGGTGGCTGCACGAGGGCAGGTGCGGGTGAGGCAGGGGCGGCTGCACGAGGGCAGGCGCGGGTGAGGTAGGGGCGGCTGCACGAGGGCAGGCGCGGGTGAGGCAAGGGCGGCGTCGCGGGGTCCAGGGGCGGCGTCGTGGGGTACAGGGGCGGCGTCGCGGGGTCCAGGGGCGGCGTCGCGGTTTCCATGGGCGGCGTCGCGGAGTCCGGGGGCGGCGTCTCGGGTGCAGGGCAGGCCCGCACGCGGCCCGCAGGGCAGCTCGACGGGTAGAACAAACCTGCGCGCGGCCTGCACGGCAGCGCAACGGGCAGGAAGCCCGCGCGCGGACGTGGGGCAGAGAGCCGCCGCACGCATACGCCGCGCGCCCGAGGCGCGCGACAGGACGACAGGCAGCGGAAGCAGACTGGTGGGCCCGTTAAGGAAGGCAGCAGGAAGGTGCCTGCTCTAAATACCATGTTGAAATAGTAGGAGTAGGGCCTTGTCTTAGTAGCCTAGGCCAAGGATAGTCGAGAGAGTTGTTGCAAGAAGGAGGGAGTTCACTATGGAGCGAACAATACAAATAGGAAAGAAACAAGAATGGTGCACCACCAATAGTTTATGATTGCTACACTAAACTACAGCTATAGGCAGTTACACAAAGATATTCTGACAACAAGCTCTGCGTATGGACCACTGGACTCAAATGGCTTCAGGAAAAGGGACAGTGAGTACGTGGTTGACGGTAAGAGGAGTCGGCTGTGTGATGAAGAACTCTTAGATTTCACCTCAGCCATAGCGACCCTGTCTAGTGTAGCGAAGACCAAGTCGTCGACGTAAACAAGAACGAATAACGGAGTGGAACTAGTGCGAATAAACAGCGACAAATCCGTGGACGAAGGACGGAACCCGAGGTCAGCAAGAGTGGTGGGTAGCGTGTCGTGCTACTTGCGGGGTGCCTGGCGAAGACCGTATACTGGTCGCATCAGGCTCCACTAGGTCCGAGGAGAGAAAGTGCCAGTGAATCCAGGGGGACGGCGCAGCCAAATCTCCTCGTGTAGGCGGCCCTTAAGAAAGACAGTGGAGAAGTCGCGGGAGTGCAGCTTGTAGTCTCGCTGTGTTGCAACGTGAAGTAACATCCGAAGATTAGTCATCTTTGGGGTCGGGGCGAAGGTCTGGAAGAAGTAATCTCCCTCGCACTGACTGAAGCCCCTAGCCACGTAGTGCGCCAGGCGGTAATCCAGGCAGCCCCTTTATATCGAAGATCCACATGTCATCGACTACGTTCGCCCCATGAGGGGGAAGTGCGTCGATGTAGGTGTCCGTGGATCTCCGAGATGCCATCTCTGACTCCACAGTCGCTATTCACTGAGAGACCTACTGCCTTGACACTGTCTTAGGATACGTGCAAGGAGTCGGTATGTCAAGGGCGTCGGAGTCTCCCTCAGGGGCTAGCAGCATGGCACAGGGATGGAGTGAAACGATTGCCAAGAACTCCAGCTCGTAATGCTTGTCCTTTAGGACGTTACAACCAAGGGCAGACTCACCCTCGGCGGACAGAGGACGGGCAGTCACCACACGGGTGGCATAGTCAAGGTGGCGCGGGGCGGCAAAGCTAGAAACATATGAAACAAGAGCCGAGAGTGACACGAGTCGTGAGAACACGAGAGACATCATGGCGAGCTGTGCGGTAGTAGTCAGTGATAGGGTGAGATGAGGAGGCTGTAAGGGACGACTCAAGAGGTGACAGGAGATCAGAGTGAGGCGGAGAACGACGAGGATGAGAACGAAGTTAGACATAGCGTTTCAGTGCATTACGGGGCGCGCTACCGACGGGGCACGTTATGAGCGGGGCGCGTTACGAACGGGGCGGGGAGCGTTACGGACGGGACGGGGCGTGTTTTCCTAGGATACGAACGAACCCGCTGCTGATACCATCTTAGAGCGTATTCCTACGGGGCCACCTCGTATCAAGAATGAAATTGACTTTTGTTTACGGTATAAAACACCTTATATCAAGAATAGACCGAACCAGCGCACTAATGAAAATGCTCGCACACCCAGAAGTGAACGTGCTGATTTTCCGACGCACGGTTCCAGTTGACGCGAAGTCGTCAGTCCAGTGAATGCGGCCGACAAACAGTCATGCGAAACTGCACACGGTGGCAGTCGTGCGCCGCGCGCGAACGTGCAAAGTGTGCAAACTTGTTCATGCTGGGTCGCAACATGCCACATCAGCTGTTGATGGAGTCGCACATGTGGGTTAACCGGCAACTTTTACTGATATGAGGTTTTGGCAAACTTGTCAATTTACAGGCAGGAGTACCATTCTTGATACGAGGTGGCCCCGTAGGAATACGCTCTTAGAATCTAGTGGCTTGGTAGGTAGCAAGTACGGTACGATGGTCATTGGGTCAAAGGGTGGGTACAAGTAAAAATGTCGAGGGAATTTATGTACCCCCTAACATGCAACTCACCACAGCCTATCTACTAATACAAACATAGTTTGACAGTAAGGTGCAGGACGAGGACGCAACAATGAAGGTGGATGTGTTTCAATCAGAGAAGTGATGAGTTATGCTGTAATTTGTTATTGTGTGGACGATTGGAGAACTGAAAGGACATCCTTCTTTAACATGTGGAATTGTGATATTTGACCATTGGAGACTTTTTCTACAGGATATCAGGAATGTCTTATAACAATTTTCCTTATGTCTGAGAATTTTGAGAAATCTGCATGTATATCTAGGGAAGCAAATTTGGAAGAAATGTGTACCCACCAGGAAGGCATACCAGATCGTTTCTGCTGATGTCTCTGTTTGTGTGAAATGTTTTGCCGAACTAAACCACAATCGAGGATTCTGAGTCTCCCGCGCGACACCACGGCGCCGCCGCGCGCCTGGACGGATCCCCCATAAGTCCTGCAGTTGCGGGGAGAAAACGGGCGGTTTGGAGGTTCGATGCCTCGATCCGACGGACAGAATCCTGTGTTGCGTTTGGTTGGTGGAGAAATCCCTGAAACAGGGACAAGATCGAGGTCTTGTGTGTGTGTGTGGTGGTGATTGGTGAAGTGGCTGCTAAAAAGGGATTGGTCGGTCTGATATGTTGTGATGGGTGTGTGACTATGAGTGAAGTCGTGCTGGGTAACGTACTAACGTGTAAGTGCGTGCCTGGCGTTCCTCCCCACCTCGATGAAGTTGCTCCAGTCCAGAGATAATAGCAGCATTTGGCTTGCGTGATTGTCTCCTGTGAGTTGGCTCCCCTGACTTGGCTCATGTTTGAGTGCAGTTGGGTGACTCCTAGAGGCTAATTGCTCGCCTCTCCCCTGCTCCGTCAGTTTCTTCTTAGGAGCTTATTCACGGTCGACTCAGGTGGACGGCGTCGGAGCTGTGTCCCAGAGCCATTCCGGCCCTTACACTTCCCTAAAGCAGTGGTTAATAATATAATAATGGCTGCCGCTTCTCGTGTAGCCATTAGCGGATGCAGCCGCTTGTCGACCACAACCAGCAAATTCAAGGAAGGGTCTTACGAGCTCCAGCAATTCAATACCTTCGATAATGTACGTGCCTTGTCGCGGCTATTGGGGCCGGATACTCCATCTGCTCGCCTGTTTTCACACTTCCATTCCTCTCACGCCCGGAGTCATAAAATTGATCCGCAAACTTTGCGTTTCCATAACAGCTCAGTTCTAGTCTCCGACAGTGCGCGACCGCGTGCTCCCATACCAATTTTCACTGGTGTCGCGTCTCCTTCTGGCTCCCCCATATGCAGCAGCTGCTTCCGACGTCTGCGCGATGCAAAGCGAGGCGTGATGACTTTGGTAAACCAATTCGCGGGAGAAGCCCTCGAGGTGCGTGTCGGCTTGTGTTTGCGAGCCTCATAGTCGATTTCGGCGTATGTTTTTAATCTGTAGAGAGATTGCCGCCTGTCTAACAAGCAGTTTCGGGCAGAGAGGATTCGGGATGGATTCCAGAATCCATCGAAACTTATGCCACGAAAGAACGTGACTCTCTTGCCCAAACGCCTTCAATCCTCGCCACCGTCACTTGATCTCCTGTTAACTCGTCCTGTCATGATCTCTATCTGCCATTATCCCTTGAACGCCTATGATTTCGTTGTCGTGAACCGCGTTCGCTGAATGACTGTGTTCGCTGATCGATGCGTTCGCTGAATGATATAGCCGAACAATTACTTCGTTTTCCACCATACCCTCGCAGTCCTGACCGTCATCTCCGCGTCGTCAGACCGGAGCCGTGACTTGGGCGAACCCGCCGTTTGGCAAGGAGCGCGGGAACGTAGAGGCGGGAAAAACGGACGAGCGCCGAGGCGAAGCGTCGCTGCCGCAGCAGCTCCGCGAGACGGACGAGAAGGGCCGGCTCTGGGTGATGTGGACGGCAAGGCGTGGTTCGAGGATGACGTGGAGTTCGTGCTCCACCTGGCGAGCGACGAGGAGCTGCGCGAATTATGGGATATTCTCTACGGCCGCAGCCTCTTCAGCCCCGTGTTTAAGTCGATCACTGCGGGGGATGGTTCCGCGTCTGCCGCGCAGCTGTTTAGCGCGGCTTTTGGGGAGAGCAGCGAGGGGCTGGAGAGGGAGGATCTAATTCAACGGCTGGAGGCCCGATTTTTCTTCCTGTCCGCTGATGCGCGAGACACCGTGACGTGAGTGAGGGTGGGATTAGACAATACGTAAACGACCAGCACTGTCAACTTCGACCACAACCCCTTTCCCTCTTCGCCTCCCTCCTCCCCAACCCATCCCCCTTTACCACTCCCCCCCCCCCCCCTCCCTTTCCCCCCCTGTCCCTCCCCTTCCCTCCCCCTCACCTCATTTCTGATGTACCAAATGCCCCATTCTGTGGATGCCCCCCCGTTCATTCTCTCCTTCTCTGCCTGTCCATTGCCCGTCTCGGTGGAAACTGCCTCTCGTTTAGACCATCCATGCTTCCCTTGCGTCCCTTTCCTTCAATCACCTTATCTTTTCCTCACGTCCCTCCGTGTGCCCCCCTTTCGCTTTTGTCTTTCCCGCTTCGCTTTTTCGATTTGTTTTGTTTTCTCAGTGGCAACCGCCCTTCGTACCGAGATGTGCTGCTGACGGTGCGGCAGCGGCTGGGAGTGCGTTGCAGTGTGTCGCTGTCCACGCCTGACCTAGAGAGCGAAATATTCCTGCACTTGCTCAACAACTATGCGGACACTATGGAAGAGTAAGTCCAATGAAGGGTGAAGCGGTAACTGGTTGTGGATAACTGGTATCCTGAGAGGCAGTGGGCGTCAAGAATTAATTATTTGCAGGCCGCACTTGTTGTTCTTGGTGTTTTTTCTTTCCTCCTTCCTTTCTTTCTTTCCGATAATAGGCTGAATTGCTGAAACCTGCTTCCCTCAGCTCAAGCAGTAACAGCTGCAGCCTTTGTTTAACCTGCTCTATTTCTGATCTCAGTTTTGCATGACTAGTCTAAGCTGTAGAGGCGAAGTCCAGTAGCCAACCTTCCCTTTCCAATCTTCTATTGCCTAAAATCTTCTCAGGGACATCGGCAGCAGCAGCAGCACTAGCAGCAGCTCTGGGAGCCCATGGGCTGTAGCAGGGGAATGGGCCATGGGACAAGAGGGCAAAGCCGCAGAGGAGAACAGAAGAAGTACAAGAGACAGCAACTGGGACTTGGGGTTTGGGAATGAGGAGGAGGAGGAGAGAGGCAAGGGAGGGGGGTTGGGGTCGTGGGCTGTGGGGACTCTGCGCAGTGGTGTGAGAGCAGCGATGCGCATGGGGCGCGATGAGATTCTTGCTACGTTTCTTAAGGGCGGGTCGGCTTTAACCCTCACTACTGTCAAGAAACTGGTAGGCTTGTGTACATGCTGCTGGTAGGCGCTTGTATAGCACTCGTTCTATACTAGTCGAAGGAGGTTCTCTGCTCGTGTACGGAACTGGTTGGTTGGTTGACTGGTGATCAGCATCTAGACGGTTACGTGCTCGTTTTCGTTCCTCTTTCCGTGGCTTGCTGCGTCTTTGGTCATCTCTCAGTCACCTGTCTGTACCCGTGAAAGCCCTTGGTTCCTTCACCACTTCGTCCGGTCACTCCAGTCTGCTTTCATACGCTTAAACCTCCTCGTTTCTCCTAGCAGTTGCCAAACCCTTCCACGGTCTTTTGCCCTCTCTCCCCATCGTCAACTATTCCTTTCTCCCCGGTCTCTTCCTCCTCTCTGCCAGCTGCTATCGCGCATCACTGGGCGGGTACTGTACGAGCGAGCCAAGTACGAAGTCACACAGATGGCTCTTAAAAGGGTATGTACCCAACATGGCCGACCTAACCTGAACATCCCATCGTCTTTGCCACCCATCCTGGATTCTTATTTGGAACTGCCTTTTTTTTCCTCAAACTAACTCGTTTCGCCCTTCTTCCGTGTTCCGTTCTCTTGCGTGACTGTGGTGCGGGCAACAGGGTGGGCAGCTTGTACTGTCCACAATCGAGTCTCGCCTGGCGTTCTACAGTGCCAAGCAGGTACGCGGATCCATTCACCTCATTATAACTGACTGACCACTGCTCCCACTTGCTCTTCTGAGACGTACCCATGTCTCTCTCTCTTTCTTTCCACCACCCTCCTCCGCTTTCCACGACGTGTGTGTTTTTTCTCGCAATTGATTGTCTGTGAGGAGCTCACACCTCAAACACAACCACGTGCATGGTTATTCCCTTTCCGTGCATGGTGTTCTCACCATGTGTAGGGTCTGGCAGCAGCAACGGCTCGGTATGTCAGCCTCAGAAGCGCCATGGCTTTACTCGGGCCTCTGTAAGTGTTCCTTCCTCCCTGCGTTCCCCTTTCCAACATACCCCCTGCTTTGTTCTTCTTGAGGAGCCTCCCCTGTGTTATCTTGTGCTGAGACCTCTGCAAGTTGTCGTCCCAGCTCTCCCCTTCCCAACCTGCATTGCATCTTGCTCCACTGGCTATGTGCCAACCTCCCACCCACCACCTCCTTGTATCCACCCTGCGCCCTTCTTGCAAACGCGCTTCCCTCTCTGTGTCATGGCATTTACTACTTCTGGCTTCTATCCTTTGCGTTGCTGTTTCCTTCGCCCAGCTGATTTCTTGTGAACCCTTTGTCTTCTCATTTCCCTTCTCATTTCCCTGTCAACGCAACACTGATACCCACCAGGCTGTGGGGTGCGTTCATAGCAGACGTGGTGGTGCAGTCATTGGGAACAGACTATGCTCGTGTGGTCAGAGCTATCTTCTCATTCGCACAGGTAGGGAGGGACCTCCCCGCACCCCAACATCTCCTCCTTATCTTCCCCGCCTAGCTTCCCTTCCCCTTACCCCCCCGCTCCCCTCACCCTTCGTGACCCCGCCCTTTCTGATCACATTTCCGGCCTGACCCACCTATCCCTCCCCCTCCCTTTTTTGCTGTGTCTCCTGTCCTAATTCCATCACTTGGTTTGTTATGCCTTCTCCATCGGGCCATCATCTCTGTCCACACTTGATCGCCTTTTACGGTACCTTTCTCTTACCTTGTACCCCCTCTGGCTCCGTGTTTTAAAGCTCGCGTCTCAAATTTCCTACTGTTTAACACTTGGTTGGGTTTGCCCCTATTTGATTGGGTAACGAATGACGAAATATGTGACGAGCGGGTGAAAAAAACACAGCGAACTCCCAAACAGGTTTGGCCAAAACAAACCAGGGTGTGCAGGATTGGGTGGAAGACGAGCCTTGGGGGACAGGTTTGGCCCCGCTTACTGTCAGAGTTGAGAGTTCAGAGTCTCAAATTTCCGAGATTGTAAATGCTTGGTGTTCGCGGGGAAGTGTGCGACGCGATTTCCCAACCAACCTTACCAACCACCCCTTTCCTTGGTGTGCTGTGCGACAAACTCTGCTGTTACCGGATTCCAACCGTTTAACACTTGGTTGGATGGCATAAATATGAGACGCGAGCTTTAACCCCCGCTTCTTTATCACTGTGCTGCGTGCCACTTCAACAGATCCGCCTCACAAGGACGTACGGTTGGACTCAAGGTTCCAGTGCAAGCAGTGGCTCGCTAGAGACGTAATGGAGTGACTATCGATCAAACAGAGACCTATTTCTAACTACTTGTATGTATCTTAGACTTGGAAGGGTTGCCAAGTTGCATAATATGGAGCTGCTGCACCAATATGCTATATGCTATTACTATATTTCGTAGCCTAAAAGTCTTTCTGAACAGTTCTAGGCGAAACGTTTGTGTTGTAATTCAGTTATGTGGTGCATTCTTTTGAAGTTCAAGGTCTAAGAAGTTACAGTCAAGGAAAGTATACTCCAGCCACTACACAGTTCTCTTGTCGAACCACTCTGTGTGAAGCTCAAACTTCAAAAGTTTGAAACTTGTGCGGCTTGGCTTCTCTGACAATACACGAACCCACACTGGCTGGTGCTGTTGAGGCAAGAACTGTCAGCTCCGCAGTTGCTAGCATTCACTGGGACGGGAACCTAGAAGATAATTTGTCGTCAGCCTCTTGGCCTTTCGGTCCGTCCGCTTGCGCCTGTCCTTTAAGAATTGGCGTCGCAAACTCGTTCACCCAATTCACTTGTTTGAAATCTTCGTGTGTTAGTGAGTTTTTGGACGCCTCAATTGTCCGTATCCGTTAAGCGCTGCTGCTGCTACTCTATGCGATGGTTGAGATTAAAGGCGCGACGAAGAGTGCGATAAAGATTGAATCCAGGGCGGAGCGGAAAGGCGCCATGGATCGGTTCGTCGTGCGAGGCGGGGCGCCGCGGACGGTAGACGACGGCGACGCGAAAGACCATCAAAAGAGCGTCAGCAAGACGGGAGCAATGGATCGGTTCGTCGTGCGGGGGAAGCTACCGTTGATCGCTGGCGACGGCGATCACTGCAGGAGGATTATTCGGCGAAGGCACGTGCATATTGCTACTTCTCTAGACTCCAGAGTCCCCCATTTGGATAAAGCGCCACCTCAAGCTGCTCCTTTTCTCCTCGCTCTGACAGCATTTACCTCCCGTTCCTCCTTCCTCCTTACTGCCTTCTTTCTCGGCTTCACCCCTTCCTCTCCATTTCCTGTTTCCCTTCGTCCTCCACTCCCGTTCCTATTCCGTCTCCGTTTCCTTCAACCCTTCTTTCAACTCCCCCAGACACATTCCAACGCTAGAACGGCAGGTCTCTGGCATCCTTGCCCCGAGCGCCAAGCTCAGCGCGCTGCAGCAGCTGCTGCAGTCATACACCCAGACGCTCGCACTGTGCCCGGACTTCCTGGAAACCCAGCAGGTGTGTCGAATCATGCATGCATCGACTTCTGAGGCGCCTCATGCGTCGGCTTGGGAGTTTGTCTTTTACTGGATGTGTGTAATTAATCGGTTCCATATCACTCGCGTCTCCTCAAGGGTAGTCATTCCGTTCTAATCGCCGTTTGCGTTTGTGTCCACAGGTCGGCTTCCCTCTCCTTGCCGCCACCTCTGCTCCCAGGTGAATTCCTTCTCCTTCTCCTTCTCCTCCTTCTCTTTCTTCTCCTTCTCCTTCTTCTCCTTCTCTTTCTTCTCCTTCTCCTTCTTCTCCTTCTCTTTCTTCTCTTTCTTCTCCTTCTCCTTCTTCTCCTTCTCCTTCTTCTCCTTCTCCTTCTTCTCCTTCTTTTTCTTCTCCTTCTCCTTCTTCTCCTTCTTTTTCTTCTCCTTCTCCTTCTTCTCCTTCTATTTCTTCTCCTTCTCCTTCTTCTTTTCCACTTCTCCTTCTCCTCCTTCCCGTTTCCCTTCACATAAGAGGATACCCCATCCACCCTTCTCCCCATTCCCCCCTCCTTGCCTCCCACCCACCCACCCACGCCTCTCTCCCCTCCTCGCCCCTCTTCCCACACCTCTGTGTTTCCGTGTCTCCCTCTCACCTCTTCTCCCTCTTCCCTCGCCCCTCTCTTCCCTCACCCCACCCGTGGTGCATCCAGGCCGCACATCTCCTGCCTATCCTTCCACCCCTCGTCCTTCTCCGCCCCTCGCCTCGCTGCTGCTACCTCCACGGGCCTGCTCGCAGTCTACTCCTCCTCTGCACAGCACATCTCATCCGTGCATGGTATGCTTTATGTGGGGGTGTGAGACATTTGTGTGGTTACGGCAACTGAGGTTCGCGCATCTCCTCGCCTCGCTGCTGCTACCTCCACGGGCCTGCTCGCAGTCTACTCCTCCTCTGCACAGCACATCTCATCGGTGCATGGTATGCTTTATGAGTGAAGCAATATGAGTGTGGTTTAAGGCAACTGAAAGTCACGCATCTCCTCGCCTCGCTGCTGCCATCTCCACGTGGGTGCGTGCGTGTGTGTTTGTGTGTGTGTGTGTGTGTGTGTGTGTGTGTGTGTGTTTGTGTGTGTTTGTGTGTGTTTGTGTGTGTGTGTTTGTGTGTGTGTGTGTGTGTTTGTGTGTGTGTGTGTGTGTTTGTGTGTGTGTGTGTGTGTGCGCGCGCGCGCGTGAGCTTGTGCGTGAGCGTGCTTCTTTGCCTCCTCGCCTCGCTGCCACTACCTCCACGGGCCTTCATCTAGCATCCCCCATTTCCCATCTCTCATCCTCCCATCACCCATCCCCCATTCCCCATCTCCTATCTTCCTATCTCTCATCCCATCTCGCATTCCCGTCTCCCTCCCCCATTTCCCCATTTCCCCATTTCCCCCCGCGCCTCCAGACCTCTCTCCAGTGCAAGAGTGCCGCGTGGGAAGGAACGGGGTGGAGGGAATGGCATGGGGGCTAGATAGAACGGCAGGGCAGGTGAGCGGAGAGGAGTAGGAGGACGGGAGGAGGATGGGAGGAGGTTAAGGGGAGGATGGGAGGAGGTTGAGGGGAGGATGGGAGGAGGTTGGGAGGATGTTGGGAGGAGGGAGAGGGATCATCTAGAAGAGCTTGGATTCGTTCTGAAAAGGACATGTAATGGCTTGGGATGACATGGTATGATATGGCATGGTTTGGGATGGCATGGCATGGCTTGGGATGGCATTGCATGCCTTGGGATGGCTTGGCATGTGGTTTAATGCATGAATCATTCATGCGAGGCACGGCATGAAATGCGATCGGCACGCACATGTGCAATGGATTTCCTTGAGGACTGCAATACATGTCAGCTGTGTGTCTACATGGACGCCACGTGTAGATAGGTTATTTTTGAGTCGTCTCAAAAACAACATGTGCTATGGAATCCCTTGAGGACTGCAATGCATGTCAGCTGTGTGTCCACATGCACGCCTCCCTCCGCAGATACTCACATGCCTTGTGTTTGCATGTGTGTGCGTGCTTGTGTGTGTGGGCTGGGGGGCCGTGGGAGTGTGTGTGTGTGTTTGTGGGGCGTGTGTGTGGGAGGAAAGTGAAAGTTTGTTTTTGGGGGGGTGCGAATGTGGGGGTTGGTGTGGTGTGGAGGGTGTGTGTGTGTGCGCGCGCATGCGTATGTGCATGCGTGTCTGGGTGCATGCTTGTGTGTATGTGTGCCTGCGTGCATGCACATACATATGTGCATGTGAACAGATAGCGCTTGCGGATTGCACTCCGTCTGTGCACCTCTGCTCCTTCAAAGAGGCTTCACATAAGTTCTCTCGCCTTGTAAGACCACCATGCCTCATATGGAAATTGGTTGTTCACACGCCTATTATTAATGCGCCTCACAGATCAATTCTCCCACGGATCAGTCTCTCATGTCCTAAGACTTCCCCCTGCCCCACCACCAAGTGCTTGACCCCTCTCCGTCTGCTACCTACTTTCCGTCCTCTTTTTGCTATTTATTTGCCAAATGCACGCATTCCGGAACCCTCTCCTCACTCCTAAACTAAGTCTCCTCAAACAAAACAGCTGAGATGTCTTACTGCCCCCATTCTTCTTTTACTCCCTGTCTTCCTCCTCTCTGACTCCTGTTGCTTCCACCTCCCCCAAACCCCCACCGCATCTCCCTACCCCCTCAACTCCCCAACGGCCCACGTTTCCATCCCCCCCACCAGTCCCTCCCACCGTCACGGCTCCAGCTCCTCTCATCAGCATCAGCACCATCCTTCTCCGATGTGGCGTTTCTTCCTTTCTACTCCTCCTGGTGAGCTGACTTCCGAGTCGAGAAAAGAATGGGCAACCTTGTATCATTCCTGGGATTTTTCAAAAGTGATCCAAACTCAAAGGTCAGCACCATCCTTCTCCGATGCGGCCTTTCTCCCCTCCTCCTCCTCCTCCTCCTCCTCCTCCTCCTCCTCCTCCTCCTCCTCCTCCTCCTCCTCCTCCTCCTCCTCCTCCTCCTCCTCGTCGTGGTGAGCAATGTTTTTAGGCTGCTCGAGTCCTAGCGCCCGTTGTTTCAATATTGAGAGCGAGCTTTCAGAAGTGATACAAACTCAAAAAGCCAGCGCCGTTGCGGCCTTCCTCTTCCCCTGATTCTCATGCTGAGCTCCACGCACGCACACACCCATCTGATGGCTTTTTCTGTGATCTCGCACCCATGCACGCTCCATCCCTCTATGCATGCACGCACCCATTCCCCCGTGGCAGTGTGGCAGCATGCACGGCGTCGCGAGCGGCACTGTGGGACGTCAGGGCGTCTCTCTCTTCCCCAGCCATGCTCTTCCGCCTGCCTGACGCCAGGCGATCACCTGCCACCACCACTACCACACTCAAGTGCCTCGCACCTGACCCGGATGCTTCTGTACGGCCCTGTCATTCCATCCATCGATTCATTGATCCATTGCCCTAGTCGAGACTTGAAACATTGCATGTACCAAAATCGTTTCATTCATGTTCCCATCATCCATTCATTCATACCTTTAAGGCATTTCCCCTCAGAATGTGCATTGTGACAGTAGCTTAGTTTGTGGACATTGCACATTTTGAGTCGTCTCTAATATGTCTCAAAAGGCCTATCCTTCTCCATTCATATCTCCCCACCAACAGGTCATCTACGGTGGCTGTTCCGATGGCGCCATCTGTGCCTGGGATCTGCGCCAAGGCACTGGACACTTGGGGAACCACAACTCTTTCCCGCACTCAGCATCGTCCTCACTACAGCAGTTGCTACAGAAGTCGCTTCCAGAAGGTGAATCTCGTAGGCGGGGAGCATCGAATCACCACCAGCTGCACAGCCAGACTTTGCCATCCCGTGATGTTTCGTCCAAGCAACTTACTTTGGCAGCAGCAGCAGCAGCAGCCGCAGCAGGAGAAGCAGAAGCAACAGCAGCAACAGCAGCTGCAGTAGCAGCAGCCAGTGAAGCGTCTCAAGGGTCTTTTAAGAAAGGTAGTGCATTGGTAGGAGCGCAGGCGAACGGCAGCAGTGGAAGGAGTGGGAAGGGGAATGGAGGACTGAGTTTTGGCAGAAATGGTGGGGGGAGTGGTGGGGAAAGCGAAGGTATAAGTGGTGCTGTGGAGTGGGCAAGTGGAGTGACAGAGAGGGATGGTAGGAGGCTGGTGGAAGAGGGGTTGCTTGCAGAGGTTGAGAGGGATATTGATAAAGACGTAGGAGTGGTACGCGGTGCTGACGGGTGCCGGGGCAGGACAAGGGTTGAAGTGAGGGAGCAGGGGGCATTAGCTGCAGGAAAGAGCTTGGGTGCGCGAGAACAAGTAACAGAACGAGGTGAAGAAATGGAAATGGGAAGGGAAAGGGGAAGAGAATTTCAGCAAGCTGGGCAGGGGATTGGAGATGCGGCAGCAGAGTGTGCAAAGAGGGTTTCTGAGGCGCCTCAAAAGGCAGCAGAGTGTGCAAAGAGGGTTTCTGAGGCGCCTCAAAAATCATTTCAGCAAGCTGGACAGGGAAAGAGTGGGATTGGAGATGCGGCAGCAGAGTGTGCAAAGAGGGCTAAGAGTGACGCAAGGGAGTGTGCAAGTGAGGCTAACGGATCGGGGTGTGGCAGTGGAAACGTGAGGGAGGACCGGGGGAATAGCAATGGTATGAGGAACGGCAGCAGCAAAAGCAGCATGCATGGTGGCAGCATGCATGATGGCAGTATAATTTATGCCAGAAGCAGCATTTTTCACCAGAGACAGGGTGGGGAGAGTGCTCTAGAAGCCTTGGAAGGAATGAGAAAGAAGGCCAGAGGCACGGGCACAGGCACGGGGACAGGCACGGGGTCAGGCATGGTCGAAGGTGGGAGTTTGGATATGATGAGCATTGACAAGGTATTCGACAAGGTGCAGAGCGGTTGTGTTGAGATGGACCTACTTAGAGGGGCGTTTTCCGATCGCCTTGAGAGAAGATTCATGGGCTTTCAGAAGAAAGGGGCTGCTTCTGTGGGTAAGGAGAGTGTTTCTGGGCCGTTCACTCCGCGAGATCTGCTGGGATCGGAGGGTTGGAGTGAGTCCGTGTGGGGTTCCTCTTGGCATTTTAGGCACGGAGGGTGTGATGGTGGTGGTGTTGGTGGTGGTGTAACCTGTGCGAGTCGGCGCAGAGAAGCAGTCGGAGGAGCAGCGGGAGCAGCAAGAGGAGGAGCAGCAGCAACAGGAACAGCATCTGTGCCAGCAGCGGTAGCTCAAGTGCTAGAAGCAGCTGGTTGTGAATCGACTGAAAGGGAAAGAAGCGGTTCAAGAGAAGGCAGAGAAGGATGTAGAGAAGGAGAAGCAGGGACGGATGGAAGGCGTGTTGGCATGCAATGGCACGGCAGAGGTGCAACAAGAAGGGCTCCGCAGCGACAGCCTGCTGCTCCGTCTCTCTGTGGAAGCTCCCCATCTGCATCTGCATCTGCATCTGCATCAGCATCGTCTGCCTTCTGCTTTGGACGAGAGGTGCGCTGCGCTCTCCTTTCCTCCTTTCATAAAACTTACCAGAAACCCCAAAAGAGCGATGCATTCAAGCTCTCGTTCAGAATTGACTGTGCCCCTCCTTCCCTTTCTTCACTCGCTCCCGCCTTCCGTTTCCCTTCTCTTAGTCTTTGATAATGATTCCATCACCCTCACACCCTCATCTCCCCCATACTCTCCAGAATGGAACCCTCCCGCTGCACCTCTTTTCCACCTCTCATCTCTTCAGTTCTGTGCCGTCGTTGCAGGTAAGGCTTATCAGATGCTAGTGAGTGATACGCTGGTGACTGCTTCGACAGTGTTCGATTAGTTCTTGATTGATATGCTACTAAAGTCATTCGCGAATCGTGACACCCGTTCCTACACCTCATGACTCCAAGTGCTGTACTTAAATCGACCCAGAAGCCACATCCCTTAACCACCCTTCATCCCTTAACCACCCTTCGTCGCATATCCTCTTGCGTATCGTCCTCCTCATCCACATCCTCTTCCTTCAACTCTTCCATGCCCTCTCACCACCTGTCTTTTGAGCAGCAGCAGGCAGGAACGACCTCCTCTGCAGTGCAGCACCTGTCTTTTGACCCTGCATCTGCCTCCCGCCTTTCCTTCCACCTCAACAACGGCTGGTACTTGCCTGCTCTCCTCTCTCTTCCCCTCTTAATTTTATCCTAACTTCCTCTCGTCCCTTTTTTCTCATCGCTTACCCTAAACCCTAGACACAGCTCCATCCACCAGAAAGCTCCATCCACCCTCTCTCACCCATGCACCACCACTTCCACGCTCAGCCTCATCGATTCCCTCTGGCTGCACTTTTAGGCGCCTTATCAGCATTTATCATCTCCCCCCCCCCCTCGCAAGTGCACCTGCCGACCTGGGCAGCGAAGCCCTGAGTAACCTAACCCTCGCTGTGCCGATTGGAGCAGAGTGCTGCGTGTGCCCTCTCTCTCTACCGATCTTTGAGACTTTTAAACAAATCTTCCGACCTGGGCCATCAAGGCCTGAAAAGCACTGTAGCAGAACAACCTGCTGGTTGTGCCTGTGCCCTGTCTGTGCCTCTCCCTCTCCCACATCGCCTCCGTGCCTCCTCCTCCCATCCATTCCCCTCCATCGCTCTCTCCTGTCGCTTTCCCCTCCTCCTCCCCTCTCCCTCCTCTGACTTCCTGCAGGAGTGGAGTGTTGCATGTGCCCTCGCTCTCCCTCTCCCACATCCACTGCCCGCCCCCACCCTGGGTGAACACCCGGCCAGAAGTCGAGGAAGACGAGAGTCTATACGAGTACGACCACCCGCAACATCAACATCAACAGCAGCGCACGGTAGTGGCGCCACCAGTGGTGGATTCGTGGACTTGGAGCCTTGTCAGTCGCCGGGTTCCCGCTTGGCTTCCGCAATCGGTGCGCCTTGGTTGATCCCTATAACCTCTCAATCAGACCTGCAGCCAACTCTTGATGGCTTGCTCTCTTGCTCTTTAGCGCCTCTTACTCTCTAGGGGTCTTGCGTTCTTCCTATCTTGCTCGTTTCCTCTCTTCTCCCCCACTAAGTCCCTCCTTCCCTGCTTCCCATCAGGTACTGTGTGTCCCCTCGGCCAGGGATTCCCACCTCTTCTTCCTTGATCTAGGCTTGGGATCACCTCATGCCACCCCATCCTCCTCTGAATCCAATCACGGGTACGGCACCACGGTTTTTTTATGTGCTGTTTTGTGCTACATTACTGTGCTTGTTTGAATCGATTCGATAGCTAACATGATAATTTCTTGCCCACTTTTGATGATGTCAGGATGACAATTTCGAAGGCAAGAGGAAAGAACGGAACATCAAGATCGCCGTATATTGGTGCTGTCATTTCTCCGGTCGTTGCAGTGGCAGCAGCCCCCAACGGTCTGGACGTCATTGCGAGCACGATAGTGAGTACAGTTTATGTTGTTTGGTGGTTTCAATTCTGATTTCGCATAACGGTTTGTCTGTCACCCTGAATTATAACGTTTTTTTTTTTTTTTTTTTTTTTTTTTTTTTTTTTTTTCACTTTGCATGCAGGATGGCGCCTTGGTGGTGGTCTCCCCATTTTTGCCAACTTAAGTCAGTATGCATTCTCCTTGTTGCAACATAAGCTTCGTTTGTCTGGCCTTTATCAAAGTTCCGTTTTATGATACAATTACCCGTCCTCTGTACAAGATGAATGCTTTCCACCACACCCTTAGTGAAGTGCTTCTGTTGCAAGTACATATTCTCCGCCAATCACAGCGTCCACTTTATTTGATGTCTCCTCGATTGGCGGATGAGCCATTCCGAGGGTGCAAGTTGAATCTGTGCTGGAAAATGCAATGATTCCTGCTGTGGTCTACATGCGGCGAATAATTTTGGATTCTGGGCAGATATAATTTTCAACATTACCCTCACTAATGCTATTTCAAAATTCAATGCCTAAACCTCGCCTCTAATTGGTAGTCGTAAAACCAGCATTCAGGGTTTTCATGTCGGCACGTGGCGTCAATTGGCAATATCCACCGTCCATCGAGATCTCTCGTTTCGCATTCGTCGCTCGTTTCAGTCAACTGTGCTCTACGACTGGTCGAAGTCCTGAACGACAGCTCCTGAGATCTGTTACCACCAATCAGAAACATTTCAAGCTGCCGCGAGATCCCGAAACTGCAGTTCCATAAAGAAATGTTATGATTTTGCCAGAAAATGCACACTAAATATCTCGCATCGCATTGCCAATTCTCTGTGTGGTATTCCCTGGGATCGCTCGTGCTTCCTCCTGGCCCAACAGATCAGGGTCACCAGGCTAGGGCCCAAGCTCCCCCCTACCCGCGTCTCCCTCTTCAGTCTCCTCCCCCCACCACAAGCTTTTTCACTTGTTCAGAGTTGGTTCTTTTTCAACTCGGCATTGCCTCTCCCTGCTCGAACCGACCAGACCAGATCTGCTTGTTACATATCACCCTGCTCAACGTCCAGCCAGCACAAGTAGAAGCTTAAACCAGCCCCTCATAGTCGTCGACAGATAACGCAACGATGGCGGCGATATCGACAGCGCTTGTGCCGGCACAGGCAAAAGCTCTCTCTTTCCCGCTGGCCGGCACCGCGAGAACAGCCGCGTCGGCCGCACGGCCTGTTGTGTGCGTTTCCGCCGGCGGTTCTCGACGCAGACAAGCTAACGTCAGCTCACGCAAGCCAACAACCCCTCTCCTCGGCGGATCTAAAACCCCGACCTCCGGTCACAGATCTGACTCGTCTTCAGATTCCTTTCGACCACAAGCAGCTACTGGCGGCATCGACGGATCGGGCAATGGCGGCAGCGGCGGTGGCGGTGGTGGCGGCGGTGGCGGCGGTGGCGGCGGCGGAAGCGGCGACAGCAGCAGCAGCGGTAGCGGCGGAGGGTTTAACCCTTTCGCGGCTTTCCTTAGAGGGTGGAACGATCGCATCGCGGCCGATCCAGGGTTCGCGTTCAAGGTCCTAGCGGAGATGGTCATCGGCGTGACCGCGTGCGTGATCGGCGACATGGCGGCGCGCCCTAACTTCGGCATGAACGAGCTCGACTTTGTCTTCTCCACGCTCGTCGTCGGATCTATCCTCAACTTCACGCTCATGTTCCTCCTTGCGCCCACCTCCGCCGCCGGCGCCGCCGCCACCCTGCCCGGAATCTTCGCGTCGAGTCCGACGGGTCACATGTTCGAGGCCGGGAAATACTCAGCGATCCAGCGTGCCGGCACGTTCGTGTACAAGGGTGTTCAGTTCGGTATGGTCGGTTTCGTAGCCGGGCTTTTCGGAACGGCGATCTCCAACGGTCTGCTCGCGGTGCGCAAGAAGCTTGATCCGAACTTCGTCGTGATGAACGAGGCGCCGCCGACGATCCTTAACGCCGCCACGTGGGCTCTGCATCTGGGGATAAGCAGCAACCTGCGGTATCAGAGCCTGAACGGGATCGAGATGGCGCTCGGCGCGCGGCTGCCGCCCGGCGTGTTCAAGGGCGTCGTTTTCGCGCTCCGAGGGATCAACAACATCATTGGCGGCGTGTCGTTCGTCACACTGGCGAAGCTGACCGGATCGCAGAAATCGGGCACCGCCGCCGCAGAGAGCGCTGATGCGGAAAAGAAGGCGGCGTAGATGCGCGACGATATGCAGCGTGTAGATCTGCCGAGTGAGAGGAGAGAGAGGGAGAGAGGGATGGAGGGAAGGAGGAAGGGATCAAGATCTGAGGAGGAAAGAGCGATAAGGTGAGAGAAGATAAGCCGTTATTCTCCATGATCAGTCGTTTTTCTTCGCGCGAAGGGTCGGGGGGAAGTGGTAAGGACAGAAGGGCAGTGGAACGATCGGGACGGTGTCGTGTGGTAGGTTTTGGAACTTGGGGTTTATGCCAGTTAGAATCAAGCGTTACTGCTGACGGAGTCCGTGTGTTGAAGGCATAGGTGTGGCTTGTTTCTCTGGTACGGGGTTTAGCAGGGTTTAGGAGTGTCTAAGTGTGCGACAAGGGAGCGCAATCTCCTCGATTTCTTGTAGCCGTTGATTTGCACTCTTGGAAGCATGAAATTTACATTTGTTTTCTCCGAGTGGGTCTAACAAACCAAACAGTTTCAGCACTCTTAAATGAGCACCTATTTCTCAGAGGTGTAGCAAGTTTAAAAAACGTACGGCTCACTGATCTGGTCCTGCTACCCTCCCTCTATCCCTCTTCCTCTCCCTCCTTTCCCTCTTCCCCTAACTTCTTAAACTCCCTCCTCTCCTCTCCTCTCATATCTCCTCTCACGATGTACATCGTTTTCCCTACTTCCCAACCTTCTCCTTCTCTCCCTTTCTCTCGCTTTCCTCTCACATACATGCACCTACCCAGCCGCACGTTCCCCCCCACACAATATCCCGCCTACTCCATCCCCTACACTTCCCCCGTGCTACACTTCCCCGCCTCTTTCCCCTTTACTGTAACCCCGATTTCCATCACCCCGTAACCCGTCTCCCCTTTCCCCGTCTCGCTCTCCTAACACCCCCAACACCCCGTCTCCCCTTTCCCTGTCTCGCCCTTCCCAACTCCCCCTCTCTTAAACACGTTGTCTTCCCCCACCCCCCCCCCCCCCAACCACCACCGCCACCGCCGACTCCCGCTCAAGCCACTGCCTCTTCCCTGTGTCCGTCGTATGCTTGTGCCAAACTCGTAACTGTTCCGTTTCTCCTGCACCACCATCCCGAGTCGTCGTTCGAGTGACTTCCTGTGCCAATAGTTCTTATCCCCCTTGTTCTTACCGCCCCCTGTTTCTACCGCCCCTTGTTCCTACTGCCCCCTGTTCCTACCACCCCCTTTTCTTACCGCCCCCTGGTCCTACCCGCCCCCTGTTCCTACCGCTCCCTGTTCTTACCGCCTTCTCTCCCCCGCTCCCCCTCTTGTTCCAGTCGCCTCTTGTTTCTGTGAACCCAATCGTCACATGTTCCTGCTGCTTTGTCGCATCCCTGACTGCTTTGTCGCATCCCTGACTGCTTTGTCGCATCCCTGACTGCTTTGTCGCATCCCTGACTGCTTTGTCGCATCCCTGACTGCTTTGTCGCATCCCTGACTGCTTTGTCGCATCCCTGACTGCTTTGTCGCATCCCTGACTGCTTTGTCGCATCCCTGACTGCTTTGTCGCATCCCTGACTGCTTTGTCGCATCCCTGACTGCTTTGTCGCATCCCTGACTGCTTTGTCGCATCCCTGACTGCTTTGTCACATCCCTGACTGCTTTCTCGCATCCCTGACTGCTTTGTCGCATCCCTGACTGCTTTCTCGCATCCCTGACTGCTTTGTCGCATCCCTGACTGCTTTGTCACATCCCTGACTGCTTTCTCGCATCCCTGACTGCTTTGTCGCATCCCTGACTGCTTTGTCGCATCCCTGACTGCTTTGTCGCATCCCTGACTGCTTTGTCCAGTGTTACCACCCTACCCTCGCCTCTGGTTCATTCTCCTCGCCCCGCCTCTCCTCTCCTGTCCTCTCCCCTCCCTTCCCCTCTCCTCCCCTTCCCCCGTCTCCTCTTTTCTACCTTCCATCCCGTCTCCCCTCGTATCCCTTCCCCTCCCCTCTCCTCTCCTCTCTTCTTCCCTCTCCTCTCCTCTCCTCTCCTCTCCCCTCTCCTCTCTTCTCTCTTCTCTCCTCTCCTCTCCTCTCCCCTCTCCTCTCCTCCCCTCTCCTCTCCTCTCCCCTCTCCTCTCCTCTCCTCTCCCCTCTCCTCTCCTCTCTTCTCTCCTCTCCTCTCCTCTCCTCTCTTCTCCTCTCCTCTCCTCTCCTCTCCTCTCCTCTCCTCTCCCCTCTCCTCTCTTCTCTCTTCTCTCCTCTCCTCTCCTCTCCCCTCTCCTCTCCTCCCCTCTCCTCTCCCCTCTCCTCTCCTCTCCTCTCCCCTCTCCTCTCCTCTCGTCTCTTCTCTCCTCTCCTCTCCTCTCCTCTCCTCTCCTCTCCTCTCCTCTCCTCTCCTCTCCCCTCTCCTCTCTTCTCTCTTCTCTCCTCTCCTCTCCTCTCCCCTCTCCTCTCCTCCCCTCTCCTCTCCCCTCTCCTCTCCTCTCCTCTCCTCTCCCCTCTCCTCTCCTCTCGTCTCTTCTCTCCTCTCCTCTCCTCTCCTCTCCTCTCCTCTCCTCTCCTCTCCTCTCCTCTCCTCTCCTCCCCTCTCCTCTCCTCTCCTCGCCTTTCCTCTTCCTCCTCATCACAAGCCTGGACTTCCAGACTGAATGTTTAATTACCGTGCCTTACTGCCCAGCCTGTCAAGCCTCTGTCCCTGCTGCTTGCTCCACTCTTTTCCCTCTCACAGGTACTCGCACTCACCCACCCCTCAAACACACACTCACTCTCTCCTCTCCTGCCTTTCCCTTCCTCCTCGATGATCAAACATCACTCCACACGCACTCCCTTCCCCTTCCACCGGTCCACCCGCTCCCTTGCCCTTCCACCGGTCCGGACCTTAGTCAAAGTCCTAATTCGTGCAGACGTCTATCTTTCACCCCATATACATGGCACAAACATAAAACTATAAAATGCTTATTATTGTCAGTAACATGATCAAATAATCTGATTTAGAGCGTGTTCCTACGGCCTCACATCAGGAAACCTCGTATCAAGAATGCTGTTTTGCCTGGTAAAACTAGCGAGAGGTTTCAGGTTTAGGGGAATTTTCAGTGTGAGCCTGATACGAGGTTATCTTGATACGAGGATAGGAACACGCTCTTAATAACAACTGGAGCTTTACAGGTGCTTGCACAAGTGCTCTTTGGTTTCATTTAGATACGGTAGTTATTTCAACCCGGTGCATCAAGATATATTTCATCAAAATGCACAGATCCTCGATGTTTCTTCAATTTCCATACCGTTCCATCCCTACATGCCAGACCATTGACAGTCAGAAGAGTGTGGTGAATGGTACTACCGTAAATACAAATGCATTGAATAAATCACATATCTGCAGTTAAGCATCTTTGCTCCACAGTAAGGCACCAGTACTTCCGACACACACTCCTCCCTTCGCCCTCATCGGCCAAATCCAAATGGATGTGTTACTGCACATCTACAGAGTCGTTTTCAGTGGCTGCGACACTCCTCCCTTCTTCCACATTAGCGCTCTGGCCCAGAGCACCCCCTAGTGCGGCTGCAGCAGGGGAAAGCAGCACAGCCAGCTCTGCTAGACCAGCCGAACCATCAGCGCCACTGTAAATAGCTGCTGCTGTCTCACTACCGCTTCCCCGGACGGCAATATCCCCTTCCATGACTGCTTGTACACCCACAGTGTTCAGGCTGCTGTTCACTGTACCGGAGCTGCCTGTAACGAGTACGCCACCCATGCTCGCGTCAATTCCCCCAGAAAGCAAGTTTCCGAAGCTGCTGCCGCTGGTGCCGAGGCTGGCACCGAGGCTGGCTCCCAGGCTCGGAGAAAGCAACATATCCGCTGCAAGGGAACGGAGCGCCTCGGCGCGAGCTTCAGGGCCGAAGAAGCCAGACAGGGAGAGGACCGACTGGGCACCTCCTGACAGCAGAGCGGTGATGGACGGCTGAGATCGCGAGAGCTCGACGATGCGCACGCGTTGAGATAGGTCGATGCCAGCCTTAGATTTGGCGACCTGCACAGCGGACCAGAAGCCTCCGAGAGAATCCACTAGGTTGGCCTTGTGGGCGGCCTGGCCTGTCCAGACCCTTCCCTGTGCCACTGCCTCCATATCCTCCTCCTGTGCACGGAGGAAACGGAGGTGTAGGGAGGATGGGAAGGGAATGTAGGAAAACAGGATTGTCAGCCACTAGCTCCTTGCCTGGCCTGCCCAGACTCTAGCCAGTGCCACTGCCTCCATATCCTCCTCCTGTGAAGCAAGGAAAGTGAGAGCAGTAGGGGTGTACGGTTCACATATAGAAGAAAAGGTAGATTCTGTGAGTCGCTGGCATCTTGGCTGAGAAGGAGTTGTGAGGAGAATGTGAGTACAGTAGAAACAGTACAGCCTGTGACCTGTTGGCATCGCAACTTCCACTCCTTACCCTGCCTTGACCTAGCTTCTTACACTGTGGAAGCTGCCATAAGCGCTCTAGCATGGCCGCTCGGCCTTGTTTCTTAAGACATAGGTATCGGGCTGGCTTTTGAGGCGCCTCAAAACTTGTTTCTTAAGACATAGGTATCAGGCTGGCTTTTGAGGCGCCTCAAAACTTGTTTCTTAAGACATAGGTATCGGGCTGGAGCTGCAAGCAGGGCATGGCCTCACAGGTTCATTATACGAGGTGCTTTTGGGTCAAGGGTGGGTGGCAGCTAGGTAGGGCTGGGTGGGTGGGGGCATACCTGCATGGAGCGAGACAGGGCTGCCTTGTTCCTGAAGCGCTGGTATGCGATCTTGGCCCCCTTGGCGAAGTACTCCTCCTCGTCCGGGCTGTATGGATGCAGTGGGGACGAGATGCAAGGGAGGCGAGTAATGAGGAGCCTTAAGAAATGCGTCTTAGCAATGAGTACTAGCTTGGCCCCCTAGGCGAAGTACTCCTCGTCGTCAGGGCTGTATGGTATGGATGCAGTGCGGATGGAAATACAGTGGAGTCAAGAATCAGGTGAGCATGACACAAGAGGCATGTGGGGTTCTGGTCGCATCAGAACCTTGGCGTTGATTTGAAACACCAAAGCCTGGTAGTTGTAAGCATTGCAAGAAAGAAGGAAGGGAAACAATTATCGATTCGGCGGCAGAGCAAGGACGGGTTGGGCTAGGGTCTGGAACTGGGACTGGGTAACTCTTGAGAAAAAACGAAAAGGAAGGAAGGAAGACTACAAAGGTCGCCCCAATTGATTGAAAGGAAGACTTCGAAGGTCGCACAAAGGTACATAGTTTGGGCCTGGGCCTGTGCCTTGATTTAAGAATGTGAGGCACTCACGTGAAGGGGCGCTGGTCTGCATTGAGCTCTGCAAATCGGCCGCGAGAGATGATCTCCTTGTTGAAGCCTATGCGCCCGTACAGCTCGCCCAGGCTGAACTTGCCTGCCATGCCAACCCAAGACAGCACACGTGGCCGAGATAGTGCAAGGGAAGGGGGAAAGGGGGGAAGAGGGGAAGGGGAGAGGGGGGAGGTGGGAGGGAGGGTAGAGTGGAGGGATTTTTCAGATGGCTCAAAAGCCACCACCGGCTTCACCACCCGCCCGTGTGATTCTGTGCCATCCCTCCCACGTGTGCCGTGTGTGCGTACAGTCTATGCTGCTGTGTCCGATATGCTTCAAAGTCAGCTCAAAAGAAACCCGTACCTGTGACGACGCCGATGGAGCCGGTGAGAGTGAGTGGCTCAGCGGCGATGTGTGGGGCAGCCAGGTTCTAGCTCCCATACCTCACGCTCAGCACAGGAAGCAATGGCCTTCGAGCTAGCTCTTACGCACCTGTGACGACTCCGATGGAGCCGGTGAGCGTGAGGGGCTCGGCAACAATGTGTGGAGCGGCCATGGCCATGTAGTACCCGCCGCTGGCTGCCACATCCGACATGCACGCCACCACAGGCTTCACCTTGGCTAGCTCCCGAATCTCGTTCCACATGCTGGGGTGGAGGGGGAAAATGCAGAGCATGGGAAAAATGTATGGTATGTGGTATTAGGACATGCACGCCACCACTGGCTTCACCTTGGCTAGCTTCCGGATCTCGTTCCACATGCTGCGAAGAGGGAAAGTGGGTAGGAACAAAGAGGGGGAAAGGGAATTGACATGACTCTGAATCACGTGGTCAGTGGCAACATGGCATGCACGCCACCACACTGGCTTCACCTTGGCCAGTTCTCGGATCTCGTTCCACATGCTGGGGTGGGAAAGGAGGGGAAGAGGGAAGGGGGAAGCGGGGAAAAGAGGGTCCACAAGAAGCATGCATCATGCATCATGCAGGAACCATGTGGACTAAGGCAGCAAGACATGACTTTGGCGTCGACTAAAAAATGCATGCCACCACCGGCTTCACCCTTGCCAGCTCTCGTATCTCATTCCACATGCTGGAAACTTTTTTAGACGACTTAAAAGTCACCTTTCCCTTGCCAGCTCTGGTATCTCATTCCACATGCTGGACGAGGGAGAATGGTGGGGGAAAGAAAGTAGGTCAGAGGGGGTTTATTCACAGTAGCTTGGAGGCACATGTGGTGTGTGGCAGTGTAGGTTTTTTGAGAATTCTAAAAAAACAGACATGCACGCACGCCATCACTGAATTCACCTTGGCATGGTTTATCCACCTCATTCAGTCCGTTCGACTCTGTTTGACCCCATTGACCTTCATAACAATTCTGGCTCGGACCAGGCTGACTCACAGGTCCGAGGCAAGGGCGTCTCCCCCAGGACTGTCAATCCGCAGCACGAGTGCCTTGAACTGCTTGTTCTCCTTCACCATCCGCAGCTTCTCAATGATGCTCTCGCTCTCTCTACACATTGATCAGTCAAACTCATCCAGCCCCCATTGACTCTGCTGTTCACCTCATTCACTCTGTTTGAATCTCTATGACCCCGTCAACGGCTTGAATCTCTATGACCCCGTTGACCTCAGCCAACCCCACTTGACCCTGTTTGACTTACAGGTCAGATGCAAGGGCGTCTCCTCCCGGACTGTCAATCCGCAGCACGAGTGCCTTAAACTGCTTGTTCTCCTTCACCATCCGCAGCTTCTCAATGATGCTCTCGCTCTTCACGCCACCCCCTCCCATGCCGCCGCCGCGCTCCTTGCCCTGCGATATCGCCCCCACTGCACGCAGCACTGCGATGCGCTCCTTCCCGCCCAGCCCCACTGTCGAGGGCGATACTTTTCCGTACTTCCTACATTGGGGGAGGAAGGAACAAAGGGAATGAGGATTGAGAAGAAGGAGCGTAGAAGCGCCTCAAAAGGCCGCGCTCCTTGCCCTGCGTTATCGCCCCCACTGCCTGCAGCGATGCGATGCGCTTCTTTCTTCCCGCCCAGCCCCACGGTCGAGGGCGATACTTTTCCGTACTTCCTATGGGAGGAGAAAAACAACCGGGAGAATGAGGAGGAGGGGTCGTAGGGCAGGCACACTTGTTGCAAGAGTGCTTCTCTTACCAAGCGGTCTGCCTCGTTCGATCAGCTTTTAGTCGTCAGACTGCAGACTGCAGTCGTGTTTTGAGTCGACTCAAGACACAACTCATTACACGCGCGCTAAGGCAAGGCAAGGCAGGACAGAGCAAGGCAGTGAGTGAGAGACAACACTCACTTGGCGTCCACGGATTGCAGAGGCTTCTCCTTGTCCTGCCCCAACCGCTCCTTCAACAGCTCCTCCACCTGATAGCATGCACGCAGGCACACACACACACACACACACACACACACACACACACACACACACACACACACACACACACACACACACTCACACACATTAAGGTAAGGCACACGCATGAATCACTCCCACGCACAGAGTCACATGTGAAAGAAACCGAAGGAGCGAATTCGACAATTGGGTCGCAGATTCCAGCAAACACACATCTCTTGTAACAGACATGCACGGCGAGAAGGTAGAGGGGTGCTTGGGGCGGCAACTAAACGAACAAAGGAATAGAGAAAGCAGAGTGTACGGCAGACTGCCGTACCACACTACACCACACCGCACCACACCACTCGAGGCCATGCAGCGCACCTGGATGCCGTAGATGACGTCAGTGAGGAATCCCCTGCTCTTGAGCTCCTCCACCTCCTGTACTCCGTCCTGCAGCAGCTGCTGCACTGCCTCCTGCCCCACCCCTGCTAGCACACACATGGGTGGGCCCAGGGAATTAGAGAGATTGAGAACGGTGCAAATGGAAAGGTTGTACTCTTGAGCTCCTCCACCTCCTGCACTCCGTCCTGCAGCAGCTGCTGCACTGCCTCTTGCCCCACCCCTGCTAGCACACGTGAGGGCAAGAAAGGACACAGGAGGGGGTACAGGTATAGTATGGGCGTGAGTATGGGACAGGCGGAGTACAAGCAGAGGCAGGCAGGGGTGGGTCTAAGACTGAGGATGAGGGAAAGGGGAATACTATACCTGTTAGCTCTGTTGAGCTCCTTCACCTCCTGCACCCTTTTCAGCCAACGCACCTCTGTTTCCAGCTACAGCAGCTGTCCACGAGAAGTGAAAGTCGTCAAATAAGGTGGTGAGCATCTCAACACCACTTGCCTCCCAAACAGCTCTAGAAAACATTCACAAATGCACACTTGCACACCTGCACGCACCTCCGTTCTCAGTCACGGCAGCTGTCCACGTGGAGTAGAAGTCATCGAGAAAAGCGGTGGGCATCTCGCGGTTGGGCTCGCTCATGTCAAACTATCCATGCATCAACCCATACCAACCGCACACAACCAAGCTCCAACCAACGTACCTCTGTTCTCAGCCACGGCAGCGGTCCACGTGGAGTAGAAGTCGTCGAGAATAGCGGTGGGCATCTCGCGGTTGGGCTCGCTCACGTTGAACTATCCATGCATCATCAACCCATCTCAACCGCACACAACCAAGTTAGTTCCAACCAGCGCACCTCTGTTCTCAGCCACAGCAGCCGTCCAGGTAGAGTAAAAGTCGTCCAGAATAGCGGTGAGCATCTCGCGGTTGGGCTCGCTCATGTCTGACCGTGCCAGCTGGTCGCCCGCGCTCTTGTACTTGCCGATGCGCTCGATTTGTGGCTGCACTCCCGCCTTCTGCAACACGCCTGGCCGATCAGGAGGGGAGGCACGGAGGGAGGAGAGGAAAACGGGGTGCAAGGGAGTCGATCAAGTGACTGATCTACCAGGAGTTTTTTTACCCCGCTTTCTGCAGCACACCAGGAGTTTTATGGAGAGAGGGTGGGATTTTGAGGAGTTCTGCAATTATTTGAACGCTTTGCTTACTTTCTGTCCCGCCTTCTTCCGCCACCCAACATCCGCACTTTCCCTCACTCCCCCTGCTTCATCCCACCACCCGAAGAAAGACCCTGCATGGCCACCGGGACTGCACTTCCAGCATCGATCACTCTTCATCCCCTCCCTCGTGACCGCCTCACTCGTCTCCCCTCCCTCTTCCTTCCAATCTCAACTCTCCCCCAGCTCTCTCCCCCCCCGTTCGTCTTACCCCCAAGGAACTGCCCCTGCACGGCCAGTCCGCGCAGGGAGAGGTAAGCGCCGGGGGGAGCGTAGATCTCCTCGCACGCGGACGCAATAAAGTACTCTTGCTCTCCGCCCACCGTCATGTACGCGATACAAGGCTTGCCTGGTGGCGCAGACGGAAGGGAAGGGGGGGGTGGGGAGAGGAGGGGACAGGAGGGGAGGAGGGGACGCGAGGGCTGGGATGAGTGATTTGTTTAGAGAGAGAGGGTCGTATGCGGAGTGAAGGAACGCGGAGACATGATGCACATGACGGTTTCAGAAAGAGGTTATTGACTCCAAAGGAACGCGGCGTCTCATCTCACGCGCCAGAGGAAGGAGGAACGTGACAACGCAGCTATACCAGCAGTGTTATAAGTACAGGCGCAGATGAATATACATATATAGGCTCAGCGCCACGCACCTGACTTGCGAAAGTGCGCCACGTGGCGAGCAATCTCCTGCAGCTTGCCCCAGCCGCACTGCAGCGGGTCCACGTGGAGCAGCAGTGCGGAGACACGTGGATCCACGGCTGCCTTGCGCAGATTGTCGCAAATCGCGGGGAGGGAGAGCGACGGGGAGAAGGAGGACCCCACCATCTCGGGAATCTGCGGGAATAAAGAAGCGGGGGGGGGGGGGGGTGGGGGGTGGGGGGGCGGGGTGAGTTGGCGGAAAGGGAAAGCGGGGGTGGCGTCGGTGCGGTGGAGGAGCTCGGGGGGGTGCGGGGACGGGGGAGAGAGAAACATGAAATGAGGAACAACTTACAGAGTGAAGAGAAGATAAGGGGGAGTGAGAGCGAGGAAGAAAGAAGAGGAAAAGAGAGTCAGCGAGAGAAAACGGGAGGAAGAGAGGGTGAGAGCGAGCGAGTAAGAGTAAGCGCGTGAGACAGAGAACAAGAGAGGAAGAGAGAGTTAAAGGATTTTACATTGCCCTTGAGTCGCATGTACAGAACCGAGTTCTTCTTAACGCGTCGCCACGGCCACTCCACAAGCATCTTCAGCTGCGCGCCGAGCTTCCGGAACCCCGCCAGCGGCACATACTCAAGCTCGATCGGCACCGCCACATCGCCGCTCGCGCCGCCTTCGCCGCTCGCGATGCTCGCGCTGCTAGTCGCGCTGCTGGTGCTCGCCGCTACCCCGTTACTAGCCGCCCCGTTAGTCGCGGAAACGGTTTCGGTTTCCGAAAACGCGTCCGTGTCGGAGTCTACGCTTCCGGAAGTGCCGGTGGCTTTAACTTCCTCCGACTCCGCAGGACCCGATTCAGGGGTCGACGCGGCCGACGCGCTGACATGGCGAAAGGAAGAATGAGACGCGGAGAGAGGCGCATACGCGGAACTGCGGAAGGATGCGGAGATGGCGGAGGTACTGGCGATGGCGGAAGACGCGGAGAGACTTGCGGACAGGGGGGCGGAAGAGCGATAGGAGAGGCTGGAAGGGCGCGCGAAGGATGCGGAGAAGTAACGGGCAGCCGAGGAAGTTGCGGCGGAACTGGCGGCGGAGGCGGCCATGGGGAATGGAGATGCTGCGGCGGCGCAAGCAGGTGCGCGGATGAGCGCGGAAGCTGTAGCAGCGGAGGTCATGACTGGCGCAAAGTGCTCGACTACGCCTACGCTGCGAGCCCAGTCCGTGGAAGAAGAGCGAGGAAAACGACTGCAAGAGGGAGCAGAAGAGCGAATGACGCGCCGAGATAGCTTGGTAATGACGAACGCCAGCACGACTCGTTGGCGCAGCGCAGAGAGATCGATCTTATAAGGAAGGATCTCGAATCTCGATGTCAGAGCCTGGTACTCGTACACTCTCTTCTCTGTCTCTTTCTTTCTCTCAGAAGGGGATGAATGAAGGATTCTTGAAGAATCCGCCCAGAAATATTTGATGATTGACGCGTGGGATTCAGTGGGAGATCGGGCAACGATGCGACTCGGAACCGTGATGACGAGAGGGAGCGAGCCAGCCAGCCAGCCGTCCGTCTGGGAACTAGTAGTAACTAGACACGTCGACACACGGTTGCGACCGATGGATGGTGTTTTTTGCATGGTATAATGTAATTTCACCTCCGCTAAAAAAAAAAAAAAAAAAAAAGACACGTCGACACGTGTAGTGACCAAAGGGGTTGGACTGGACTTCACAGACTAAGAAGTGGTTTAGTGTGGTTTGATATGGTGGATGTGGAGGTGGAACCATCCTAGAAAACGGATGAGTTGCGTGATAAAAGAGGAAGTGGTAACAGCACTTAGCGACCTCTTGTCGCTTGCAGGATGAAGCTTCGTCAATATCTCGCTGAGTTACAAGAGCAGAGGTGTATGGTGATCACGTCATTTGCAAGCTCGGTGCATGACCCATCCCCGTGCCCTTTCCTCCAAGGTGATACGGCATACCAAAACGCCACGTCCGATCAAACATCACTGGGACGTGTGGCTGCGCCACGTGGCCCCGTTTCTGCCACGGTTCTTTTGCGACAAGCACGAATGTTGCGAAAGCATCCAGACTGTTTTGAGTACTATTACCAGTATGATGTTTGTGCAGATCATGGCCCATGACATTCCAATACCGTAGAAGGTCATGGGCCATGGTCTGCCTGCTGTCATGGGCAATTTAGGGTTGGAGGCATACGCAATTGGAGGTTCTGAAAGAAGGCAAACTGTCCGCGTTTGGCTCCCAGCTTTAATATTCAGGCTTCATATTACAAGCATCAACTCAAGCTATCACCTCTGACCTCTTCATGGATGAACTACATAGGACTGCCTGTGACAATGCTATCCACGAAAATCAGGCTGCATGATCCATTTGAGAGTAAGCTGGCGAGCAGCCTGCCTTACAAAATCATGTTTCTATTCGCCACACCAATGAACCAGAGACAAACCTGCTACTTCTACAAAGCAACCAGAATGTGCAACACACCTACTTGGCACATCCCACACCGTGAATGTGCAATTGGAGCAAATTACCTAACAGAAATCACACTCTGATTCACTCAGCCTCAATGTCAATAATACGGATATTGTCATCCCGAGATGCCCTACCCCCCTTGCTAGCCTGTCCATTGATATTGGGGTTCCACACAACTCCCCTGCAGCGCTGGCATGCAAGCACTTGTGCACGTGGCCCCACAAAACGTTGGCCGCATGAAGGGCAAACACCCTAGAGCACACAAGGGAGCACAGCAGGAATACGCAGAGATAAGCAGAGTGCATGGGTAGAAGTTGCAATAAAAGCAAGCAGGAAGGAGAAACTGTCAAGGCCTGAACGAACCTCAACAATGGTATTGCCTGCCATGCTTCGGACAATCCATGGAAGCAAAGGGATGAGCCAGAGGGACCAGAAGAACAGTTGAAAGAGCCATCCAGATAAAAGCAGCCAGCAGAAGGCACCAAACTGCGAGAAAAGAGACAGCCCAGAAAGAAAAGCATTCGCATGAGCTTACCAAGGCGAACAGAAGAGTTAGAAAGCCAAACCATGCCGTTAGATAGCGCTAAAAATCAGGGATGACGTCGGAACAAAGGAGTGAATCATCGAGATGCAAGAACAGGGGTTTCCGTAAAACTTACGAAGACAGCCTGCCCAATAGGCGTCTCCCTGAACTCATTCAGCTGGCGCTCATACTGCAACAAAAATCAGGGTGGGATAAAACAAGTATGGCAAAACCGGAAAGCAAACAACTTCAATATTCATGCACTCCGCGCTGGTATCCACAAAAGCCCGGAAAGCGAAAACAGGTAAAAAAATACGTTATTTTCCATGCCATCCACGAGCTAACCTCTCAACCATCAAGTTCTCTACCCTCTCAACCATCAAGTTCCATGTACTCGAGTTAAACCCAACGTCATCGCATATCTTATGCCAAAAGTATATACTCTGTGCTTTTCTACCTCGATACCACTTGCTAGTCACTCACCTTGGGCCATTTCTGCTTCAGATCTTGAGACGCTGCACGAAACATCTGTCGTACACGAAGCCTCTCGTCCACTTCCCGAAGCTGATTCGCCGCACCTCCTAGAACCTCATTCGCCTTCTCCTTCACGCCATATCGCCTGTCAATGTTTGTCGCATACCTCTCCGCCTCAAAAGATAACTCTTCCAAACGACTAGCAGCGCTCTTAGCAGCTTTCTTGATTTTTTTCTCAAGATCGTTTTCACGAGCAAAGCTTTCGACCTTTGACTTAGCCTCCCTCGCCTTCTTCTGCGCAGCTTCAGACAGGTCTCGGAAGAATTTCTCTGGCTCTGCCGCTGACTGGACAAGCAGCGGCTTCCAGCATCTGCTGCTTGCACCTGTACCGCGGATGTTGTAAGGACGGACTTGCACGCCGAAGCAAGAGCTCGAAAGGTACGAAACGGAAACGCTGCGAGTTTCAAAATATTTGGCCTTGGGATCCGATTGGAGAGCTATGGTGGTGCAAGGTACTCTAGAACTAATTACAGACGTCATGGTTCCGGCGGTACAGATGACGATCTCTGGCTGTAAGGTGGAGCACCACAACAAAGCAGGCGAAATTTACTCACTCAATTCGTCAGTTTGGAAAGAGTAGGCCAGAAACCCTTCTCAAACAGAATTTTGCGAGGGATCGAACAGATTTCCTGAAATGCTTCACGTAACTCGTATTGCAAGGATGTCCTACAGGAATCTGATGTTGCCACTGATTTCACTCGCAAAAATCACGAGATGCACAACACATGCTTGCTTACCTCACACGCTTCTTGCTGTTTGCTTGACATGGGCCCTGTTCTGTTGGCGCATAAGGGGTGCTCAGCCCTAACGCCGAACATTCTCGGAATGCGCATAACAAGGATTAAAGCCCACGTCGAGCCTCCCAAATCGTTATTGTCTCCCGAACCTCTGGTGCGGGAGTTGTGCGCGCATTATTCATGCGTGCGCAAGAACGCATAACTCTCTGTGCGCTGAGAAAATTCCACGAGCTTGGTTTCACAGGCAATTTTCCCGCATGGCCTGTGCGAGCCCTATGCGCTCGTCGAGGGGGGATTGAAGAGGCGCACGACAAATAACGGGCAGATATAAACGCCCGTTTTGGGGTATTGTTTTGGTGGAATACTCACCCCAAAAACAAACCAACGGCTAACCAGTAAGAATGCCACATCCAGTGCATCATTTCGCGAAATTTTGACTTTGGAAGAGTGCCAGGGCAGTGTGTAACAACATTTTTTTGGGCACACGGGAGAAAAAAGTTCGTAATTTTGTCGATTAGTAAACCCTTCGACGAGGCTGCAGGCCCTCTCTTCCTTTCCAGGAAAACGCTGTCCGCAGTACCTGTGCGGCAGCTGCGAATGGCCTGTGCGCCAGCGGAACAGGGCCATGGCAATGCGGGAGGAATCTGCATGGTGGGTCTGGCTGGGACCCTGTTGGCGACACAGGGGCAAGGTGCAGAAGTTGAAGGCATCCCCGGGGCAGATTCAAAGGGACCACCAGGTGGTAGCGTGCCAAGGAACAATCGACACGTGGCTCGGGCAGAAAGGTCGAGTGAAGGCTGCAAGAAGTTACTCCGTAGGCTCGCTGCAGAAATTCGGGCAGTGTGAGATGGATTTTCTGGACAAGGGCTGGCGAAATGACGACACGATCGAGAAGTGCAGCAAGGGACGGATGAATCGGACGGAACGGAACCAATTGGGTTGCTTGAAGGCTGCGAAAACCAATGACGGGCATTGGCGATCGCTTGGCTTTTGATTGGGTCACAGGGTTCAGGTAATCGTGTCCAATATTATGGGAGCCTCGCTCGCGAATCGGGTGAAAGCGCTCAGCAGCACAGCTCGTCAGGTGAGGAAAACAAATTAGGGCGTAACTCATTTGGAGTTATGGGCAGGTTTGGGACATGTGAGTTCTTAGACGACCAATAAGGTGCAGTTTTAGTTACACTACTGGAATATCAGTGGTCCTCTTATGACCCGAAGTATACAGTGTTCACCCGAAACACCCTTATGATCCGAAATAATATACGCCCTTAGTTAATCCAGCCCAACTCCCTAAAATGCTGGGCCACGTCATTGCCACTCAAACAAGTTCGGTCCCACAAAGCAAAGTGGTACAAGTTCGCGAGTTCGTATTGAAGGGGATCGAAAACAAAGTGAAGGGTTGCCTTAAACTAACAAGGAAAACTACGCGACGGGCTGACACCTGTCGCTGCGCTCCTGCGCTCTGAATTTATGGAGGGTAAAAGGCAAGCCAGGAGTTGACCTGTTTACTTACGCAGAACTCTCCTGTGCGGGCCTCCCAACCCCGTGGTAAAACCACGAACAACTGTAAAATAAAAAGGATTCTCGTGATGAGAGGGATACACTGGGGTAGTGTATTAATACTACTACGCTGTTCTAACAAGAAATGCATGGAGTGCTACAACTTCTGATATCTAGCTACACGCATACACTCTTCAATATTGCGATCAGGCTATTTTCCCCCAATATTTCTAGCTACAGCCAACCTTCATGTTCTCACCTCCCAGCGACCTTACCCCCTAGCAGAGCCTGCTGCACTGCATCTAGCACGCGCTTTGACCGCCGACAAGAGCCTGACAAATCGTCCACAGCTGGCAGCACATGATTGGTGGCGTCGCGTGGTGTTGATGCATTGCCAGCTGCTACAATCGCCTGCAGTAGAGCCATCCTCTCGGCATGCGAGGCAGCAGCAGCAGGGATGGCGTCGAGAATGGCTTGCAGCCATTGCAAGACATTCCCCCCACAACACACTTGCAACGCCACCAGGAGATCAACCACCTGCAAGCAGAATAACAAACGGGACATTTTGAGCATCAGCCACCAGCAAAGCGTGCGCCCTTGGGACACCTCAACCTCGACTTTTCAGGCGTCTCAAAAGGTTAACACACCTCAAAATCACCGTATCCCCACGCTCCTCACCATTGCCAGACTCGCACAGGCCGCCAGTAGCAGCGGCGAGCAGCAGGCGGCAGTGCGTGGGCCCCTGAAACATCTCAAAACCGAGTTTTGAGACGCCCCAGGACCACCTTACATCCATCCACGCACCTCATCATTGCGAGACTCGGGCAGCCCGCCAGTGGCAGCGGCGAGCAGCAGGCGGCAGAGAGTGGGGCCACGCGGGCCCACGGCGGCCTCTATGTTGGCGCGGAAGGGTCGGCCGCGCTCCGAGAACGGGAAGTCTAGCACGTCCTTGAGGAAACTGAGGACTGACTTGCATGCCTCCCTGCAAGTGACGGATGGGGATGAGGCGAGACGAGATGAGATGAGCAGGAGGGCGTGTGAGCATGCAGTGGCTGGGAAGGGTAGAGGCTAGGACGGGGACGGCCGGGTGCCTCCCTGTGGGGGATGGGCGGCGGGAGGAGGGGCCGAGGAGGAAGGCGTGTAAGGGTGTGGAGGCTGGGGTTTCAGAGAGTGACTCAGTAAGCTCTCTGATACCATGGCCTACAAAGGGACTGCCATGCGCAGCAAGGAATGCTGGCTGGCATGGGCATGGGCACGGATGTTCATGTCAGACACCTCAAAAATGGCTAGAGAGTGACTCAACAACACACACCTGTGCTGCACGAAAAGGCCTGCAAGAGCACTGTCGAGCACAGCAAGGAAGGCTGGCGTGGGCACGAAGCACGAACAAGTAACTCTAGAAACGTCTGGAATTGGCCAGAGAGGAAGAGAGACGCACGGAAACCCGCACCTGTGCTGCACGAGCAGGCCTGCAAGGGCGCTGTCGAGCACCGCGAGGAAGGCCGGCGTGGGCACGAACAGATGCCCGCAGTACCGCATGCAGCGTGACGCGAGAAGGAAGCAGTCGTCTGCCACGTCCGGTTTCAACGTGAAGTCCTGCGACGACATAGTCAGTGTGGAAGGCAGTGCGGATGTCAGCATGCATGTGAGCGAGAGTGTGGGGAGGAGTAGTTGAAAGGATAGGTGATTTCCAGGAGCATGCAACCAGGCGAGGGCAGTTGTATGTACGCGGCATCTGGCTTCGAAAAAAATCCAGGAGATTTTGGTCTGGGGCGATGGCTTGAGGCAACACGGTTAAAACCCAACCCGCACCTGTTGTGTGCAGTACATAACTCGACAAGTCTCAACTCGAATCACACCAACAAGTTTCAATTCAACCAAGGAGCTCAGGCGTTGACGGAATTCACCCTGCATGACTTACGTCGGGGAATCGAGTTTTGAGGCGCCGCAAAAAGCGACTCACATCAAGGGATTGCAGGGAGGCGGTGGTGCGGGCGAATAGCACTGCGATGAGCTGCTGCAGGTACGCTGCACAGTTGACATCTGAACCAAACACCTGATGGGTGGAGAGGTGGAGAGGTGGACGGATGGACGGGTGGACGGGTGGACGGGCGGAAGGAAGGAAATTATGAGAGGCACGCAGAAAGAAAAGGGATCGTGTGAAGTGCTTGCTTTGCATGATCAGTGCATGGGGGCTTCTCTTCATCCGACATCAGATGCACTGCGTTGCATAGGGGCCGCACATGCTCCTGTACCAAGAGCATGAGCATGGGGTTGTAATATATACCGCTTCAAGATTTTTTTGCTTGAAAGGCAAGTCAGAGAAAGGGTTTTTGCAGGCTGGATGAAGGCGAGGTGAGGTGAGGTACCTTGATGATTTCACTGGCCACGTATAGCAGGCATGGTTGCTGGTGCTGCTCGTATTGCACCTGCAACTCCTGCAGGAGAGGCGCTAGCACTGGCGCCATGGCCGTTTTCCCTCCCCGGATCTGCACACATCCACACGTGCAAACATGCACATATGCACACATGTACAGATGCGCACCCACATGCACAAATATATATGGAGGAAAGGTAATGCATCACGCATTGGCATACACGAAATGCAATGCGGGCAAACACAAATTCACACAGTCACAGGGATGCTCGTTTTGATAAGACAACACTACGAACAAGGACAGGGGAGGGAGAGAAGAAAGGGAGGAGGAGATGACCAGTGTAGGGAGGAGAGGAGCACACATCACACGTTGCACACACACACACACACACGCCCCCTCAACTGCACAAACCTGCACCCACTCTCACATGAACACACACCATTCTCCCCTCCCAGCCCGTCCTCTCCCCCCTTCTTTCCCTCAATCCCAACCTCGCACACGCACCGCGTATTTGCATGCTCGACATAGCCTTTCCATGACTCGCATGTCTGTGGGCTTTCTGCATAGATACAGAGACACGGAGACACAGAAATACAGACACACAGATACACAAGCACACAGACACACGTACAATCTCACACGCAACCACACACACACATGCACATTCGTGGAGGAAACAGAGAGCCAGTCACAACAGAGAGCCAGACGTCACAACAGAGAGTTTGAATCACGCAGCAGCGAAGCGAAAGTGCAAGAGAGAAAGAGTGAGGGTGAAGAGGGGGGGCAGGAAGGCATACTGAGCGAAGACAGCCTGGAAGAGAGGCCATAGTTGTTGAAACGCGTCTGCTAAAGGCTGATTCTGACTGACGTATCTGCAGAGAGGAAGGCGGTGGAAGGGAGGGGGTGGTGGGGTGAAGAGAGCGGAGCGGATTGCGTCAGAAGAAGAGAGGATGAGAGGATGAGAGGCAGTTGAGAGATGAAAGCAAGTGGTGCTGGAAAAAGAGCAAGGCTGGCACAGTAGGAGAGGAGAGATGAGAAGAACAAGAGCACAGCACGGCAAGGGATGAGAAGCAACAGTCCACATGAGCACCTTAAAACAATGACAACGGCGGCAGTTGCGCTGACCTAAAAATGTTGGCGATTCTGTCTATATGCACCACGTATTGCGCTGCTGGCATGGATGCAGGCCCTCCTGGTGCCTGCGCTGCTGCTGTCACCACTTGCTGCCAAACACAGAGAGCACAGAGCAGAGAGCAGAGCACAGAAAAGGAATGGAGTTTAGAGAAAAGATGGAGCACACGTGGCGAGCGGGGTGTGGCATGACGAAACGACGGACTCGCCCCTCACAGACGTCCCTCCCTCCTACATACTGGATTGGTCAAACAGAAACACGTGCCAGGGAGAGGCAGGGAACGAGAAGCATCCCACCACACACAAGACACTCTGTCTATGATGAGGGGCACCACACACACACACACACACACACACATACCTGAAGTGCTGCAGTGAGAGGCTGCAACAGCGCGGAGACTGCCTTGGGGCACTGGTCTGGTGGTAGCACACTCACCACCACACTGCGAGATGTATGTGTGTGGTTGTGGGAGATTGGAGGGTGGAAAACAATGTTACGATGGTGTGGACAAAGAGGTAGTGAGAAGGAAGGAACAAGGAAATGGGATGAGAGTGGAGGGCATTGGGATGGTTACAGTGCAGCTAGGACATCCGGGAGAACGCGGGCATGGAGGGGATACAAGCGTGAGAGACAAAGGGAGATATATCGCAGAGAGGATCAGAGGCAGAGAGGTGGAGAAGCAGGGAGGCAGGGAGGCAGGGAGGCAGGGAGGCAGAGAGACAGAGAGCAAGTTGGCTCTTGAGAACTCTCAAAGCACAATCTGCATTTCATCTTTTTGCTGCAGTGCAGTGCAAGAGCAAGAGCAAGTTGAGTCTTGCGAACTCTCAGATCGTGCGAACCTGAGTGGGAGAGAAGCAGAGAGGCACCGATGCAGATAGAGCATGCGTACCTGAGTGCTGCCACGATCTGTAGCTCGTCCTCTGGCTGCAGTACAAGAGCACAATGGCTTCCGAGGACTCTCATAAAAGTTGGTTAATGAGAAGCTTCAGAGCACGCGTACCTGAATGCTTCCACGATCTGCAGTTCATCTTCTGGTCGCATGTATCTGGTGTCGGGTGCAAGCGCTGCATCCGACACCATCACTCGGTTGTACAGCTGCAGCAGCGGGTCGATCGATCGACGACAGCAGGTGCTGCCTTCGAGAATTCTCAAAAGCGACTCCGATAGAGCACGCGTACCTGAGTGCTTCCACGATCTGGAGCTCGTCCTCTGGCTGCAGAGCCAGAGCAGCATCCGACACCATTACTCGGTTGTACAGCTGTAGCAGCGGATCAATCGATGACAGCAGGTGCTGCCGTGACGCTGCGACGAAGCAAGAAAGAGACAAGGGCGGCGTCAGGTAATGGAAGAGGTCAGTGGGGTCAGAGTGGGGAGAACGTAACGTGGATGACAGTAGAGAAGATAAAATCCATGCAATCAACGGGGTCAATCCAGTCCGCAAGCCCAGCAGCAGCGGAACGACACCCACCATCGCAGATGTGCTTCAGTGCGAGGGCTGCAGCGGGAGCAGCATCCTCGCCAGCTCCCAGCGCGTTGGTGAGGAGAGTGAGCAGCGGAGGCAGCATCGACGGCGCGTTGGGCGCAGCTGCTATCCAGTCACAGTAGGCCGCTATGGTCAGCGACGCTGCAGTCGAGAGAGGGGGGTTTGGGGGGAAGGGGGGGTTGGGAGGAGATAGGGAGCAGTTGAAATGGAAGGCGCGTTGGACGCAGCGCAGCTGCTATCCAGTCACAGTAGGCCGCTATGGTCAGCGACGCTGGAGAGATGTTAGGAGGAATTTGATGGGTTGAGAGGCGGTGAGAGGGGGTCAGAGACGGTGAGAGGAGATGGCAGGAAATGAGAGGGGGTGAAAGGGGATGGCAGGAAATTGCACGAAAAGCGGATGTCGTGCGTTGAAAAACGATGGCATGACACTTAACTAAATGGAGGGCTAGTTGCTGTGTCCATGGCATGGGGCAGGCATTACAAGCATGGATGTGAATACGGATGTTAAACGGGTGGCACGCGCATCGGACAAGTGACAAGCATGCTTACCAGTGTACAATAACTGAGGCTGAGGGGGCAGCATGGGTAGCAGTGCCATGAGCTGCCAGGCACAGTGGGCAGTGGGGATGAGAGCACATGGCAGGGGGCGCAGGCAGGGAGAAGCTTATATTTGAGGAGCCAAACAAATGAGCTGCCAGGCACAGTGGGCAGTGGGCACAATGAGCCCCCTCCAGAGTCAACACAAGCAGAAGAGCTGTGAGGAGGGAGGAGCGGAACTAGGGCGGAGTGGACCTAGGGAGGGGCGCACTTCGGTAGGGGCGGACTTGGGGAGGGGCGGACCTGGGGAGGGGCACACCTGGGGAGGGGCGCACCTGGGGAGGGGCGCACCTGGGGGGGTACGCACCTGGGGGGGGGGGCGCGGACCTGGGGGGGGCCGCACCTGGGGCAGGATGGTTTGCTCGCGCAGGAGGTGCGAGCCCGCAATGGCTCGGATGCAGTACAGTGATGCCTCCAAGGCCCTCCAGTCGTACTCCTGCCCCCGTGCTGCTCCCTCTGCTATCTGATGCCCCTCACAATGCACCCGCCCATGCGCATACCCATTCCCATGCCCATGCCCATGCCGATGCCCATGTTACGCCAACGCACAGAAAACAGAGGGGGAAAAGAAGAGGGCTTGAGGTAAAGAAAGCCATGGGCATGGACTGAGCCAGGAGATATAGCTTACCAGCTATGGAACTGAGCTGGGCTGAGCTGGAACTACCACCACACACTAAACACTCGGAAACAACAGAAGATAGAGTAAGAACACAAGAGAATAAACACATGAGCTGCTGAGGGGGCACCTGGAAGAGAGGTTGAGCGAGCAGCTGTAGCAATCTCTCTCCACCCAGCACGTACAGAACATCTGTCAACACATCAGCCACAGCTGCAGGCATGATGCAGGAGAGAAGGGGCAAACGGGAGAGAGAGGTGAAAACAACAGTTTTTGGAACTGCACGTTGGGATATGGAATATGCAAATCCAGTGATGAGTTGCACAGCACAAATTTGAGGCACTGCACAGTGTTGCACTGAATTGCACCGCACCGCACCGCACCGCACTGCACTGCACCGCACTGACCGCAGCGTGTTTGCTTGAAGTCTGCCTTCTCATCACTACGCCAGTTCTCGTGGCCAGGGGGGTACCGCACTCTGAAGCTCACCTGGAAAGTGGCGGGAGGGAGGATTGGACAAATGATGGATCATGGATGGATGAATGCATGAGGGGACAGATGTTGCTCTAAGGCGCCATGCACCACAGCAGGACAGAAGTACAGCAGGACAGCAGGACAGCAGGACAGCAGGACAGCAGGACAGCAGGACAGCAGGACAGAAGTACAGCAGTTCAGCAGGACAGTGGCACAGCAATACGCACCAGGGATACAAGGAGTTCAAAGATGGGTTTGAAGAGCGCAAGCCGCCTCTCCCTTTCTGCATGCGCTGCTGCATCCGATGCCACGTTCTCCTCATGCCGCGGCCTGCAACGAGATGAAATCGGATCAGCGCAGAGGACAGACGACGGCGATGTTCAACGAGATGAGCATGGGAAAGAAGTATCATATAAAATATTGGTGAGGTACGTACCGCGTGGTGAGGTGAGAGCCGAGCGCATGCCAGAAGTTGAAAGTGGTGGATGCGATGTCAAAGTCTGGGTGCGAAGTCACTTGCACCAGCGCCTCTGCTATCATCATCGACTCAGGCGACCCTGATGTTTGTGGAGCCAAGGCCACCCCACAAACAGCACACGCACAAAACACACTCACACACACATAGCACACAGATGCCAAGGCAGAGGAGAGGAGGGTGTAGGAATTGCGAAAAAAAAAAAAAAAAAAAAAAAAAAAAAAAAAAAAAAAAAAAAAAAAAAAAACGGAGGACGCCTGTCGGGCAAAGAATCTGCATGAAGCCAGCACAGGAGAAAACACAGGCCACTTCCCCAGCAACAGCAAGTGGCACCTGCATATCCGACCATATTTGCATCCATCCCCCCTTTCCTTAAACCCATCTCTAATCAACCCAGCAGCAGCTGTACCTTGAGCAATAAGCCCAGAAAGCCCTGAACCCCGGTGCTGGCAGAATCCGCAACCTATCCCGCCTGCCTGCTGCGTTCTGCCAAGACTCTCTCAGTCAATGATGGGAATAAGCTGTGCTCTCACCGCTCGCAATTGGCTGTACTGCCACCGCCACCACTCCCAATGCCTCTCTCACCACTCGCAATGCCTCTCTCACCACTCGCAATGCCTCTCTCACCACTCGCAATGCCTCTCTCACCACTGGTAATGCCTTTTTCACCGCTGGCAATGCCTCTCTCACCACTAGCAACAGCTAACTACCCATTCGAGAGTATCCTCTCTCTCACTGCTGGCAATGAGGTCCACATACGTCTCGCCAATCTCTGCAAACAGTCGTGCCGCGCCTTGAAAGGGGCCTCCAAACCATATTCTAGAAAAGTCACTCTCAATAGCCCCCTCTCTCACCGCTGAGTTGACTTTTGAGTCGACTCAAAAGTCACTCTCAATAGCTCCCTCTCTCACCGCTGGCAATCAGGTCCACATATGCCTCGCCGATTTCTGCAAACAGTCGCGCCATGGCCTTCATCGTGTCCTCGTCCTGGGGGATGGAGCATGCACAAACGGGAGGGAGCAGCACAAAGGCGTGAGTGTGTGGCACTTTGAGTTGAGAGCACTTGTTGCCGCTCGACTCGCATTACCTCTGCTAAGCATCTCTACCCAGCCCAGCCCAACCCAGCCCAGCCCAGCCCAATCCCTTCCTTGCTTCTGGCCTCAGCCCTGCCCAGCCCCACCCCTCCTCCTCACCACCTCTGGCTCCGCGTCTGTCTGCCCCTGCTGATGCGCCTGCACCACTTTGAGCACTCGTTGTCACTCTACTCGCGTTTCCTCTGCTAACGAAAAAAAAAATCCTTCTAGCCCCCGCCCAGCCCAGCCCAGCCCAGGGCCCCCCACTCACCTCCTCTGGCTCCGCGTCTGTCTGCCCCTGCTGATGCGCCTGCACCACTTTGAGCGCAGCAGAGAAGCGTGGCAGCAGCGCCATGATGCGCGGCACTATCAGCTGCACCAGCTGCATGTTCGCTGCCAATGCCGCCGGACCGCCAGAGACTGAGAAGCGGATCAGCTCACACACGGCTGGGGGGGTGGGGGAGCGGGGGCGGTGGGGGAAGTGAGAGAGCAGAGCAGTTTCAGCACACTAGAAAAGAATTACAAGGAAGAGAGGGAACTGTTCGGGAGGTGCCACGCATCTCAAAACAGTGTGCATACATGAATTGGACAACAATTCATTCTCACACAGACAATGAACTGGACAGCTGCTGAGGCACCCGGTGAGAGTGAATGCACTGCACACCTTTCAACTGGCCTACCTTCAACTGACGGCTCAAACATGTCTGCGGATTGCAAGCCCTCCAAGGCAACAGGAACGAGTGGATGCGCCATGAGAGTCGCAGCAGATAGACTGAGGCACGTGGGAGAGAGGTGGGGGTGCAGCGTTGGGGGGTGTGGAGCGGTGTGGAGGGGTTAGGTTCTGAGAAGGCTATTATGGACAGGAATTTTTATCGACCAGATTGAAGTGGTACTTGGTCTGCAGTTGAGTTAGAACAGCCTTTATCACAGCTGCAAGAATGAATGACTGGGGCATTAGAGGGGAAGCGGCAGCTTGGTGGGTGACATGGGAACAGAGAGCGTTGGGAAAGCCAGTGGGGACGGCAAGGAGACTGCGAAAGCCAACGCGCCAAAGAGATTCGGATGCCAGGCAGGAGATTGGGTGAGGAAAGACAGGTGGATGACGAGGAAGTTGAAGAACAATACGCAAAGAGGAAAGTGAGGGCGCGAAGAAGGGTGTAGGCAGGACAGAACAGGGCAGGGAAGCACAGGGATGGGCTGAGAGGCAGGGGTGTGGTGGGAGGGTGCTTGAGCACACTAACCCGTTGCTGAAGCGCAGCCAGGCCGTGAACGCATGTAGTGCCTGGAGAGAGAAGCCATGCAGGGAAGTACAGGGAGCAATGTCCAGTAGGTGTTTGGGAGAAGGATGATGGACGGGAAAGGGGGGGACGAGGGTAAAGGGGTTTGGTGTTGACAGGGGTGGACAAAGGTGAGCGTTAGGAGTTGACACAGTGATATCAGTGACAAGTGAATGTGTGAATAAACGGGTGCTGTTACACGTATGTACATGCGTGCATATCAGTGCGTTGGAACGTGCACGTGAGTGGGGTTGGGTGAAAGGAGGGTGTGTGTGTGTGTGTGTGTGCATGCGTGTGTGTGTGTGTGGTTGTAGGAGGAACATAGTGAGAGACAGGGAGAGAACGCACTGCCTCAGTAGTGGCGGGATCAGAGGGGTGCGCGGCATGGCAGGCAGCGAGGAGGGTGAGCACGTCCGGTGCACACGCCACCAGCTCTGCTGAGAACTGCCTCCTCCTCTCCGGCCGCACTGCCAGCTTGTGTGCTCCCACCTCCTGACAGAGGCGATGATAAGAAAGGAGGGCAAAGAGAGGAGGGAGAGGAGGGAGAGGAGGGAGAGCAGGGAGAGCAGGGAGAGGGGGGTGAGGACGTCCGGTGCACACGCCACCAGCTCTGCTGAGAACCGCCTCCTCCTCTCCGGCCGCACTGCCAGCTTGTGCCCTCCCACCTCCTGACAGAGGCGATGACGAGAGAGGACGGCAGGGAGAGGAGGGGAGAATCGAGGGCAGGGAGTGCAAGGAGAGGGGGAATGAGGGCTGACAGAATGAGGGCGTGATAAGGGGAGAACGGCAGAGACGAGCATTGGGAGGGATGGATGGAGGCAGTAGAAAGTGCGGATCTCAACTTTCCAGTCCCCCTACCACTTTCGCGAGTTCTCAGAGTGACCCCTGTCTCCGTCCACCTCTCCCTACTCTTGCCCACCTGTACAACCACAGTCAGTAGTTCCACCAAGGCAGGGGCAAATTCAGGCTATTCCGCTGGCTTTCTATTTCACCCTATAATCAATCAATCACCATTCTATCTGCCACCCCTCTCCCCCCTCCCCTTCCTCCCTCCTTTCTCTAACCTGCACGACTACAGTCAGTAGTTCCAGCAAAGCAGGAGCAGATTCCGGCTGTGCTGCCAGCTGCTGCCGCAGCCAGTACACCACGCCTCCTTCCCCCCACTCTCCTGCTGGCGTGTGCGCTGCTAGCGCCGCAATCGCCAGACACAGCTGGGGTTGTGGCCACGGGTTCGCGGGAGAAGGAGAGAGCAAGAGAGAGGATGTAGGGATGAGAAGTAATAATGGAGAGGAGCGGGTGTAGTAACATGGAACATTCTAAGCGAGGAAGGAGCAGGCATTGCAGGCGGCCGGTGCATGGGCCACCACACAGGGGGGTATAGTGCAGGCATGAATTGGCTCTCCAAAGGGTATAGAGCACCCAGCATGCATGCCCGTGTGCCCCTTTCTGTGCCTGTGTGTGCGGCTTTGGTGTGTGCGCGTTTCACCGTGTGTCAGAGCCAGTTCAAGGCATGGCAGGCGGCAACAGTACCTGAGTGCGCACTGCGGCTGGCCCGTTTCTGAACTTGGCTAGCAGCCCCTGTAGCAACGGAGGAGACGGGTAAGAGGGTTTATAGAGCGACTTCATATGTGTGGTGGTGAGCGAGAGAGTGGGGAGATGAAAGATGCTCAGCATACGTCGCCAAATGAGGGAGGCAAGCCGGGTGAACATTGGCTAGGGAGATGAGACGAGATGGTCGGGGACCAAACAAGAGGGACAGGTAATCGGCAGGGGGGAAACTGGGATGAGAAGAGCAAACAAGCAAGAATATTCTTAAGGTGCAGGGAAAGAGCGTACAAGGAGTGAGGCACGCAAGGAAGGCGTTGAACCTTGAGGGAGCTCCTCAAAGTCTCTTTGAACCTGACACATGGAAGCAGTGGGAAACAGATACACTACATTTGAGGCGCCTCAGAAGTCGTCTGTTCATCCAGGAAAGGGAAGCCAGCTAGGTGCTGACAGGTAGATACTGATTTGTTCTAGACTAGTGTCTCAAGGAAGCTGGCGGGTGCCTTGAATCACCATCCCAATCTCAATAAAGAACTTCTTGAGAGAGAGTGAAATATCCTCAACGAGAGATATCTTCCAGACTAACCTTGGTTCGCAGAGTCTGTGCGCAGAAGTATCTGACCTCCATGCTGCTGCTCTCATCGTGCAGCAGCCGGTCCGATATCTGCGCAGCGTTTGGCGCCAGGAGAGCGGAAAATGCAAGAGATGAGGAACGGAGAAAAAGGGAGGAAGTGGACGGAGGTGTGGGAGTGGGGAAGGGGACAGGGGAGTAAGGACGAGGAGATGAGGGGGCAGGAGGTGTAATTCCGTTGCAAGAGAAACGGAGTGGCAAAACGGAAGGGTGCAAATTCGGTGCAACAGCTGCACTACAATGGTTGTGAGCGGCAGAATGTGAGAAAGGGAGAGAAAATCGGGAGCGCTCCCCTACTCCCCCCCCCTTTCTCTCGCTGCCCCCCCCCCCCTCCCCTCCCCACTTATCAAGCCTCCATGCTCTGGTGAAACGAACCCACGGAACATTTGTAAGTATTACAGAAAATCGCCCCCACGCTCCCTCGCTGCCCTTAACCCCCTCACCTGCCACGCGTCCATGCTCTGCTGAAACGCCTCGAGCCATTTGCTGGCCTCTCGCCGCGTGGATCGGTCCGTCGTCTGGTATAGGGCCTCCAGCACCCGCAGCAGCGTCGCCGTCGTGTCGCCCGCCGCTTCCGGAGCCGCCATCTCTTAACGGATGCGACGGGAATGCGACGGAATGAGACGGAACGCGACGGAGAGCGACGGAAGCTGAGAAGGTGGCGTGTGGTGGTGATGCGACGAGCAGGGACGTCGGCGAGCGACGTGTAACCGACGAGATATGTGATATGCTTCCGAATAAAACTTTCCCTCCACCAAAAATACGGCAAACGGTGGCACTGCAACACTGCCTTTGAATGCTTGCGGATGTTCCTAACGCGATTGCTTGACTCGGCGGCTGCTGCTCTTGCCACTGGTGATGATACGGCTGCTACTTCTGCTGACAATGTTGGTGACAAGCCTGGTGTTTCCCTTGTTCTCTGACGCTTCTTGAGCCGAAAGGTGGGCTTGGGAACGCGTCTCGGCTCTAAGAACGCCTGATTCCGGGATTATTGAATACCTTTGGCCAACACGTGACCAAATTGCTGATAAAGGTTGGCTAAAACAATGGATTCAAATCGGACTCCTACCAGGCAGACTGTAAGAAGCTTGTTATATTGGAAAAGGTAAAAGATGAACTACGGAAATGATTCTCTCGGGGAACGTCAAGAATGAAAAGGGTTTCAGCACCAGAGGGTTCAAATGGTACAGTGATCGAAACTGATGCAAACGGCAAGAGATGAATGGCTCTCAGACCGGCAAAAGGAGTGGCTAACGAAGCCGCCGGCTACGTAACTCTTGGAGCGCAATGACAGCGAATCTAAGTTCTGAAGTTCCTCAGCAAGGTGTGTAAATCTACGGTCGTAATCAGCAACTGGTATATTGGCCGTCAAATTCAATCACCAGGCTTTGCAACGAGCCTGCATCAAACTGGCTTGTGGAAGCGTGAGCTTCAGAGGCAGATCAGGAGGATCTGTCTCGATGGGACGAATTCCAAAACACACGACGCGCTACGTCTCTTGGAAACAGCTAAGCCCTAATGTGGCATGTTGCCGTGTCGTTGCTCAACGACATTCTGGACCATAGAGCGGAAGCTGGGACCTGGATACTGGCTGGGCATTGATCAGATAGCACTGCTGAGAAGGCGGGAGATGAGGTGAGATGGGATGAGATGAGCGGCCAGAAACAGTTCCGGCATGCTGATCATGTGGGACGACAAAAAGCCACGCAATATCCGAAGGTTCGAATGCTGATGATCTCTAGGAACAGTTTCGAAATAAATGAGCTTCAGATTGCGACCGTCCAGTTATGGAAGAGGGAAGAGTTCTGATTGTGGGAACGAAGTGGAGCTACATTCATAGCGCGGATTCGGAATGGGTGTCAGAGGCGGTTGCTGTCAGTCGACTCAAGGCGCGAACACCATTTTTGGCGGGTGCTGTCTAACCTCTGTTATGGACATGGCATTCGACTGGATAAAGTCATGCATTTGTGCAGTCTCCCCTCAACAACGTGGATTAGGGCGTGGCACCATTTTGCTCCCGACGGTTCGAACAGTGGACGGTCCGAACTGCGAAAAGGTTACCAGCTTCGTTTAACTTCGAAAATAGTTTCGTGAAAGTATTTGCGACGTCGCCAACGGTTCGAACTGTTGCGTCACTTTTCCCTCCTAACAACGGTTCAGACTCTGAACTTTTGGCGGTTTGAATACCGGACGGACGGAAGACAGTGCTGCTACGGGATTGGCGCACGAACAGCACAGAAACAAAAAACCGAGTCGCCTCGTCTAATTTTTGGGGCACGCGACTCGAACTCAAACATTGGACGGTGACATCGAACCGAGCTGCTGGGCTACAAAACCCCCACAAATCCGAACCGAACCATCACAAAGGACCACTCTTGTGCATATAGGAATACGGAACCGCGACCCACCACACCCAACTCCTCGCCAATTCCTCCACCTCGTTGTACTTGGTTCAATGTCGAGGGATGTTTGGTGTGCAGGAAAACTGCTTTTGTTGGTGTTCGAGTCGCGTATGCTGATTGGCGAATGTTGCGAGCAGTCGTGAATTTGGTAACGACTGTACAGTATTCATGGCGAGGCTACAGTACCTCGTCAAAACCCTAGACTCAGAAAAGTGACAGCTTTGCATCTGTACGGTGCAAAGTTTCGAATTTTCACAACGGACTGTCCGGTACTCGATATTTGGACGGTCCGATACGAAATTTGTGGACCGTCCGAAAAAACACTAAAAATCAAAATGGTGCCACGCCCTTAGCGTGTCACCTCCAGGTTCGAACAGGCCTATCGTTCGAACAGGCGAAATGTTACATGCTTCGCCATGATTCGTAAGCACCCTAACGACGTGTCGCGTATGATCGCAAGAGAGGTTGCAATCTTAAGCGACGTGGAATGGCGGTGTAGCAAGACAGAACCCAGTACCGAAACAGAGTGTATAGCAGGGATATGTTTGGGGTTGGAGAGCCAGCTGGAAGTACCGAGCGGGAGGGAGGCGAAGGTAGCAACTGCCCATGCAGGCAGACCGCGAGTACAGTGATGGGTGAGGGTGACAAGGGTTTCACACAAGCCGAGGGAAGTGGACAGCTGCTGTGGTTGTATGCGGCTGTGATTCATTCTTGTACATAGGGTGGGCTGAGACGTACGAATGAGATTGATTGCATGTCGGATGTAGGCTGTTTGCGTGTGGATGTGTGCAGGAGCAGGGTCACGACCAAGCGTGGAAGCAGGTGTAGGATGAGCTAGCCGATACCAAACCTGTACATAGCTAGCTAGCTTCAATCACTAAACCGCTTCTTTGTATGTTTTCTCGCTATATTGGAGTGGTGTGCGCGTTCTTGTCAATCGCTGAGCTAGCCAGTGAGAGAAGACTGCCGATGGGTTAGTGGCTTGCAAGTGGCTAGAAGGGATGGATATGCGGAAGCAGTAAGGGTGGAGTACACGGCCGTGTGAGCAGGAATCCCCGGAAGGGCAGAGGGAGGAAACAGGAGGGAGAGTGAGTGTGCGGGAGAAGAAGGGGCGGGAGTCTAGGAGCGGCAGAAAGAGGGGGAAGAGGCCTATGGCATCCGACACGTCGCTAACCAGAAGTTTCGCCAATTCGAACAGCGCTGTCACATCGGTCATGCTGCCAAATGTGTTGCACGTTCGAACAGCGCTGTTCGAACACTGAATGACAGGCGCCCCTCTCTCAGCACGGACGACACCTCTGATTGGACAGCACCCCGCATAGTCGCTAGCAAAATCGCTTCTCACAAGAAACTGTCGCAGTGCATCGGAAAGGGCAGTGTAGCTGGGAAACAACGGCCATTATCTCCGATACTCAGATTTTGCCTGAGCGCGTTCTCAGGTGTAATCAACCTGGACTTTCTCAACGTTGATTGGTCGTCGCTTTATAGTCACATTTCTCACGCTGGTCGAACTCATTAGGAAGTGACAAAAACAGAACCATCCAGTTTACCCTCCCGACTTGGATATAAGTACGGAAATTTAGGTAGTAAGAGAATGAAGCCCATATAATTCACTTGGTAGTGCTCGGTAGCGCAACCGACCGCTAAAGAACGCTACCGAAAGCACTAGACGACGCTACCGAGAACTATTCGGGCATGGCAGAAAACAATAAAACCCCTAGGGAACCTGGATGCATTTTCGAGTTTCCAAAATATTGGGCGACTTTTGGTATTTAGGGTTGATCCTTCCCGGAAATCATCTAGGTTCGCTACGGGGTTTTTTTTTTTTCCAGCGCTGAAATTATTTATTTTGAGTGACTGTATACAAACATGAGCCATAAAGGCTCCCTACTATATCGCGAAACCGTGATTCTGTTGGTGATTACACCTGAGAACGCGCTCAGGCAAAATTTGAGTATCGGAGATAATGGCCGGGGAAACAACTAGATGAGCAGCAGTAGAGGAGTACGAGGAGACATTGTGACTGGATGGGCGAAAAATGGGTCGAACTGGAATGGCAGGCGACTAAAAGTTGTTCTTGCGACGCTTGGCGACGTCGTCCTTTTACAGGCGACGTCGCATGTTCGAACAGGCTGCGTGTTGGAAAAGAGAGGGTGTCACCTCTGGTGACGAGCTGTCACATTTATTAGGGTGTTCAAATTTGTGTTCTGACACTGTTCGTACAGGTGACACGCGCTTAACATTCCGTACATAAAACTGTATTGCGAGATTTAGAAACCTTTCACCGAGCATTGGTGCATGCTGAATGTTGGGGCAAAAAGGATCCAACTAAGACTCTTGGCCCACCATTCATCAGATCTTGCGTGTATGCAAAAGGTTAATTGCACATGTAGCCACCCATTTCACCCACGTTTTGGATAAAACACCTGACAAGGTACAGTAAATTCCCACTGTATCCCATGCTTACTTTCTACAGCAGTCAGAAACCTTTCAGGTCTAATTCGTCCCCTTAGCGCTGCCAGCAGCAGCAGGAGCAGGAGCAATAGCAGCAGACGTTGCTCCACTGCCCGTTTTCCCCTGCTCTCTCTCTTCCGCACTATCATCCTCATCCAACTCCGGCAGAGGCGACAGCGGCTGAGAGGCCCCACCCCCATGCTCCTGCTGCTGCTGCTGCTCCTGCCCGCCCAGCAAAGCCCCTGTGATGCTATCATCTTCACTAGAATCTACCCCTCCCCTGGCACCACCAGCACTCCCAGCGAGCCCACGCCGAGTTTCACTAGCCGTTTCCCCAAGGGGGAAGTGCGAGGGGAGGGAGTCGGTCGTGCTGAGGCGCTCAAAGGCTAGCGCAGCAGTGCGACGCAGGTGGGTGGTGTAGAGGAGATAGAGGCCGCCCGCGAGGAGGAGCAGCGAGTAGACGAAGACAGTGACAAAGAGACCGCTCCAGAAGTCTGTCTCCTGGATCATCTGGGGTAGGCGGCCTGGTGGGGGTGGGGGAGAGAGAGGGGGGGGGGTGTACCAGAAGAAGGTGGATTTAGGAGAGGGCGGCCCCACCACAGGAGGGCGGATTCAGGAAAAGGTGGAACAGGAGACGAAATCCATAACGAATAATAAACGAGGGGGTGGCGGGGGCTGTGAGGAAATGGAAAGGGGTGTTAGGGTGAAGGTGGTTAGACGGGAAGGGGGAACAACAGGTGGAACTGAAAACATGCAACCTGTTGCTGACCTGTGAAGGTGAGTGGGTTAGGTGTGATGGGGTTGTGGAAATCAATCCATGCAAATGCGAAGTCTGCAGCACTGGGAGGTGGGAAGGGTGGGCAAGACAAGACGAGGCAGAGTTGAAAATGCTGAGATGCGGAGGAAAGCAACAAGGCTCCAGAGAAAAATAAATAGGCCGAGCTTGAGAGAAAGTAAGTACAAGAGAAGTGTGGGAGAAGGAACGGTCGTGGGGAAGCCAGTACTAGAGGGATGCAAGAAAAGGCCAACAAGTAGTTGAGGGATGCAACACCAGTGCAGGCAGAGTTCGGTCATCAAGTAGTTGTTACCAGTACGGTAACGATCAGTATTCTGGTCATCAGCACGTCATGTTTCCCCATACCTGTGTCCACAAGGTAGAATGACTCCTACTTTTTTGTCGACTCAAAAACCGGCCATCTGTACGTCATGTGTCCCCATACCATACCTGTGCAACTTTTGAGAATTCTCAAAAGTCTGGCCATCAGCACGTCATGTGTCCCCATACAATACCTGTATCCACAAGGTAGAACAACTCCTCGCCGTTGCCTCCCTTGCGCATGCTCCGCGCCTCCACATAGATGGATCCGTTAGCAGCAATGTCATAGGAGAGGAAGGCGTGCTGTGCGTGCTCGTGGTTGGCTGTATCGTGACTCATCACCTGCAGCAGCAGCGCTCCGTCTCTGGATGGATGGAGGACAGACGGGGAGGAGAGGAGAGGAGGGAGTGGCGCGGCGAAGAAAAGCGAGGAGGAATGCGGCGAGGGAGCAGACGAGACGTGCAGCATTCCATCAAGTTACCTGCACAGGTTCCGCTATGTGTAAGAAGTGCCTAAATCTTGATGTGCCGATAGCTTGATGTGCAAAGTGCCACGGTGTGTGTGTGTGCAAGAGGCTTGGCAAGGATGTGGGCGGTAATTGGATACATCATGGTTCGGCATTGGCAGGAACGGCCCTGAAAACGGAAGGTGACTGGCAGACTGGTTTGGATTGAAGAAGAGATAAGGGGTGAAACGAGGCGAGAAGAGGAGAGACGAGGGGATGAGAGACGAGGATAAACGAGTAGAAGAGGGAGAAGAGAAGAGAAGACGAGACAAGACGAGGCCATGCTCTCACTTGTGTGTGATGGGCTCTGCTTCGGCATAGTGCCGCCCCATGGGCACCACATGCAGCTCGTATCGCCCCGGGCCTAACCTCCAGCTTCGGAACTGTCCCGCGCCTATGATTGGTGTGCCGGACCTGCCCTCTATGTGGGCTCCGATTAGGCTGGGCAGGAACAATGGAGGGGCAAAACGCAAGGCGAGGAGGGGGAGGAGGAAAGAGAATGGCATGAGAATGGGTTTGAGCTGATGGGTGGTAACCATGGAAAAGCATGAACCCGTCGTTAACAAGCATGCAAACAAACATGCAACCATGCAAAGAATTTGGACGGAACAATGTTTGAGTCGACATTCAGAACAATACTCCTCTCAACACACACCCCGGCAGCATTGTACGGGATGTAGACGAGCGCAAAGGACTTTTGAGGCGCCTCAGATACTTTCAGCAATACCCCCCCCCCCTCCACCCCCCCTCTCAACACGCACCCGGCAGCATTGTAAGGGATGTAGACGAATGCAAAGGAGGCCTGAGAAGGGGGCGCTAGATCATCTGCACTGTCTGTGCTGTCCTTGCGCACCTGCACCCACCACGCGCCACTGGCAGACAGGAGAGCACGCGGGAGGAGAAGAGGGGAAGAAGGGCGAGAGTGGTGTATGTGCTCATAAAATTTAGCTCATAGAGTAGTGGAAAACGTTACACAAAGACTCATTTTGAGGCGCCAAAAAGAAAACAAACAAACAAATAATCTCAGAAGTCTCGTGTAAAAAAACATCGATAACAGGCTCACTCGGAGGTGGGATAAGTGCTCATGATGTTGAGGTCATTGTTCTCCGGGCCGGAATAGGAGCTGCACGGATAGGGGAGACATAACAAGGGCGGGAGCAGCAGGTGTTTGAGTCAATTCAGATATCGACTCTGTGGAGGGATAAGTGCTCATAATGTTGAGGTCATTGTTCTCCGGGCCGGAATAGGAGCTGCATCAGGGAGAACATGGCAGGGCAGGAGCAGTGGGAGGAGGCAAGCGGAGACTTGTCAGCAGCGGGAACAGGGATGGGCGACACAGACAGAGGGAAGCATGCGCGGGGGACAAAAAGGAGGAAGGGGCTGTGTCACTCATTTGAGCAGGAAGAGCATCCCTTGGGATGGATGCGCGTGTGGCAGGCGCAGAGTGGCGCCCATGTGCTGCCATGACAGCACCTCGTTGGGGTGCTACTGAGAAAGACAGCAAAACAGCCTGCCTTAAAGCACTCGTTTGAGCAGGAAGAGCATGCCCTGGGACGGATGCGCGTGTGGCAGGCTCGACAGGCCCCCACCCACACTTGATTGAAGCACAGAGGAGGGAAGGCCAGTCTGAACGCCACTCACTTGAGCAGGAAGAGCATCTCTTGGGATGGATGCGCGTGTGGCAGGCTCGACAGGCCCCCACCCACACTTGATTGAAGCACAGAGGAGGGAAGGCCAGTCTGAACGCCACTCACTTGAGCAGGAAGAGCATCCCTTGGGATGGATGCGCATGTGGCAGGCGCAGAGTGGCGCCCATGTGCTGCCATGACAGCACCTCGTTGGCATCAGCAGGCAGGGCCGAGGAGAAAGAGCCCCAGCTGGACCACGAGGAGCGAGACGAAGGCCGGTACGCTGGTGGGTCCGGTGCGTTCAGGTAGCCACCGATCCAGCCTGAAAGGAGGAATGGGGGCGGGGGGAAAGGAACTTCGTTGGCATCGGCGGGTAGCACAGTGGAGAAAGAGCCCCAGCTGGTCCAGGAGGAGAGAGAAGGAGGGGAAAGGGCGGAAGGGTTAAAAGGACCTGGTTGGCATCAGCGGGCAGGGCAGCGGAGAAAGAGCCCTAGCTGGCCCAAGACGGGCGAGACTAGGGGCGGTATGCTGGTGGGTCGGGGGCGTTCAGATAGCCGCCGATCCAGCCTGGAGGGGAGAGAGAAGCGGGGGAAGGAACCTTGTTGGCATCGGCGGGCAGGGCGGAGGAGAAGGAGCCCCAGCTGGACCAGGAGGAGCGAGACGAAGGCCGGTATGCAGGTGGGTCTGGTGAGTTCAGATAACCACCAATCCAGCCTGGAGGGGAGGGAGGGGGGAGAAGGGGACAGGACCTGGTTGGCATCAGCAGGCAGAGGAGAAGGAGCCCCAGCTGGCCCAGGAGGAGCGAGACTAGGGGCGGTATGCTGGTGGGCCGGGGGCGTTCAGATAGCCGCCGATACAGCCTGGAGGGGAGAGCGGGAGGGGAAAGGGCGGGAGCAGGTGAAGGACCTGGTTGGCATCAGCGGGCAGGGCAAAGGGAGACGGAGCCCCAGCTAGCCCAGGAGGAGCGAGACGAAGGGCGGTATGCTGGTGGGTCGGATGCGTTCAGATAGCCACCGATACAGCCTGAATGGGGAGGAGGTAGGGGAAGGGGGGGGTAAGGACCCCTCGTTGGCGTCAGCAGGCAGGGCCGAGGAGCAAGAACCCGAGCTGGCTTAGGAGGAGCGAGATGCAGGGCGGTAAGCGCTGGTGGGTCGCGGACGTTCAGATACCCACCGATCCAGCCTGGAGGAGAGAGGGAAGGGGGGGATAAATTGATGATAGGTGGTGATAGGGCAAAGACAAGCTTACCCAAACCAATCTCGACAAACAGAGCAAGAAAACACCACTGACCTTGATAGTAGGGGAACCATGCAATGGCCACGTCGATGCTTCCCTCCTCCTCTGCTCCCGCTTGCCCTACTGTGACTGCATTTGACAATGGGAGGCAAAGAGGCGGATGAGAGAGAGGGTACAAGGGGACAGGAAACGAGGAGGGAGTGAGAGAGGAGATCATGGAGTCGCCTATACAAACGGGTAGAGAGGGAGAGAGGAGGGCGACAGAAGGACATGGGAGAAGTCTTGTGATGAGAGGGTGTGACAGGGTGCGGTAATGGGAGGTTAAGGGAGAGCGGCAGAAGGACATGTGAAAGGATGGCATGTGACTGAGAGCATGGGATGTGAGTGAGAGGATGTCATGGCATGTGAGAGAGCATGGGTGCTCAGAGGAGTACTACTACTCACTGTCGAGATTTGGCTCCTTGTTGGTGAACGTCCCATCATCCATGCTGCACGCATGGGAGATGCGGAGGAGGTGGGGAGGGGAGGACATGGAGACGAGATGGGGAGGAGATGGGGAGGAGGTGAGGCGGAGATGGGGCACGGATAGGAGGAGATTGAAAGGGTCAAGGCATTGACGGGGAAAGCCATTGTTGGTGCAAGGCAAGGCAACACGGGAACGGAAAGTAACGTACTTGTAACCATAGGCCCTTGATGACGTGGCACATGCCTGTTGCCAGCATATGAAAAGTACAGGACAGCACAGGGACAGCATCACCGTAGCACACAGAAAAAGTAGTTAATCAGGGGTGGTGTGGCATGTGAAGTTCGTGTTAACTCAAAGTCATGCGATGTTTGTATAAACTCAAAGTCATGTGATGCATTAACTCTCTGTATGTAATGACAGCATGGTGGTGTGGTGTGTGCGCTTAGTTGCCCAAGCTTTCATCTTAACTCATTGCACCGCACCTCATCCCCCATCACCACGGTTGCACAACTCAGCCCACATCTCACCATAGAGACATAGCACAGCCCAGCCCATCTCCACCCAATGACACAGTCCAGCCTATCTCACCACGGTGCTGCCGCCCAGCCCATCTCACCACTGTGCCGTAGAATACGGGCTTGGACCTGTTCCACTGCTGCCCATTCAGCGCCACACTCGCCATCATCACGCCCATGTTGATGCTCGGACTCCACGCCTGTACCCAGCAAGGGCAGCAGTAGGGGCGGCAGCGGGAGGGAGGAGGAGGAGCAGGAGCGGGAGCAGGAGTGGAAGCAGGAGTGGGAGCAGGAGCGGGAGCAGGAGTGGCAGCAGGAGTGGGAGCAGGAGTGGGAGCAGGAGTGGGAGCAGGAGTGGGAGCAGGAGTGGGAGCAGGAGTGGGAGCAGGAGTGGGAACAGGAGTGGGAACAGGAGTGGGAACAGGAGTGGGAACAGGAGTGGGAACAGGAGTGGGAACAGGAGTGGGAACAGGAGTGGGAACAGGAGTGGGAACAGGAGCAGGAGCACTGGGAGCAAGAGCAGGAGCACCGGAAGCAAGCGTAACATCATGACTGGAGTTGTTGGCAGCAACACCATTCACTCTTGCAGCCCCCTCCTACCATTGCCCAGCATCTCTTGGCATCCCCACACCAGCCAACCCCTTGCATCCGCTCATCCCTCTCCTCCCCTGGCCCGCCTCCCCACCACCTGCCTTCTCCCTCCCTCCTCTAACCTCCCTCCGTTTGTCCCTTTCCAATTACCCAGTCGCCCACCCAATCTACTCCCCACCCTCCACCATCTCCCCTTCCCTCCCCCATCCCTTCCCCCTTTCCCCCACCCACCTGCACGGCAGCATTCTCCGGGTCATCCGTGTCAAACCCGCGCATCTCCATCAGAATCGCCAGGTTCGGCTGCGAGTACGGCCGCCTCGGCCCGAGCCTCGGCGACAGGTCCCCCGGGTTCCACCGAGCCACGCTGAAAGGCACGGGGCCCTGGCCCTTGATATCAACGGCTAGGAGGTTGCTATTGGTGGTAGAGCCGTCTGACAGGTGGTGTGATGCGTCCATCTGTATTACTGCGCCCGTGACTGACGAGGCAGTGTATGGCGGCGGGACGGCGGCATGGGGAGCGTCGCGCGGGGGTTGTGGCGTCGGGGTGGACCACTTGCGGGGGACTGGGGAGTGGGGGAAAGGAAGGCGGGAAGGGGGAGGGTAAGGGGGAGAAGGGAGGGGTATAAGAAAGAGAGGATTGAGGGAGGGAAGGGAGAAGCGGGAGGGCCCTGCCCTTTGATATCGACGGCCAGGAGCTTGCTATTGGTGGTAGAGCCGTCTGAGAGGTGGTGAGATGCGTCCTGTATCACTGCGCCCGTGACTGACGAGGCGGTGTATGGCGGCGGGACGGCCACATGGGGAGCGTCGCGCGGGGGTTGTGGCGTGGGGGTGGACCACTTGCGGGGGACTGGGGGGAGGAGAGGGGAGAAAGGGGGGAGAGACGGGGGAGGGAGAGCGGGATGGGGAGGGAAACGGAGAGAGGGGAGGTGGGGTACGGGTAAAACGGAGCAGGGAGGATTGAAGGAGGTAAAGGGAAATAGGGAACGCGATGGCTGTTTGAGAAATAGGAGGGGGGGGGGGGGGGGGGGGGGGGAAGGTGGGGAAATACGGGGAGATTTGGGAAAAGGGGGTCTGGAAGAGTCGGAGACGGTTCGCAAAAGTCGCGTTCTAGCCCTCTCTCTCCATACTCCGCGCACCTGAATCAGCGTCGACCCCTTTCGACAGGCATGTCAGAGATACTAGCGCCAACGCGGTTGCTACGGATGCTACCACTGAGTTAGACCACCCCATTGCCGTCGCGCATGCAGATTCCGCGCTGCGCTGAAATAGAGATTGTTTTTCTTCCTAGCCGCCTTGAAGAGGTTGTTCCGCGCTGCGCTAAAGGCTGCGTCGAGAAGGGTAACTTAACGTGGGTCACGCCGGAAAGTGCTCCTAAGCACTCAAGCTTCTCCGAGTCCTCGTTAAAAGTACTCGACAACCAGGGTCCTTGACATTTATCAGAAGTAGGCGGCGCCGTCGAAGCTTCGGAGCGGACTGAATGATGGAGAGGATGTGTGGCTGCAAGCAATGACGGTAAACGAGGACGAAGGAGTCGCCGTCACATCGGCACACTAGGCATGACGAAAGACGACGGAAAACGTTATTTCAACTGAGCAAGCGGCATGGCCCATTTCACTTTTATGTCGATGCGAAACAAACAAGCGAGCCAGAGCTTGCAAGTCGCAACTAATACCTAGGTGACAAGGTGACAGGGCAATGGAGGACATGGAGGTGCTGTTGTGTTTCGAGGTTTGAGTGTGGGTGGAATGATGCGTTCACGTTTAAAACACGCTCGGTTCGTTAAGAGTTGGAAAATACTTCTGCACTTTGGAATGTTGGCGGTGTTCTCTAGGCCCTCAATTAGATTATAACCCCTGAAGAAAACAACCTCATTCACAATAGAAACACCCTGGAAGCGCAAACTCAGGTTCAAACTCCCAACGCAACTCACAACAAAACATAGGTATCACTATTCCGTGCTGCACTGCACGTTCCCACCAGTATCGGTTACCTTGGCCCTGCTCCCTCCACTGCCCCTTTCATGCATCCAGTAGACTCCTTTCTTCCTTTCTCCACCCCTCTTTCCCCCACCCTGTCCTCCTTACCCGCTTCCCCCATCTTCCCTCCAGTATCCTCCCTCTTCTTCCCCCACCTCTCTCCACTCGTCCCCACCCCTGTTCAAACCTCCCAATAGCAAGAACAACCGCACATCTAATGATATATGGTGTCTCATTCTGTAATTCCTTCAAAAAGGGAGTAGCAGAAGGCATGAAAACGTTATTCCACTTCCAAGATGGTAAATATTATTATTATTTATATTAATAAAAAGCAATTGTAAAAATAATAACAATAATACAGAAAAAAACCTACACACACACACACACACACACACACACACACACACACACACACACACACACACACACACACACACACACACACACACACACACACACACAGACACATACACGCACCCCTGATCCAGTCTGGTACATCGTACATTATGATACAACCATACAGCATGAATAAGCTGATCGCAGATTTCCATTCACTCGACAGAGCTTGCTGAAAAGCCAGGCAACTCATCCAAGGGCAAATCCGTACCGTAATACTCTGCACCAGGCTGTGGCGTTTCCCCAATGAAGGATTCAGCTTCCATGGCAATAACGGTATCCTTCCAGACGCGAATAATGTTCTTGAACATCCCAGCACGATGCTTCAGCGAATTCGGATCAATAACCTTCACCGATCCCTTTTCAATAAGATTATTGAACTCCTTTAGGTTGGCGGTTTTCACGTTGATATTGAGTTTGCCCTTTGGATGCTGCCTCAAATTCTCCTTCGTGACAACATTAAGAGGCTTTTCGCCTTGCTTAATGCGCGCTTCATTCATTTTACCCGATCCTTTTTGGCCAACGGCGTTGTCTTTCATGGCTTGAAACCCTTCTCGGTCAACCTTTGCCTGCAGGGTCTTGAACTCTAGCTTTTCCCCAGCAGGTCTTCCAGCGTCCTCCAGCCGCTTCTGCTTCGCATAGGGTCGTTGATGGGATGTGCTTTCCGAAAAGCAAGTCTCGCCGGTTGGCTTCTTTCCTTGTTTGTAGCCGGGTGGGAACCTCTGATTTTCCACTGCTCGGTCAGCGACCTTCTCGGGAACAGTTCGATAAACACGAGTTTGAGCAGCCTTCAACTCTGCTGTCGTGGCCATTGCAAAACCAGCAGCTGCTCCGGCTATCCCACCAACAAGTCCTGAACCGACAATGTCTCCCGCAGAGCAAGACTGGCCTTCGATAGCAGAATTAGCAGCACTTTCCGCCATTCCTGTTCCAGCTCCAACGACAGTTCCGACAGCCGTGGCAGCGCCAGCTCCAAGGGGAGCGAGCACACCGCCAGAAGCAACCACGATAGCAACACCAGCCGTGCTGACTCCAGCTTTAGCCCAAGACTTTCCGCAGCGTTCTCGAAAATGATCTGCTCGATCGTGGTTTCCCTGACCGTCTTCAATGGCAGCCTGGATTCCCGAGCCAATGCAGCTGTTCTCCACATACTCCTTGCTCCACCTTTCCTCGGCCTTATGAGCTTCGCCAGCAATGCAGTCACCCAAAGACTTGCCCGCGTAGGATAGCTCCTGAAAGACGGGAATGTCACTGAGTAACCCGCCTCCCGTTAGGGCAGAACCCGTCGCCCTGCCCATACACTGGGCATATTCCTTGGCAGTCTCATGGTTCCCGTGGATCTCGTGGTGGAGAGCGACGCAGCCAGAACCAATGACACTGCTCTTGGCGTATTCGTCCCAACATTGATTTGCTCCATCGATGTCACCAGCAATAGCGTGACCAAAACTTTTCAGAACGGTGAAGGCTTCTTGAAGGATTGGAATCTGAACCATTTTGTCGGAGTGAAAAGGTTAACGGCTTGAAGAAACGACTTACAGAAGACCTACCAAACGAGGATTTTATGGGGAGTGTTAGGCGTGAGGGTCCGCGGAACCCCTTGTTCCGCCGACGAAGCGCTAGCCCGACGGACCACATGTCGCACTTGGTTTCGCGGACTGGTCCGACGGACGAGCATCACCTTTCTGGTCCGACAGCATCAGCTATTTGGTCCGACAGCATCAGCTATTTGGTCCGACAGCATCAGCTTTCTGGTCCGACTGGCATCAGCTTTCCGGCCCGACTGGCATCAGCTTTCTAGTAGTGGACCCGCAGAATGACGCGTTTATATGCGATGCGGTGGGCGCTAATTGGCGTTTCAGAGGCCTTTCGCTTAGAATGTGAAATATCAGCTGTGTATCAAAAACATTAAAAGCGATTCGTAAAACAATAGAATAAGACAGGGTTATATATTTTATATATATTGATATATATATATATAGGCAGATACAGAACGTATGTATGGTCACCAGGTCATTCTAAAATTGAAGTAGTACACCGAGTGTAGGGCGTAAAGACCAAACCCAATCGAGGAACCGCCTCAAATCCTTCTAACATGCGCTGTACCCCTCCTGGACTTGTGGTTAGGCGCCGCCGATGTCCGTGGCCACCCAGCCCGCCCTGAAACGCCGCAAGCACCAATACCACAGCCACCAGTTCGCAGTGTTGCGATCGAGTTCAAACACAGACACCTATCTTCACCGCAAGAAACCTTGGTAAACCGTATTGAAATGGACTCATTTCCTCTATCCAAACCAAACCATGTCAGCCTCAGCTTGTCCACTCCACACCAGAAAGGCAGAACCTGCAGCAGCAGCCCGTGAAGCAAGCAGTTCCCAAGGCTAGGATTTCGTCCCATTATCCCTGCTGCCGCGGAACATAGCGACGAAGCTCGCATTGGACGCTAAGAGCCGTCTTTACACGCTCGTAACGAAAAATGCAGCTTCAACAATTGGCGTTGTGCGCTCGTGCTGGACTTCAGCTGCCGGTTCCCACGCACAGACGGCCAATTCGCATGCACACATGGCGTGCCACGTGCTCCGTACGATTGTTACCATGCAACTCAATTTCGCCAGCTACCACATTCGGCGCGCGTTTTGCGAGGCAATTGCGCTCCCGTAACATAGTAGATAGCAATGCAGCTTCACGAACGCCAACCGTCGGATCTATCCGGGCTGCGGATCGAACCATCAGGGTGCGAGCACAAGCCGTCACTGTCGCCGATGATTCTTCCTCGTCTGCCTCCTCGTCCTCCTCTCCCTCCTCGGTTCCGCTCCGCGCGGCATTCTTCGACGTGGATGGGACGATAACGAGCAGCAACGTGGTGGCTGCGTTTGTAGCATTGCGTCTGCGAGACATGCCGCTGCTGCAGAAGGCGGTCTGGGTGCCGTGGTTCGCGCTGAACGTGGTGCTATACCTAATTCTAGACCGGATCGACCGGGGGCTGTTCAATCGCACGTTCTACCGCAACTATAGGGGAATGCTCGTGAGCGAGGAGGCCATGGCGGATTTCGTGCACACGAATTACCTCAAGTCGAAGTATGATACTGGAAGAAGGCGTTTTGTGTGCTGAGGCTAAAGAATGGGGAGGGGGTGAAGAAGCATGAGAGAAAGGCAGAGCGGCATGGCAGTGGTGTGGAACGAGCGGTTGGTGAAGGAAAGGTTGGGAGGATGGATGAGGCTGTGACCTTTTAAAGCATTTGCCTGTTTCTGTTACCTGGTGGACGTAGTTTCTTATCGCTAATTATTTCAATAATTCTTGTTCAGACTGATTCAATGCGTTTTTATTTCCTTGCATCCCTTAACCTGCCCCTGTCCGTTTCCTCTGCCTGTCAGGGTGTTTCCCGGGGTGCTGGAACACATTACTCGCCTTCGTACTGACGGCTTCCGAATTGTCCTTGTTACTGGCTCCCTTGATTTCCTCATTGAACCCCTCGCGAAGGATCTTTCCGCAAGTATGTATCCACACACTACTCCTCACACACACACACACACACACACACAAGTTTGCCGCTTCCACACACTACTCCTCGTAGTATCCGCTTACTGCCTGCTTGACGTACCATTATATGTATTAGCATTCACAGGTCATGAAATCAGACACAGACGCGCTTCTCTCACCTCCTCCCGTTTCTCTGTCATCTCTTGTCTTCCTTCCGGCTCTAGTTTCATTGACTCTCCCTTCCGTCGTCGTCGCTGGTATCTGTCAGGTGCAGTTTTTGCCGCGAAGCTGAAGGAATCTGATGGCAGGTTTACTGGAGAACTGGAGGGTGAGGCAGTGAGCAGTGCAGAGAAAGCAGCTGTGATCAGAGGGTATGCAGAGAGGGAAGGTATTGCGTTGAAGGACTGCTATGCATACGGGGACAGCTACGCCGACTTCCAAATGCTGCTTGAGGTGAGTGATAGTGAATGCATCTCTAAACTGCTTTATGTCTGTAGTCGAGTGTATTGAGTTATGTTGCCCTCATGCCCTCATACACGCAATGTTAAATTCCACAACCCTCCAGGTGGGTCACGCCTATGCAGTGCGTCCAGATGACCGGCTGCGTGAGCAAGCTAAACAACGAGGATGGATAGTGGTGGAAAATTACAGCCAACTTGGTGGAGTAGAGGCAGATGTTTGATATTGCCCCCTAGCTATTTTCATTGCTCACGGTTCTTCCCGTCTGGACTGTTGGGATCTATGTCACATTACTTCCTAAGCTATCTGCTCTTTATCGCGTACCGTGATGCATCTCGTCGTCAGTTGCTTGCCACGTAGATTCCCGCTGGAAAGTCGACCTTTTCTTAGCTTGGCTTTCTCCGCGAAACTATCTGTTTCCTGGAGTCTAGGGTTTGAGTCCAGTCTGATATACAGAGTCTAGTTCCTATCGAACGAATTATTCAGCACGCCGTGTCTTTTCGACTTCCTCGAGTGCAGGCAGGCATCCTTCTTCAAATCATGTTACTGCGGGCTGTTGGACCTACGAAAGAAATCGCAGCGCGCTGATACCGACGTTGTGGTGTTTTCCGAGGCTTCTTCTCCCGCCCCTCTCTGCCCTGGATTTCTTTGAAGTTGACGTGTTCATGCTGGTTCGGCAAGTATTCCCCCTCCTTACCTATCCATCCAACCAGCCTGTCTTGCGGAGGTGCCCAAATCTCACCGAAACCGAACCCAGGTCATTCCAAACCTCGGACCGTCGACTTTTCCGAACGTAACCCGTACCAAACGCGCACCCACCAACCAACCAGCAGTCGTTGTGAGTCATCAAAGCGACTGACATGATGGGTCTCCGTGGATGTCGGTGACATTCCCAAGACGCTGGTGGGGGTCATTTCCTCACTCAGCTCGACAGGCAGGATTCTGGAAGCAGTAATGGCGGGGGTCTGATCTGGTCTGGTCTTCTGTCAGAGCGATTCACAGCTCAACAGTTCGAGTGCGCAACACCGTCGAAATCTGCAGGGCCGTTGCCCTGAGAGCGACTTTCAAGTTGTAGCAGCAATAAACTCAACCCACAGGACGTGGATGCGGATTAGTAAGAGCTAATACGCACGCGTCTACTCTATTCCCCGTTAACTTCCTAGCTACTTGTGCCTGCGTTCACGATAATTCGGGAATGATAACGTTAGCATGGCTCGCACGACAAGCTCGCAGAGCGGCTCAAATTACCCGCAGCGAGGGCTTCTCCGTCACTCTCCTCGCAGCAGCGCGAGGCGTCACCCTGTCAGCGCTGATTCTCTACCTCCTCATCACCACCTCCACCTGGCTCGAACCCGAACGACGGCCACCGAACTACCCCGTCCCTCAATTCCCGCAATTCCATGTGGACCCCGCCTCGGGTCGCATTCGCGACGCGTACAACCGCGAGCGCGTGTTTCACGGCGTGAACGCCGTCTTCAAAGGCCCGCCATGGCACCCTCCCGTACTCGACTCGTTCCATCCAGAGCTCTCTTTCTCACCAGCCGACTTCGCAATTCTCCAGACCCTAGGCCTGAACGTGGTGCGCCTGGGAGTCATGTGGCCCGGCGTGCACCCAGCGCGTGGGGAGACGAATGCGACGTACCTCCACGTGATGAAGCGCATGGTGCGGCAGATGCGCGCGTCTGGAATCTACACCCTGGTCGACTTTCACCAGGACGTTTTCGGGTCACGATTCTGCGGGGAAGGCGCGCCGTCGTGGCTGTTCGACGAGCAGACGGAGTCAGTTGCAAGTCATGCCAATCAAGGTGGCACCGGCACTACTGCTAGCCTTGGCAGCACCAGCAGCAACTCTAACGGCATCGATACTTCGAACGTCAACAGCAGCAGCAGCAGAAGTAGTAGCAACAGCAGCACTTCGCAAGACACAAGCAGCAGTGTAACGAGTGTGAGCCGCAGCAGTGGCATCATAGACGGGGGAGGCGGCATGCTGCCATGCGTGGGTTTCGCTGTGTGCATGCGACCTATCGAATACGCCAAGAGCTTCCCCGAGCCGCTTAGCCCCAGGTTTCATTTGCTGCCACGTGGAACGCTGGATGACGAGGCAGCAGAGAGAGTAGAGACAACGGAGGCGACAGGCACAGCGGTAACCCCAGAGCCGGCAGAAACGGCAGCGGCAGCAGAGACCACAGCTACCGGGTCACACAAAACCTTCCCGTTAGGGCGCGCGGAAACCCTGGCAGAGGCGAAAACCGGCGAAAACGATATGGTAACCGCCACCCACGCGTCCGAGTCCCCGTCCGGAACCCCAGGCACGAGCAGCAGCCGCAGAAGCAACAGCCAGGCCCGTCGGTTTCACGCCAGCGACCCAGACCCGAAGCAGTGCGAGCGGCACTCGTGGAGCGACTATCACTTCACCTACGCCGTAGCCCGGGCCTTCCAAGACCTGTACGAGAACCGCTGGGGCTGGAGAGACCGCATGGCGGATTACTGGGCAGAGGTGGCGCGCGCGTTTAAAGACGAGGACGGAGTTCTGGGGTATGATCTCATTAACGAGCCGTGGGTTGGGGACGAGTTTTCAAACCCCATGCTCATGGCGCCAGGGGTTGCTGACAAGCTGAATCTGGCTCCGTTATACGAGCACCTGCAAGCGGCTATCCGCGCGGAGGACCCGAGTAAACTGATTGCGTTTGAGACTGTCACGTTTGACGATGCGGTGAGCGGGCTGCGGTGGGTCCCGGGCGGGCAGGCTTGGCGGAACATGAGCGTGCTGAGTTACCACCACTACCGGCCGCCCAACGTTGCGGTGCGGGCGACCATGAAGCAACGCATGGCGGAGCGCAAGCGGCTGCAGTGCGGCGCCATGCTCACAGAGTTCAGCCTCCCGAGCGTTCCCTTGGGAATCAAGGTGGGGCGTAGCCGACTGGACAGGCTTTTCGGAAGGGGTCGCTACTTCGGCAGAGGCGTTGGTTCTGGCGGTGAGAGGCCGGCGGAACGAACGCTCATGCAGAGTAATTCCTCGGGTTTTCAACGAGCCCCGGGGTGCAGGGTGCACAGGAGATCGTTGCAGCGGACGCTGCAGCGGAAAGCGTTGCCGTGGGCGGAACGAAAAGCGCAATCAGCTGCAGGGAAAGCGGTGGTGCGAGATTTGCTGAGCTGTGGTGAAGCTGAGATGGGGCGTGCTGTGCAGACGCAGGTGGAGAAGGATGAGGAGGGGGGCGCCAGGGAACTGAGCATTACGGGACAACCGAGCAATGGAACAGTTGACCCGAAGCACAAAAAAGACGAGGAGCCTGGACCGGAGGCATGGAAAGAGATGGAGGAGTTGTTGGATGCAGCAGATGAGCACGTGCAGTCGTGGATGGCGTGGGAATACAAGGCGTTTCTCCCCATCACGGGCGCTAATCTTGGGCTGTTCCATCGCAACGGCTCGCTGAATATGCGCCTGGCCTTGCTCCTTGCCCGGACGTACCCACAGGCGGTTGCTGGTCGTATCCTGCAGTTTTTCTTTAACACTTCTGCTGCCTCTTTTCATTTGAGTTACGTGGCGAACCGCCCTCTGCCACTGGACAGACACGTTCGGCCGACTACCTGGCTGTCTTCATCTAAAGATGGAGATGCGCAGGGAAAGGACGACTCTTCAGCAGCACCTGCTGGAGTGGAATTTCGGACAGAGATTTACTGCTTCCGATGTGGGGAGGTGGGGTGGAGCACAAGTGTGCGTGTGGTGCCTGCAACGGTGAAGTGGGTCATGAAAGGGCGTATGGTGGAGGTGGAGCATGCGGTGAACGATGCAGGAAAGAGGGTGGATGTCTGGATTACGCACGCAAGAAAGGATGGACCGCCTGACAAGCCTGGAATAGCAGTCGCATGACTGACAGAGGTCAACAGTGGTGAAACGACTACACTGTATAGCCGCATGACATCTGATACTACTAAGTACTAACTTGAAACTAGTTATGGGTATTGGTAAGTATGCTAACCTGCACTGTTGGACTAGGACGATAGATGCCTCACCATGTAGGAGTTCACATTATATACAATTTTTTTGACCGATGCTCCCTGCAATGCATATTTGGCACTTACCCACTGCACCAATACAAATGGAGTCAGAATGCTATTTAGTTCTGTTATAGTACTGCAAAATGCTAGAGAAGTGTTTTCTATTGCCGAAACCAGTCTACAGTAACCGTCTTCCCTCTCGTCATTTCAGCTCTTTTCTCCTCACACTGATTCTCTCCCATCCCCCCATCCCCAAGGCAAGGCAGCCATGGCGTGCCCTCTTCCCCTCTCACGCGAGCTCTCCTCTCACGCAGCTCCCCCCACGCTCGTCGCTGATTGGCTGCGCGACGATCAGGAGGCTCCTCCCACTGGTGCTAGATCGCACCATGCATTGCTCACACTACTCCTCCTAGCTCCCCCTGACTTGCGATTAGGGTTTTGCATTTTCAGCTCAGATCTGGGCCTCGGCCGTTTCCGGCATTGTTTTCATTTTTTGCAATTTTACCAGCTGCTTAGCATTTTCTGGGCTCGCTATTTTTCCAGGCCCCATAAGTGGCGAAATAGTTTTTTCGGACCATTCAGGTAGCTCGCGTAGACTACCCTTTCTTGACGTCGTGCTTTTCGAGAATCGTCTTTCACGTAAACTCGGCATCTGTCAGGTGTCTCTTTTATTTCCAGCATATAGCACAGCACACACGTAGAGGATACTAAGTAGCAATAAGAGGCTCACATCCGATCGGCTTGTCTCTTTTCACTCGTCGCAAACGCAAGACTTGTCCCCGAGTTTTCAACTTTCGCGTTGCCGCTCTCGTGACGCTCGCTTCGTTCGTGCCAGTAACAACCACCGCACGCTACCGTCGGCCGCTCGAACTATAGATTCACCCGTCGACGTTTCAGCCTTCGTGCGTGACGCTTAACCCGGTCCGTGCGTAGCTTCAATCAGTATTTCGTCTGTGCTTCTGGTTTGGCCTTCGTAGATTCATCTTTCGTCCGAATCAAGTCCTCGACATCCTCTTGCACTACGCGTGTCCGTCAAGCGGGTCAAGGGAATATAGCAGAACGGATTAGAATTGAATGGAACAGTAGAGCCATTTACGAACAAAAGGGACTGTTATATCCACGGCGGCTCTTCTCGAATTGGCTCTCCGCGAATGCCGGCGTGAATCCTCGCAGCACTCGTCTCTTGGCGCTCAACTAACCAGGTTTCCGTGATTTTCGGTCTACCACCCTTTCACTCGCTCCATCTTCCGGTTTCCGTGATCCGACTCTTCCGTTCCGCACCTGGGGGCTTGCGCGCGCGGACTGCTGCGCGGATCCTCCGCTGACGGCTGTGCGGATCCTCCGCTGACGGCTGTGGGAATCTTCCGCGGACGGCTAAGCGGACAGTTTCGCGGATCTTCCGTGGAGTCCGCGCATCCGCCACCCGTCCGCGCAACTAGTCCCGCACTGGCGCAGCCGTTGCGGGGATGGATGGAATAGGCTGATTCGGAATACTGAGGGGCCTACAGGCGACTACTCTTGGCGATAGGTTTCGCGAGAGGCCAAGAAAGCAATCATTTCGGCGAAAAGTGGTGACGTGTGCCGTGTGCGGTGGTGACGTGTGCCGTGTGCGGTGGTGACGTGTGTGTGCGGGTGTGACGTGGCCCTGTTCCTGGCGGCTGCTGCAAGCTTCAGTAAGCCAGACGGTACGGCGTTAATAGGAAGGCAGACAGGCAGGCAGGCAGCTCGTGTTAATAGCAGCTTCCAGTCTAGCAGTTAATAGGATCACTGGATTGACTTCTGAGAATTTTCAAAAAGATCACAACGGTACCTCGTACTCATTCGCTGTCTAATCTCCGCTCCTCCGCCTTTGCTTTCCGCCTTTTGCCGCGAATTTTCGCGCCCCTCACCCCGCTGCTCGCCTCCCGTTCTTCCCTCACTCCGTTCTACTACTTTCCTTCCGCGATCTACCTTTCACTTCTTTCAGCCAGTCGTTTTCGGAGGAATTCACATTCATTTTACTCCCTCTTCCTGTTCCCTTCCTCCTGTCGAGCCTCCTCCCCTCCCCACACTACCCCGCCCCCTTCCCTCTTCTTCCTCCTCCTCTCTTGCCTCAGTTCCCCTGGCGTCACAACCTGTGCTCGCCCTCTCTGTGTTTGCTCCGTGCTCTGTGCCGTGTGGTGCAGGTAATTTTGGTCATGGATCAGGGATGGCAGAACCAATTTCAGCAGCAGCAGCAGCAGCAGCAGCAGCAACAGCAGTTCCAGTACCAGCAGTACCACCAGCAGCAGCAGCTTCAGCAGGCGCAATATCAACAACCGCTTCCTTTCCAGCAGCAGCAGGCATTGCAGTATCAGCAGCCGCTGCAGTATCAGCATCAGAATCAGCCTCAGCAGCAGCAGCAGCTGCAGCAGTTGCAGGCTCAGGGGATGGGGTACGTCGGGGGAGGCTACGCGTTGAACCAGGGACAGGGGTATAGCAACGCTGGTGACTTGGGTGTGGCGGTGGGGGGAGATTGGGCAGCGCAAGGGGGGATGGGGGAGGCTGTGGGGCAGAAGTGGGGGACGGGCGGTTTGGCAGAGGTAGATGATAGGGGGTATGGTGGGGGAGGGGAGCAGCAGCAGGCAGAGGAGGAAGACGAGGAGGAGGAGGAGGAAGAGGAGCAGGAGGAGGAGGAAGAGCAAGAGGAGGAGCAGGCACAGGGGGGTGGGGGTGAGGGGGAGGGGAAGGGGGAGGAAGAGGAGGAGGAGGATGAGGAGGAAGAGGAGGAGGAGGCGGAAGAGGAAGAAAGAGGGGAGGATGGAGAAGGTGGGGGCGCTGAAGTTGCAGAGGGAGGAGAGGAGGGCGAGGGGGAAGGGGATGCAGAAGAGGAGGAAGATGAAGAAGAGGAGGACGGAAATGAGACGAACGAAGGTGGTAATGGTGCTGGCGAGGAGGAGGAAGAGGAGGAGGAAGAAGAGGAAGAGGAAGAGGAGGCGGAGGGTGAAGGTCAGGAGGTTGGTGGGGGGTCAGGGGAAGGGGAAGGAGGAGGGGGAGGGGGAGGGGAAGGAGAATGGCAAGAAGGGGCGCAGGACGACGAGAGTGAGGGAGAGGAGGAAGAGGAAGGGGATGAACAAGAAGGGCAGCAGGTTGCGCACGAAACACAGACTCAAAATCAAGGAGATGGGGAGGTGCAAGAGGAGGAGGAGGACGAGGAGGAAGAGGAGGATGAAGAGGATGAAGAGGAAGAGGAAGAGGAGGGAGGAGGTGAGGAAGAGGAGGAAGGGGTTCAAGACAGGCCCGAGGTGGGTGGTGATGGTCATAGCAGTCAGGAGCCATGGGTAGGGTACGGTGGAGAGGGAATTCCCGGGGGTTCTGGTGGTACGGAAGGCCAGTGGGTGCAAGACGGAGTGGGTGTAACGGAAGGGGTAGTACAGGGTGTGGAGCAGGAGGAGGACGAGGAGCAGGAGGGGGAGGATGAGGAAGAGGAGGAGGAAGAGGAGGAGGAAGAAGAGGAGGAGGTGGAGGAGGAGGAGCACGAGGAGGAGGAAAGGGAGGAGGAGGGAGACGAAGAAGAGGAGGAGCATCCGGTGCAAGAAGGAGAGGAGGAAGAGGAGGATGATGAGGGAGAAGAAGCAGAGGTAGGTGTGGGAGGGGGGGGGGCGGAATGGGAAGGTGCAAGTGGGGAGCAACCGCAGGAAGAAGAGGAAGAGGAGGACGAGGAGGAAGAGGAAGAGGAGGAAGAGGTGGGGGATGCGGACGTGGAGACGGTAGGGGGGGTAGATGTGGAAACGAATAGGGGTGAGACAGGAGGGGACGAACAGGAAGAAGAGGAGGAGGAGGAGGAAGAGGAGGAGGAAGAGGAGGAGGAGGTAGAGGAAGAGCAGGAGGAAGAGGAGGATCAGCAGGAGGAAGAGGAGGAGGACGAGGAAGAGGAAGAAGAAAGCGTGCAGTTAGTAGAAGAGGAGGAAGGGCATGGGGAAGGGGTAGAAGCGGAGGAGGACGAGGGAGAGGGAGCAGAGGAGGAGGAAGTGGAAGAGGAGGCGGTAGAGCTGGAGGAAAGCGAGGAAGAGGAGGAGGGGGAGGAGGAGGAGGAGGAGGAGGAGGAGGAGGAGGAGGAGGAGGAGGAGGAGGAGGAGGAGGAGGAGGAGGAGGAGGAGGAGGAGGAGGAGGAAAATCAGGGAGAAGCACAAGGGCGCGAGGTGAATCAGATGAATGAGATGAATGGGGAGCAGGGAGAGGGGGCAAGCACGCAGGAGAGCCTGGTTCGGGTTCAGGGTCCTCCGTATCAAGGGCAGATTGCCTTGCAAAGAGGCATGCAAGGGGACAAAAGGGCCCCTTCGCATCAGTGGCAGCAGGAGCATCAGCAGCAGCTGATGAGCCCACCAGGAGGATTAGGAGCTCCTGGAGCAGCAGCAGTACCTGCAGTACTCGCAGCAGCAGCCGCCGCCGCAGCTGCTGCAGCGGCAGCAGAAGCAGGTGAAGGAGTAGCAGCGGGCTCTCAAAGGCAGCAGCGACAGCGGCGGCAGCCCAAGTGGCTTGAAGAGGAGGAGGACGTACCGTTGTCTCACATGCAGGGGGGACGACCGGGCAAGGCAAACCAGGCAGGTCATACTCCTACTGCTGCTGCTGCTGCTGTTGCTGCAGGAAAAGCGGCTAGCGCTATAGACATAGTGGGAGGGAGAGGACGAGGAGGGCCATTGGCAGGCCCAGCAGCAGCAGCAGCAGCAGTGTTTCCAGATTCATTGGCAGCTGGGAGGGGATCTGTAGCCGCTGGTGTTGGTCGAGGGATGGTGAAGCAGGAAGCAGGGGACGTGAATGGATTTCCAGGGATGAGCCACCAGCGGCACCACCTTGCTTCTCCTGCTTCTCGTGCTGCGGCTGATGCGGCCAGCATCAGCGCCGGGGCTGGTGCTGATGCAGGGAAGAGAGGGGAAAGAGCAGCGTTAGGCGGCCAAGGATCCTCTGCCAAGGCTGAAGTAGTAGATGGTCCGTCTAGTCCGTCTAGACCCTCCGTGCCCGTTTTCACCCCCGCTGGCGGAGATACAAGTCAGTCTAAAGAAAGTGCTTTCCATGCTGCTGCTGCTGCGGCTGCGGCTGCGGCTGCGGCTAGCGGCGCCACCGGTGGAAGGAATGAGCTGGTGGTGTCGAGGGATCGTGCGAGGTTGGATGCAGCGGTTGCAGCAGCAGGCGCGCTGGAGCTCTGTCCTGGCGTGCAGCTGCGTATGCTGCCTGATTATGATGATATAGCCCCCAGCTTGGGTCTTCCAGGCTATGCGGACGTTTATCTGGATGAAAGGGCGTTGAATCCTAGTTTGGGACCCGGGGAACTTGCTTCTGTGGTCCTGGCGGGGGTTATTCAGAAGGAGAAGGAACGGCGGGAGTGGGAGGTGAAGGAGAGAGTGGGGAAGGAGCTGGAGAGATTAGAGGGAGAGAGGATGGAAAGGGAGAGGTTAGAGAGGGAGAGGTTGGAGCGGTTGGAACAGGAAAGGAAGGAAAGGGAGAGGAGGGAGAGGGAGAGGAGGGAGAGGTTGAGGAGGGAGCAGGAGAGGAAGGAGAGGGAGAGGAAGGAGAGGGAGAGGAAGGAAAGGGAGAGGAAAGAGAGGGAGAGGATAGAAAGGGAGAGGAAGGAGGCTGAGAGGAGGGAGAGGGAGAGGAAGGAACGGGAGAGGAAAGAGAGGGAGAGGAAGGAAAGGGAGAGGAAGGAGAAGGAGAGGAAGGAGAGGGAAGAGAGGGAGCGTCAGAGGTTGTTGGAGTTGGAGAGGAAAAGAGAGGAGGAAAGGAGAAGGGAGGAGGAGAGGAAAAAGGAGGAGGAGCGGCAGAGGCAGTTGGAATTGGAAAGGCAGAGGGAGGAAGAGAGGAAGCGACAGTTAGAGCTCGAACGGGAGCGAGAGAGGGAGAGAGAGAGGGAGAGGCAGCGGGAATTAGAGCGAGAACGAGAGAGGGAACGGCAGAGGCAGTTAGAGATACATAGGGAAAGGGAGAGGGAGCAAGAGAGGGAGAGAGAGAGGGAGCGGCAGCGAATAGCAGAGGAAGCAGCGGCTGCTGCGGCAGCGGCGGCGGCGGCGGCAGCAGCAGCAGCGGCTGCAGCAGCAGCAGCAGCGGCTGCAGCAGCAGCAGAAGAGAGTGGTGGGGCAGATCAAATGAAGTTCTGGGGAGCTTCCAGAACGAGGGGGTCTAGATCTGGTGTGGGTGAAGGGGAAGAAGCAGGTTTTCCCAAAAGCTTTCCTGAGAGGGGGAGAGGCGAGTGGAATGCAGATATGGCCGCTCAGTACGGCAGCTTGCAGCAGCATGAACAGCAACAGCAGCAGATGCAACAACATCAACAGCACCAGATGGCTGCAGGTATGTCAGCCCATTCAGGTATATCAATTGGCAACCCATGCAGGGATGCCAGCTGTCAACTTATGCTGGTTTGCATGGATGAATCATGAAATCTCACATTGCACTTCTGGTGTAAGGTGTCACATCTCATCAAGATACGGTCGGTAGGCGCTTCAGCAGTAGCAGGGGAAAAGGCATGCTCTTTCGTGCTCCCATTTTGGTTACCTCCCATTTTCACCCATTCCTTAAGCAATGTCTCTGGCGCTTGGAATGTCCCCAAAGATTCTCATGGAGAGATCTGTCCCCTCTCATGCGGATGCGACTGACTGCTCCGTTCTTTTCCTTCGACCAGAAAACAGAAAACATACCATTCTCTGGTTTCCCGTCTTCTCGTCTCCCGTTGCTCGTCCTGTTGTGAAACTTGTGGCAGGGTTGGCGCTGGGTTTGCCGGTGCAGGGAAGTCCCGGTGATATGCAAGGGCGTGCCTCTGCTGCGCTGGGGGGAGCTGGGTTTGCAGCAGGCATGCAGCAGCAGCAGCAGCAGCAGCAGCAGCAGCAAGCGGGGATGCTTGTGCAAAAGCAGGGTAGGCCGTCTCTAGACGCTGTTCTGGCAGCAGCAGTGGCAGCAGGGAGTAGCACTGATGGCACAGCAGGTGCAGGAGCAGCAGACGCAGCAGCAGCAGCAGGGGGGGCAGCAATGCAGCAGTTTTCCCTGGGCGCGCCAGGCTCTGCCACCCCCTTCCCGCAACAACCCACACCACCATCCGCCCTCACCCCTCCTCCGCTCTCCGCCCTCTCCGCCCCACCGCCTTCCAAACCTGGCGAAGCCGGCGGGCCTGTGACAGGGATAGTGCAGGGGAAGCGTGGGGTGGTGGGTGGGGGGAGGAAGGTTCTGTCGAAGGTGGAGCAGGAGGCAGCGCTGCTGAAAGAGATGGAGAAAACGGCCAAGGCATGGAGCTCCATGGTGCGAAAGGACCTGCTGAAGCACCACCGGCTGTTTGTGATGACGCACAAGAAGCAGTCGCTGGACTGCAAACGCACCGCTGAGCTGTGCCAACGGGAGGTCCGTGCACGCGTGACGCGGTCAGTCAAGGCGGCTAAAGGCGCGCCACTGCGTATGAAGCGGCTGGCCCGGGATATGGTGCTGTTCTGGCGGCGGTACGACCGTGAGCAGACTGAGCTAAGGAAGAGGGAGGAGAAGGAGGCGCTAGAGGCGAGGCGGAGGGAGGAGGAGCTCAGAGAAGCGCGGCGGCAGCAGCAGCGGCTGAATTTCTTGCTCACACAGACGGAGCTGTACTCGCATTTCATGCACTCCAAGGTTGCGCCGGGAGGCGGGGCGGCCGGTGGTGCTGGGGCGAAAGCACGTGCAGCGGCGACTGCTGCTGGTGGTGGTGCTGCTGCTGGTGCAGCCGCTGGTGCTGGTGGTTCCGGCGCTGGTGGGGGAGGAGAGGGTTTGAGTGCGGAGGAGGTGGAGGAGAACGAGAGAATGGCGGAGGAAGCAAGGTTGGCTGCGGTGCAAGCGGCGAGTGAGCAGCAGAGCCGCACGAATCTGTTTGACTCGGAATCGAGGCGGCTGCGAGGGGAAGGGGGAGAGGGGGAGGGGGAGGGGGAGGGGGAAGAGGAGGATATGGGGGCGGGCAGGGAAGGGGAGGAGGGCATAGCTGCAGATATGGATCTGCTGAACCCGTATGTGTCTAATTTAAATTATTACAATTGCTTTTCCTAAACCCTCTCCGCTCCGCATACCAGCTTCCTCTCCCACACACCCTCCCCCCTCAAAGTCCTCCTCACCCCCCTCCCCCCGCTCCCTTCCTCCCCTGTTGTCTCTAGCTAATTTTCTCCCCTGCTGCCCTCTCATCCCTGGTTGTTCTGCTTCACATGGCAGGTCCACAATGCCGGAAGCATCAACAGTGACGCAGCCAAGCATCTTCCGAGGGCGGCTGAAGGAGTACCAGTTAAAGGGGCTGCAGTGGCTTGTCAATCTCTACGAGCAGGTGCGCTGGTGCTGTGCTGTGTGTGTGTGTGTGCGTCTGTATGCGTGCGTGCGGTTGCTGGCGCCAAAATTGGCTGGCTGAAGGAGTACCAGTTAAAGGGGCTGCAGTGGCTTGTCAATCTCTACGAGCAGGTGCGCTGGTGCTGTGCTGTGTGTGTGTGTGCGTCTGTATGCGTGCGTGCGGTTGCTGGCACCAAAATTGGCTGGCTGAAGGAGTACCAGTTAAAGGGGCTGCAGTGGCTTGTCAATCTCTACGAGCAGGTGCGCTGGTGCTGTGCTGTGTGTGTGTGTGTGTGCGTCTGTATGCGTGCGTGCGGTTGCTGGCACCAAAATTGGCTGGCTGAAGGAGTACCAGTTAAAGGGGCTGCAGTGGCTTGTCAATCTCTACGAGCAGGTGCGCTGGTGCTGTGCTGTGTGTGTGTGTGCGCGTCTGTATGCGTGCGTGCGGTTGCTGGCACCAAAATTGGCTGGCTGAAGGAGTACCAGTTAAAGGGGCTGCAGTGGCTTGTCAATCTCTACGAGCAGGTGTGCTGGTGCTGTGCTGTGTGTGTGTGTGCGCGTCTGTATGCGTGCGTGCGGTTGCTGGCACCAAAATTGGCTGGCTGAAGGAGTACCAGTTAAAGGGGCTGCAGTGGCTTGTCAATCTCTACGAGCAGGTGCGCTGGTGCTGTGCTGTGTGTGTGTGTGTGCGTCTGTATGCGTGCGTGCGGTTGCTGGCACCAAAATTGGCTGGCTGAAGGAGTACCAGTTAAAGGGGCTGCAGTGGCTTGTCAACTTCTACGAGCAGGTGCGTGCGTGCGCTGGTGCTGTGTGCGTGCGCGAGCACTCTCTTTGAGGTTCACTAGCCACTGGTAGACGTTTCCTTGCATGCTTTTTCTGGAGGAGTATCAGCTGACGGGGCTGCAGTGGCTTGTCAATCTCTACAAGCAGGTGCGTTGGCCTGGCACTGCCTTTTTGCTGGTCTTTTCGTTTGTTGGTCTTTCTTTCGTATGTCCTGTGCTCCCAATACGCTCGATCCTCTTTCTCACTCACTCTGTCCCTTTTGTCCCAACCTCGCCTTTTACCCTCACGCACTTCCTTAACGGGTCACCTTTTGCTGGTGGGGACCCCTATTCCCCACCCCCCCCTCCTTACCCCAACCCCCATCAGGGCCTGAACGGGATTCTGGCGGATGAGATGGGACTTGGCAAGACCATTCAAGCCATGACCTTCCTTGCTCATCTAGCTGAGGTGCGTGCCGTGCTGCTCAGCTGTGTAGTAAAGTAGTAATGACTGTGTGTTTTCAGACGTCTCTCAGCTGTCTCTCATGCCTTTCGTCCGGTACTCTGCTTCCCTCCGTGGCCCGTTTGACCTGTGCACATACTCAGCCTCACCTGCTCTGCTCTACCTCTGCCCGCTCTGCACCCGCTTTTCTCCCTTTCCCCCCTCCGTCTGCATTCCCCGATTTCCCGTCCGCGCTCGGCGGCCATCCTGTATTATGCATGTAATGCATGTAATGCATATATCGCATTTTATGCATATCATGCATCATGCGTGCAGGAGAAGGGCATCTGGGGACCCTTCCTTGTGGTGGCGCCAGCGTCGGTGCTCAGCAACTGGGCGGACGAGCTTGCACGGTACGGTGTAGTCTACTACCTGGCTGCTCTGGTATGCAATATGCCATGCCATGCCATGCCATGCCATGCCATGCCATGCCATGCCATGCCATGCCATGCCATGCCATGCCATGCCATGCCATGCCATGCCATGCCATGCCATGCCATACCATGCCATGCCATGCCGTGCCGTGCCTGACAAGTTGGCTTCATCGCTGAGCTTGAGTCTTCCTGTCGATTCTTGTCGTGCAAAGATTTTCACGACGATCGGCACAACATCCATACTGACCACCCTACTAAACCTTCCCATTCCTCCTTCTCGCCCGTCTGCCCATCGGGTCAGGTTCCTGCCGCAGTTCAAGGTGCTGCTGTACTGGGGTGGGCTGTTAGAGTGCAGAAACATCCGCCTTTTGAGAGACTGCCTCTCTCCCTCCCTCCCTCCCTCCTACCCACCTGTCGGTCAGGTTCCTGCCGGAGTTCAAGGTGTTGCCGTACTGGGGAGGGCTGCCAGAGCCCACAGTGCTGCTGCACAATGTCATCCATGCTAAGAAGCTCCGTCCCCCTCCCCTCCCACCCTCCCACCCTCCCACCCTCCCACCAACACGTCCATCCGCCCTGTCAGTTTCCTGCCGGAGTTCAAGGTGTTGCCGTACTGGGGAGGGCTGCTAGAGCGCACGGTGCTGCGCAAGATTTTCCACCCTAAGAAGCTCCGTCCCCCTCCCTTCCCACCCTCCCACCCACACGTCCATCCGCCCGTCGGGTCAGGTTCCTGCCGGAGTTCAAGGTGCTGCCGTACTGGGGAGGGCTGCCAGAGCGCAGAGTGCTGCTGCACAATGTCATCCATGCTAAGAAGCTCCGTCCCCCTCCCCTCCCACCCTCCCACCCTCCCACCAACACGTCCATCCGCCCTGTCAGTTTCCTGCCGGAGTTCAAGGTGTTGCCGTACTGGGGAGGGCTGCTAGAGCGCACGGTGCTGCGCAAGATTTTCCACCCTAAGAAGCTCCGTCCCCCTCCCTTCCCACCCTCCCACCCACACGTCCATCCGCCCGTCGGGTCAGGTTCCTGCCGGAGTTCAAGGTGCTGCCGTACTGGGGAGGGCTGCCAGAGCGCAGAGTGCTGCTGCACAATGTCATCCATGCTAAGAAGCTCCTCCCCCTCCCCTCCCACCCTCCCACCCTCCCACCAACACGTCCATCCGCCCTGTCAGTTTCCTGCCGGAGTTCAAGATGTTGCCGTACTGGGGCGGGCTGCCAGAGCGCACGGTGCTGCGCAAGAACATCCACCCGAAGAAGCTCTACCGCAAGGACGCGGCGTTCCATGTGATGGTGACGTCGTACCAGCTGCTCGTGGCAGACGACAAGTACCTGCGGCGGGTCAAGTGGCAGTACCTCGTTCTGGACGAGGCCCAGGCTATCAAGAGCGCTGGCAGGTGCGTGCTGATCTGCTCGTTGATGAGTGAGTGAGTGAGTGAGTGAGTGAGTGAGTGCGTGAGTGAGTAAGGTGCCAGTGCACTGTGTGTCAAGTGGCAGTACCTGGTTCTGGACGAGGCCCAGGCCATCAAGAGCGCTGGCAGGTGCGTGCTGATCTGCTCGTTGATGAGTGAGTGAGTGAGTGAGGTGCCAGGACACTGTGTGTGAAGTGGCAGTACCTGCGGCTGCGGCAGCACCCCCCTTCACCCACCCCCTCCTCCACGTCCAGCACTCAGCGGCGCACGCTGCTGTCATTCTCGTGCTGGCACTTTTTTCTTCTGCACTGTGTCTTAGCATCATTCTACTCCACCCACCTCCTCCGCAACCCCCACTCCACCCCTCCTCCACGTGCCGCATCCGGTGGCGCACGCTGCTGTCGTTCTCTTGCCAGCACTTGGTCTTCTTCAGCACTGTGTCTTCTATGTTCACCACTCAATCCCAATACACAATGCACCTCCTCCCCACCCCTCCTTCACGAGCAGCATCCGATGACGCACGCTGCTGTCGTTCTCGTGTTTTTTAAGCATTCCATTCCATCCCGCCTCCTCCCCAACCCCCTCCCCCACCCCACCCCCCCTCCTCGAGCAGCATCCGGTGGCGCACGCTGCTGTCGTTCTCGTGGCATTGAAACATCCTATCCTGCCTGTCTCCTCCCAACCCCCCCCCCCCCCATCCCACCCCCGCTCCACCGTTCAGCATCCGGTGGCGCACGCTGCTGTCGTTCTCGTGCCGCAACCGGCTGCTGCTGACAGGCACGCCCATCCAGAACTCCATGGCGGAGCTGTGGGCGCTGCTGCACTTCATCATGCCCACGCTCTTCGACAGCCACGAGCAGTTCAGCGAATGGTTCTCCAAGGGGTGCGTGCGTCTGTGTGTTTGGGAGGGGGGTCGGAGGGGGGCAAATGGGGAGGGGGGAGCAGTGAGGACGGGGGAGGGGAGGGGGCAGGAGAGGGGTCGGAGAAGAGCGGGCAGGGAAACGGGAGCAGACCTGGTTTGTGAAAGGATTGGTATTTGTGTTACATCTCTTGCCCATCCAACAGCCATGCCCACCTCTGTCCCCCTCTCCTTCCTCTCCGATTTCCTCCTCACTCTCCACCATCCTTGTCGTAACCCAACACCCATCCTCTCCCTTTTCCCCCTCGCTTTCTTTGTCTTGCCCTCTCCCTCTTCCCTCTTCCCGTGTTGCTTTCTCCCCGTGGAGTAGCATTGAGGGCCATGCGGAGCATGGAGGGCTGCTCAATGAGCATCAGCTCAGCCGTTTGGTAAGCATCCTGCCTGCCTGCCTCGCACACCCTCTGCATTGCTCGGCCTGTGATTTCCTTCCCACTCCCACTTCTGCGTACCGGTTCTGGTTCCTACTTGCTGTTCCCACTTCCGGTTCCCACTTCTTGCTTCTGACGACAAGATATGCGTGTGTGTGGTTTCACCCGTTATTCCCTGTTCCCAGCACACCATTCTGAAACCATTCATGCTTCGGCCATTGTGTTCCCGATCCCCCGCCCTTTTCTCCCGCTTTCCCAAACCCCTCTGTCCCAAATCTCCCTCCCATGTGCCCCTCACCCCACCTACAGCACGCCATCTTGAAACCGTTCATGCTGCGGCGCGTGAAGAAGGATGTGGAGACGGAGATGAGCGGCAAGAAGGAGCTCGTGGCGCCGCTTGAGTTGACCCACTAACCTAGTTCATTCCCATTAACCTGATTTTCTTCCCTCCCATGCGCCCCTCACCCCACCTACAGCACGCCATTCTGAAGCCGCTCATGCTGCGGCGGGTGAAGAAGGACGTGGAGACGGAGATGAGCGGCAAGAAGGAGCTCGTGGTGCCGCTTGAGTTGACCCACTAACCTAGTTCATTCCCATTAACCTGATTTTCTTCCCTCCCATGCGCCCCTCACCCCACCTACAGCACGCCATTCTGAAGCCGTTCATGCTGCGGCGGGTGAAGAAGGACGTGGAGACGGAGATGAGCGGCAAGAAGGAGCTCGTGGTGCCGTGCAAGCTGCGCGCGCGGCAGCAGGCGCTGTACCGCGCGGTGAAGAACAAGATCTCCATCGCGGACCTGTTTGACAGCGTGGGCGGGCAGATCAACGAGAAGAAGGTTCTGCACCTCATGAACCTCGTCATCCAGCTCCGGAAGGTGGGTGGTGGGAGGTGGGCACAGGAAGGTGTGTGATGGGAGGTGGGCACAGGAAGGTGAGTGATGGGAGGTGGGCACAGGAAGGTGTGTGATGGTGTGGTGGTGTGGGAGGAGGGCGTTTGGGGCGACTCAAAGATCAACAGGAAGAAGGTTCTGCACCTCATGAACCTCGTCATCCAGCTCCGGAAGGTGAGTGACTGAGGTTTGATGTCCCTTTCTAGGCGTTGGTGTGGGTAGTGGAACTTGTGAGGGTCCGAGTGGTACAGACGCAGTCACCCATCTCAGGAAGGTGAGCGGTTGGGGCTCTGTTCCTAAAGGACTCGTCCGAAAGGAGGGGAAGGCAGCACGCACTGTACCGCGCGGTGAAGAACAAGATCTCCATTGAATGAAGGGGCCTCGTATCATGTGCTTCCAAAATCGTATCTCTTCTCATTTATCCTGTTGCTGGCAGGAGAAGAAATGAAAGTTTGACATTCGATTTTCTTACTTTGAGATTTACGACAACCAGTTCACAGACCTGCTGGCTACTCCTGACATCTTGCTCTAGCCAGCAGGTCTGTGATCCGGTTGTTGTAAATCTCAAAGTACATAACTCGAACGTCAATTTTTCGTTCTTCTCCTGCCAGCAACAGGAGAAATGGTCGTGAGAAGGGATACATTTTTGGAAGTACATAAATGAGGAACTAAGATACGATTTTGCTTAGGAAGGTGTGCAATTGGGTTCTCAATTGTAAGAGCTAAGCACCAGTTCACTTCCATTTTGTACCATCTCCCATTCTTCCCCCCCGCTTTTCTTGCCTACCTCCCCATCGCAACCCCACTCCTCGTGCCCACCCCCCTCTTCCAGGTGTGCAACCATCCAGAGTTGTTTGAGCGCAACGAGGCAGCGGCGTTTTCTTACTTTGCCACCATCTCCTGTACTTGCCCCATCCCCTTTCCTCTCATCCCTCTCTTTCGCTCATCCTTCCCCCCCCCTCTCCGCCTTCCCTCCTCCCCTCTTCCAGGTGTGCAACCATCCAGAGTTGTTTGAGCGCAACGAGGCAGCGGCGTATTCTTACTTTGCCACCATCTCCTGTACTTGCCCCATCCCCTTTCCTCTCATCCCTCTCTTTCGCTCATCCTTTCCCCCCCCCTCCGCCTTCCCTCCTCCCCTCTTCCAGGTGTGCAACCATCCAGAGTTGTTTGAGCGCAACGAGGCAATGCAGCGGCGTATGTCTACTTTGCCACCATCTCCTGTTCTTGCCCCCTCCCCACCTCGTCTCGGCCATTTTTCCCACCATCCCCGCGCATCCCTCCAGGTGTGCAACCATCCAGAGTTGTTTGAGCGCAACGAGGCAGCGGCGTATTCTTACTTTGCCACCATCTCCTGTTCTTGCCCCCTCCCCACCTCGTCTCGGCCATTTTTCCCACCATCCCCGCGCATCCCTCCAGGTGTGCAACCATCCGGAGTTGTTTGAGCGCAACGAGGCAGCGGCGTATTTCTACTTTGCCACCATCTCCCCGCCGCTGCAGCCCCCGCCGTTCGGGGAGCTTGACTGGGTGCCGTACAGCGGCCGCCACAACCCCATCACATACACGGTATGTACGTATGCATGCTCGGTGACTTTTGAGTCGACTCAAAAGTCACCTCTACAACCCCATCACATACACGGTATGTATGTATGCATGCTCGGTGCTAGTTGATGCCACGGCACATGTTCTCTTATTGAGGCGCCTCAAAAGCCCCCGCCGTTTGGGGAGCTTGACTGGGTGCCGTACAGCGGCCGCCACAATCCAATCACATACACGGTATGCACAGGATGCTTTTCTTTTCGTTTTGGCCGACATTGCGAACCACTGCAGCAGTCCCGTCACTTTCACCGGTAGGTATGCAGGGTCCTTTTGAGGCGAGGCGTCTCAAAAGGTTGCTGTACTGCAACGCCATCGCGCACAGCACAGCACAGTATGCTTAGCACACCTTTCTTCAAGGTTTATGACTGAAAATGCGCACCTGCCCACCCCGTCACCCCATGCTTGTACCTTGTTGTACCCCGTGGCACAGACAGACAGACATACTCCCCTAAAGGCACAAGGCCGATCATCCCCACGCTTCAGAAAGAAGCAGACGCAAGGCCGATGAAAGAAGCAGAATTAGACTCTCATTCTTTCATCTCTTCGTCTCCCCGTGTTCCCGTGTTCCATCACTTCAGGTCCCCAAGCTTCTCTACCGTGAGTGCACGCCAGCACTCCCTCCCACCTCCTCCGGTGTCTTCCAGGGCTTCGCAAACAAGTGGCTGTACCACCAACTATCCATCTTCTCCCCCCTCCACATCCACCACTCCCTCTTCCCCCGCTCTCCCCCCTCCTCCTCCTCACCATCCTCCTCCTCCTCTCCTTCCTCCCCCTCTTCCCCCTCCGCTTCTTCAGCCACTCACCAGTCCCTTACAGTGCTGCGCCTCCCCTCTCCCTCCTCTCCATCCGCCTCTTCTTACTCTTCCACCCCCTCTGCCGTCTCCCCATTCGGGTTTCTCCGCTTGTTGGATCTAGCGCCTTCTGATGTCTCCTTCCTAGCTCGTGCCACGGCCTTTGAGAGGTCTGTTGCGGGGGAGTTAATGAGGCAAGCGGGGTGTGCGCAGGTGTTTATGGGGGAGGGTTCAACTGACTGGCTGGATGATTGGGAGGAGGATTGGGCGGTTGGGAAGCGGAGGGATGTTGAGGAGGAGAAAGAGGAGGCGACGGAGGAGGAGGAGGAGGCAGAGAGGGGAAGAGAGGAGGAGGGGATGGAGGAGAGGTTATTGGCTGTACATAGACTGTTGTGTGTGAAGCCGAGAGGGCAGGGGGCTGTGTTGAGGAGACGAGAGCACTGGTTAAAGAAGGTAGAGGAGAGACGATTCAGCGACAAAGAGGAGAGAGGTGTGAGGAAGGAGAAGCAGGAAGGGGAGAGAGTCCCGAGAGAAGTGGTAACGCAGGTGGGAGAGGAAGGGGTGGGCGGGAGGGTAGGGGAACGAGGTGAGGGGGGAGAGCGGGTGGAAGGGAGGAGTGGGGAAGATGTGGAGCGGAGTAACGAAGGGCGGCAGGAAGGAGTAGATGTTAAGAAAGAGGAGGAGGATGTGGTTATGGAGGAGAGGAGAGGAGGAGAGGGGAAGGAGAGCGATAAGGAAAGAGATAGGGAAAGGGATAAGGACAAAAGGGGAGGTGAAGTGAAGGAGAAGGAGGTGGATGGAGAGAAAGAGAGTGGAGAGGAGGCTATGGAGGTGGATGGGGAGAAGGAGAGTAGTGGGGAGAAGGAGAGTGGCGACAAGAATGGGGAGGTGAAAGAAGAGAAAGTGGAAGAGAAAGAGGGGGATAGGGAGGACGAGAAAGCTGGGGAGAGGGAGAAGGACGCGGGAAAGGTGACGAGTGGGGGTACTGAGGAAGATGTTAGAAGACGAGAGGTGGAAGAGGATGTGAAGACAGCAGAGGTGAAAGAGGAGGCAGAGGGAAGAGAAGGGGAGGAGGAGAGAAGAGGGGGGGTAAAGGAGGGTGGAGTGAAGGAGGAAGAGGATGAGGGGAGGCATTCTGGTGATCGCCCTGAATGTGTCGAGAGTAAGAAAGATGTGAGCCTTGATAGGAGGAATAAGGAGCAGAGCAGCAAGAGGAGCAGCAGGCAGAGCAATCCGGAGCGGACTAACAACGACAGAGAGCAGACTAACAACTCGGAAAGCGCCGACTCTCACCAGAACAAAACTGCTGACAACAACGGCAAGAGCAGCAGCGGCAGCGGCGGCGGCGGCGGCTGCGGCGGCGACGGCAGCAGCGACAACCAAGTGCCGCTGCTAACCGGCTGGCCAAAGGACCCGCCATTCCTCCTCCCATCCCCCCTCATCTCCTCCTTCCCAGACCGTCTCTACAATGCCACGTCGCTCATCCGTGCCACCCGCACCTTCATGCCTGCCGTGCGCGCTCCCCCCATCGACTTCCTCTGTCATGACCGCTCGTTTGCGTACCAGCAGCAGCAGCAGCTCTACCCGCCGTGGGCGCTCCGCCTCCTGCTGGGCTTCACGCGTGTGAATGAATACTCAGGGCCGTTCTTACCCGCGGATCCCGCTGCGAGGTTGTCTGTCCGCCCGCCGGCGTCGTCGCCGGTGCTGGGAGTGATGGGGGAGGAGCAGGGAGGATTGGAGGTGGTGGGGGGTGGTACAGGGGAGGCGGATGCGAGTGCTGGTGGTGATGGTGGCGGGGGTTTGAGGGGTGGGATGGAGTTGCAGCTGCCGCGGCCGCTGATGGGCGCGCAGTTTGATGTGGAGGGGTCGTCCCCGCCTATCCAGATATTCGACTTCTCGAAGATGCTCACGGTGAGAGGGAGGAGGGAGGGAGAGAGGGAGGGAGGGGGGGAGGGGGGGAGGGGGGGAGGGGGGGAGGGGGGGAGGGGGGGAGGGGGGGAGGGGGGGAGGGGGGGAGGGGGGGAGGGGGGGAGGGGGGGAGGGGGGGAGGGGGGGAGGGGGGGAGGGGGGGAGGGGGGGAGGGGGGGAGGGGGGGAGGGGGGGAGGGGGGGAGGGGGGGAGGGGGGGAGGGGGGGAGGGGGGAGGGGGGGAGGGGGGGAGGGGGGGAGGGGGGGAGGGGGGGAGGGGGGGAGGGGGGGAGGGGGGGAGGGGGGGGAGGGGGGGAGGGGGGGAGGGGGGGAGGGGGGGAGGGGGGGAGGGGGGGGGAGGGGGGGAGGGGGGAGGGGGGAGGGGGGGGAGGGGGGGAGGGGGGGGAGGGGGGGAGGGGGGGAGGGGGGGAGGGGGGGAGGGGGGGATAGGATTTCAAACATATTTTATTTCCAAAAGCATCAGCCACACGTGCTGCTGCGTGCTGTCTTTTGTCTTCGTTCCCCACAACCCCAACCCCATCCTCCTTTACTCTCCCCCCTCCAGGACTCGGGCAAGCTGCATCAGCTGGACGTGCTGTTGCGGCGGTTGAGAGCGGAAGGGCACCGAGTGCTGCTGTTCGCACAGATGACCAAGATGCTCAACATCCTCGAGGTGAGTGCAAGAAACAGGCTGTTCTCATAGATGACTAAGATGCTTAACATCCTCAAGGTGAGCAGGGGGCGAGGTGAAAACAGGAGGTGGTGAGAGCAAGGGGAAAGGCACACAAGTACCTGTGTTGATAAATTGAATTCACACCGTTTTCTTTCTACCCTGCTCGTTCTGCCCTTATTACATCCCCTCCCCTGCCCTTGCCAGGACTACATGAACTATCGCAAGTACAAGTACCTGCGCCTCAATCGACTGTTGAGGCGCCTCAAAATCCGTCCTCTCGCCCTTACCCCCCCTCTGCCCCTGTTCTCTTCCCCCTCGATCTCCCCTCTCCCCCCCCAGGACTACATGAACTATCGCAAGTACAAGTACCTGCGACTGGATGGTTCGTCCACGATTGTAGACCGCAGGGAGATGGTCAAAGACTTTCAGCACAAGTGAGTGGGGTGGGTGGGGGGCTCTTTGAGAAATTTTCAAGTTGGAGCGAGAATAGCCTTAGACTGAGCAAAAAAGGATGGTGAAAAGAAGTACTGGCTTTTTTGGTAATTCGAGCACAGGTGGCGAGTATTTGATTCTGGCCGACTTCGCTCACTTCCCTGTGCTATCGGGCCTCTCTTCGCTCCCTTCCCGCCCTCCTCCCCGTCCCAACCCATCCCACCCCATCCCACCCCTCCCTCCCTGCCACCGCCGTGCAGGTCGGAGATCTTTGTGTTTCTGCTGAGCACGCGGGCGGGCGGGCTGGGCATCAACCTGACGGCGGCAGACACGGTGATCTTCTACGAGAGCGACTGGAACCCCACCATGGACCTGCAGGCCATGGACCGCGCCCACCGGCTGGGGCAGACACGCGAGGTGCATTAGGGGGCTTGGGGTGGGGTGCATGGGGAGGGATGGGGACGGGGGGATAGGGGAAGGAAGGGGAAAGGGAAAGGAGGGCAAGTGGGGTGAAGGAGCGATTGGAACCCCACCATGGACCGCGCCCACCGCCTGGGGCAGACGCGTGAGGTGAGAGGGGGGACGGGGGGAAGGGGTAGGGGGAGTGGGAGTTGGGTGATTGGGATGGGAAAGGGAGAAGTGGGGAAGTGGGGAAGGTGGAGGAGAAAATAGTAAAGCAACCCTTCCTCTTCCCCTCCTCCTTCCCTCCTTCCCGCTCTCCCCATCAGGTGACGGTGTACCGGATGATCTGCGGGGGAACGGTGGAGGAGAAGATAGTGAAGCGCGCCAACCAGAAGAACACCGTGCAGCAGCCAGTCGTGATGACGGAGCAGAGAGGCGCTGCTGGCCCGATGAACCGAGAGCCCTTTTTGAGCCGATTCTTAGCACCCTCCGCTCCCCCTCGCCTCCTCTCTCTCCCCCCTTTCCCGCCCCCCTCCCCCTCTCCCCTCCCCTTTCCCCCATCCGCCCTACCCCCCCTCAGGTGACGGTGTACCGGATGATCTGCGGGGGAACTGTGGAGGAGAAGATAGTGAAGCGCGCCAACCAGAAGAACACCGTGCAGCAGCTCGTCATGACGTGGCAGGGCGGCGCTGCGGGCCCAATGACCCAAGAGCCCTTCCCTTTTAAGCCAATTCTTAGCACTCTCTGCTCCCCCTCACCTCCTCTCTCCCCCATTCCCCAACCCCCTCCCCCTCTCCCCTCCCCTTTCCCCCCCCCATCCGCCCTACCCCCCCTCAGGTGACGGTGTACCGGATGATCTGCGGGGGAACGGTGGAGGAGAAGATAGTGAAGCGCGCCAACCAGAAGAACACCGTGCAGCAGCTCGTCATGACCGGCCAGGGCGGCGCTGCGGGCGGCGGGCTGGTGGCGGGCGGCGGCGGCGCGGGCGGCGGCGACGTGTTTGAGGCGGAGGAGGTGGTGTCGCTGCTGCTGGACGATGCTGAGCTGGAGGCGCAGCTTAAATCCCAGCAGGAGCAGGCTGCTGCCAAACAGCACTCGGTAGGTGGAAAGAGGGGGTGGGTGGGGCTGGGGGGAAAGAGGTTTTGGAAGGAAAGGGGGTTGGTTGGAGGGAGGGAGTCAATGGGGGGGGGGGGGGGGGGGGGGAGAGGGGGGGAGTTAGGGGTGAGGAGGGGTTTCCACCAAACAGCACTCGGTAAGTTCATGCAGAGGAACGGGATTGGGGTGTCTGGGGTGGGGGAACGGGATGGACCATGCAGAGGAGGTGGTGTCGCTGCTGCTGGACGATGCGGAGCTGGAGGCGCAGCTTAAAGCCCAGCAGGAGCAGGCTGCTGCCAAACAGCACTCGGTAAGTGCCTTACTGGAGCTGACGGGTGGAGCATTGTGGGGGAGAGGGGAGAGGAAGGGTGTTTGAGGCGGAGGAGGTGCTGTCGCTGCTGCTGGACGATGCTGAGCTGGAGGCGCAGCTTAAAGCCCAGCAGGAGCAGGCTGCTGCCAAACAGCACTCGGTAGGTGGAAAGAGGGGGTGGGTGGGGCTGGGGGGGAAGAGGTTTTGGAAGGAAAGGGGGTTGGTTGGAGGGAGGGAGTCAATGGGGGGAGGAGGGGGGGAGTTAGGGGCGAGGAGGGGTTGCAGCCAAACAGCACTCGGTAAGTTCATGCAGAGGAACGGGATTGGGGTGTCTGGGGTGGGGGGAATGGGATGGATCATGCAGAGGAGGTGGTGTCGCTGCTGCTGGACGATGCTGAGCTGGAGGCGCAGCTTAAAGCCCAGCAGGAGCAGGCTGCTGCCAAACAGCACTCGGTAAGTGCCTTACTGGAGCTGACGGGTGGAGCATTGTGGGGGAGAGGGGAGAGGAAGGGTGTTTGAGGCGGAGGAGGTGCTGTCGCTGCTGCTGGACGATGCTGAGCTGGAGGCGCAGCTTAAAGCCCAGCAGGAGCAGGCTGCTGCCAAACAGCACTCGGTAGGTGGAAAGAGGGGGTGGGTGGGGCTGGGGGGGAAGAGGTTTTGGAAGGAAAGGGGGTTGGTTGGAGGGAGGGAGTCAATGGGGGGAGGAGGGGGGGAGTTAGGGGCGAGGAGGGGTTGCAGCCAAACAGCACTCGGTAAGTTCATGCAGAGGAACGGGATTGGGGTGTCTGGGGTGGGGGGAATGGGATGGATCATGCAGAGGAGGTGGTGTCGCTGCTGCTGGACGATGCTGAGCTGGAGGCGCAGCTTAAAGCCCAGCAGGAGCAGGCTGCTGCCAAACAGCACTCGGTAGGTGGAGGGTTGGGGAAGGGGGAAGGGTGAGGTGCTGACGGGGTTGAGGGAGGATGGGGAGGGGTTGGGGTTGAGAGGCTCAGCTGAAGGCACAGCAGGAGGTGACTTTTGAGTCGACTCAAAAGTCAGCTGAAGGCACAGCAGGAGGAGCAGGCTGTCGCTGCCAAACAGCACTCGGTAGGTGTAAAAAAGGGGGTGAGAGGGAAGTAGGTATTCGATGGAGGAACTTGGAGGGGGGGTAGGGAGAAGGGTTGGGGTAGCACCCCGCTGAGCAATCATCCCTTGACTTCTTTCCTTTCTTTCCCAACCCGTGCGTCCTTCCAGGATCGGCGGCGGAGGCGTGGGTCTAAGAAGATCCGGCTGGATGCAGAGGGAGGGGAGGCGGTGGAGGAGGAGGAGGGCGCGAGGGGCGGCGAGGAGTCCGGAGGAGCGGGGAGGAGAGATGGCGGTGCGGGGGCGTCAGAGAATGTGTCAGGGGGAGATGCCGTGGGAGGGGGTGAGGGGGCAGGCGCAGGCTCGCATAAGGTGAGGGTTTGAGGGAGTTCAGTGCAGGGAGTTCAGTGCACGCTACCTCCATTACTTCCCTCCTTTTGCGTTCCCCGCCGTTTCCCGGATTTCAGTCTCGTGCATTCCTATCTTGCTCTTTATTCCCTCGCTTGACACACAACCTTCCCGTCCCCCTTTCTCTGCTGCTCCCCCTTCTCTCACTGTTCCCATCTCTGCCCCCGTTCCCTCTTCCCCCTGTGCTCCCCTCCGGCCCATACCACCATGCCACAATGCTCCCTTGCCTCCTTATCCCAGCGCAAGAGACAGTCGGATCGTCCTCCCAGACCCGGAGGCAGAAGCAAAGGGAAAGCAGCCGCAGCCGCAGCTGCTGCTGCTGCTGCTGCTGCTGCTGCTGCTGCTGCAGCTGCTGGTGGGGGTGCTGCTGGGGTGGTGGCTGTTGCTGATGCTGGCGTAGCAGTGGGCGGACGTAAGAGAGGTAGAGCTGCAGGGGCTGCAGCTGCAGCTGCTGCAGCGGCGGCGGCGGCGGCTGCAGCAGAGGCAGCTGCTGCTGCTGCTGCAGTGGCAACACCAGTAACAGCGGAAGAAGACGAGGACGACGAGGAGGAAGGAGCAGGAGAAGGGAATGGAAGTGTGGTGAGACGAGCAGGGGGGGGAGGAGGAGGGGAGGGGTCTGATATGCTAGCAGGTGCGGAGGGTGGTTTGTCAGAAGCAGAGGAGAGGAACGGGTGGGGGGCGAGAGAGGCAGTTTTCCTGGAGGGAACAGCAGCCAAGAGACGGAGGGGACCCACCCCCCAAAGAAGGCGATTGAGCGCCATGGGATGGGTGAATGATGGACGAGGAGGAGAGGATGGAGGTGGGGGTGGGGGAGGAGGGGGAGGGGAGGGTGGGAGAAGTAGAGGGAGTGGAGTGGGGGAGGATGAGAGAAGTGGTGGAGGGGAGGTACAGTGGGGAGATGGGGGTGGGAGCGTGCAGGAGGGAGGGGAGGAGAGAAGTCAGGTTCGACCTAAGGCGTTACGTGTGAGGTTGAATATGAGGCGAGGGAGAGGGGAGGTGGGTGGTGGAGGGGGGGGAGGAGGGGCGGAGGGAGATGGAGCAGGTGACTGAACTGAAGCACACATGCACAGGAGGAGGGGGGCTATATGATGGCATTGCATGCATGGTTCACGTTAGGTGGATTAGCAAGGGGTTTTTTTTTGTCTGATGGCAGCAGCCTTGGAAATAAACAAGTGGGACAGCAGCAGCAGCATATTGGTAACAGCATACTGGTAACAGTGGGTCCGCTTTATGCTGTTAGCACCCCACCGTACGCCCATCCGACCATCTTTCAGACTTCCACAGTCTCAAGAAAGCTACGGGGGATGGGAGCATCTCTTGTGTACCGTACCTTACACACAAGGTTAACCAGTACTTGTGTGATAACAGTAGTGGAAGCGTGTCGTGCATTCAGGAATTAGTGTATTGCATGGTGGTGTTGCCTCCTCTCCCTTGCAGGGTGGATGAGTTGAGGCAGCAACAGCGGAATTACAGAGACAATCATCTTTAGGCCAGTGTTTTAGCTCCAAAATGGAGAGAACTTTTACTATGTGTTGTAGGTCCATAATTCTTTCTTTCTTGTATATTCTGAAGCTATGCAAGGTGTTGAAATGCTTTGTACTATCCCTTTGTCTTGACATGCTTTTAAAAATGCAAGAATTCTTGGGGCCATTGTCAGAGTTACTGTACCCTGATTAATAATTCTGCCGTGTTTTTTCAGCCAAATCATAATCAGCCATGCAGTGTGGTGTGTTGCTATTACGTGCTTGCATGAACGACCCAACCACACCACGTCCCACATGCAACTCATATACAGATACCGTAAAAGCTCTTGCGAGTCGCTGAGAGACACAATCCGTGGTCCTGGGACTCCAGTGAGAGAGTCGCTACAAGGAAGAAAAGATCACACCATGGCTCAGATCAACGCCTCTACACCGCAGCAACCAACTTCATATACCGGTACTACGCAGTTGCTGCACGACTCAAGTCACAGCACCACACTATACCACACCACACTACACAACACCAGCAGCAGGGCAATGGAATGGCGATGCAGAACACTCGTTCCGTCAGCCGATTAGCGACTTCATTTCTCTGCCGAGCTGCGGTAGAGTGTTGGTGGCTGTGGCCGCTGCTGCTGCCTGAACCACCTCTGCTGCTCCCATCTCCACTGCCGTCTCCCTCACCACGCCGCTGTGCATCTGCGAGACAAAGAGAAAGAGCAAGGCAAGAGAGGGGTGAGAGCGGCATGAGGGGGCAAGAATTGCTGCTGCTGCCTGAACCACCTCTGCTGCTCCCATCTCCGCTGCCGTCTCCCTCACCACGCCGCTGTGCATCTGAAAGAGAGCAACGGGTGAGAGGAATGAGAGACTCGGGATAGGCATGAAAGATTTTTTGAGTCTGCTAGAAAATTGCTGCTACTGCCTGAATGCCCTCTGCTCTGCTGCCCCCATCTCCACCCTCCCTCACCACCCCACAGTGCATCCGAGAGCGGGCAAGGGGTGAGGGAGTGTCAAGAAGGCTGGGAAAGGAGAAGGGATCAGGAAGAGGGGGGATTGCAGAGGAATGTTAGCTATACCATGGTAGCAACTGGGCAAGAGTGCGCTGAGGGAATAGGACGATTCAAAGCGACAGAGAGCCTTGGTACGTAAATGCTGGTAGTGGAGTGGAGGCGGTACGCATTGAGACGCTTTTTGAGGCGCCTCAAACATCGTTTCAATGCATATGGTGGAGGTGGTATTTGAGGCGCTTTCAGAAAGGAGGCTAAGTAGTGATGCTAGTGGTGGGGATGATAACCTGACCAGGGGACAGCTGTGCCAGTGGTGGTGGGCTGGTGATGCTGTGAAGCCCACCCAGTGTGTTATCAACGGATAGATTACTATCCAAAAGTGCGTGTGAGAGTGAGAAGGCGAGGGACAGCAGTGTTCTGAAGTCAGTTGCGAGGGGTTGAGGGAGCTTAGAGAGAGCTCTTAGACAAGACAGGAGTGTGTGACAGGCTGTGAAGTGGAGCACTCACAAGAGTGGCAATGGCAAGCAGTGCCCGGTAGCGGACCTCCGGATCGGCCTCCGATGCTGCTGCCAGCTGTACGGAGATGTGTGGATAGTATGGGGGAGTGTGAGAAAAGGTCGAGTGGGAGGTATGGGAGGGGCGAGAGATGGGGGAAGGGCGGGCATACTGCTGTGTGATCAAATGCTGCTCAAGTTGCAGAAGTAGGGATGCACAGACAGCGACAATGTTGGGTTTCGAGTTGAACCAAAGTCATTTTGAGTCAACTCAACAAGTCAGCTAGTTGCAAGACAGGGATGCGCAGACAGCGACGATGTTAGGGGGTGTGTGGATTTGAGAGGCATGCAAGGGATGGGAGACGATCAGAAAGGGATGGCAGTGATAACTGGAAAGCGTGTATGACAAACGGGCGACGCAAGGATCCACGTGCATGGGTGTGTGTGCATGGACAAACAAAGAGCCTTGCACAAGGAAAAGGAATCAGAGGATCTTGTGCAAAGCGGGGAGCACAGACAGGCTCACCTCAAAGGCAGCAGAGAGGGTCTGCACTTGGCCCTCCTCCTGGTCCTCTCCCTTTGCTGCTGCGCCATCCACCAGCAGCACTGCGTAGCTGGAGGTGACATGGTGGGCGGACAACACAGCACAGCCGGTGATGCATGGCAGTACGAAGGTCAGCGCCTCGAGTGACATATGAGACAGATAGTGATGCGAATGATGGGAGTGGCAAATGGACTGGCACAAGGACGAGGTTGGTTGAATGGAGTGGCAAAAACGGTTGATTGGAGAGGCGACGGTAAATATTGAATGAAGTGTTCAACAGCAGCGGGGAGATCGGACTGACTTGAGCAGGAGAGTGGCGAGAGCGAGTCGGACGTTCTTATTGGAGGAAGAGACACAGGGGGCGAAGAGGTCGAGAACCTGAGAAGGACAGAGGGAATCGGGAGCAGAAAGAGGGAGTGAGTGATGGATTGAGGGATGGAGTGAGGGAGAAGCGAGAGGAGAAGTGAGGGGCGCAGTGAGGGGCGCAGTGAGGGGCGAAGTGAGGGGTGCTAATGGTGAGGCTAGAGAGCGAGCTTATAAGTGTCTTGGCAGGTACAACACACAGGGCATGGCATGGCAAGAGGAAGGCGACCAGAACAGGGAAATGGGGAAGATGGTGGACAGGGTGGTCAGGGAGAGCGGTGAGTACGACAATCAAGATGACTCTCACACCAAGTCTCGACTTCTGAGCCAAATAAAAAAAAAACACTTGCAAAAAAAAAAGGGGGGGGGGGGGGGAGGGCGGGGGGGGGGGGGGAGAGAAAGAACAAAAAAAGAGGAAAGGCAAGCGCGGGACCTCTGCGCGGTGTTGGCGAGGCCAGTGGTGCATGGAAGGAAGGCCAAACGCATTGACTGCCACGCGCACGCCCGTGAGGTGGTTGGCGGGTGTGGGTGGGTTCGCTGCTGCTCTGCGCATACATGCCATGAGCATGCCGTCTGGGAGAATGAGGGGGGGGTAGGGATGGGAAAGTTGAATCAGGTGACATTTAAATCGACTCAGAATTCAGGGTGTGGGTGGGTCCACTGCTGCTCTGCGCATACATGCCATGCCATGAGCATGCCGTCTGTGAGGAGAGGGGGAGGGGAGAAGAAGATGGAATGCGGAAGGTGGGTACAGAGACGCCTCAAACATTTGCTGCCCTGCGCACACATGCCATAAGCATGCCCTCTGACGGGAGGGGTGCAGAAGGGATGTGGCGGCAGGTGGGTTGAATTTGACAAGGATTCTTTTTTTTTTTGAGAGAGAGAAAAAACAAACAAACAAACAAACAAACAAACAAAACCTCTTAAAAGGGTGGGAAAGCAATGGCGAATGGAGAGTGCAATGGAGAAGAGTGCATAAGTTGGTGAGTGCTCGAGCGAGTGAGTGCACACGCACCTGGCCCAGAGGCATTGGCAGCAAACCAGGCAGCGCCTGAAGGATGCAACAGCATCATCCGCAGCAGGTCCAACACTGGGGGCAGAGGAAAGGAGCGGAGAGGAGAGGAGAGGCGAGGAGAGGCGCGGAGAGGAGAGGAGAGGAGAGGAGAGGAGAGGAGAGGAGAGGAGAGGAGAGGAGAAGGAGAGGAAAAGGAGAGGATTCGAAAAGTGTGGAGAGGAGTGGAGTGGTGGGAGCTGGGAAATGAGCCAACGTAGGGAGGACACGCGGAGCAATGCCTTTCGTGGTAAAAACAGCAATACAAACAAGTAGCATGAACTGCACCCACACGACAATGAGAGCAGAGCAGGAGGCGACTGGCAATGCAGCACAGCACGGCACAGCACAGCACAGCACAGCACAGCACAGCACAGCACAGCACAGCACAGCACAGCACAGCACAGCACAGCACAGCACAGCACAGCACAGCATAGCACAGCACAGCACAGACCTGGGAAGAGGTTGCCAGCAGGCCAGGTTGAGAGCAGGGAAGAGAGCAGCGCGTAGTGATTCGGGGCAAAGGAGGAGGAGTGGTAGTGCGAGGTATCTTTGAGAACAGAAACCAATCCGTTTAGCTGCTCCAGCTGCTCTTCTGATAGCACCACAGGCGATGGCGATGACGACGGTGGTGGTTGTGATGCAAGGGCAGTGTTGAACTCGTTGAGCTTCTTCATGATGCCGTCGTATTGCGCTGAGTCAAACACCAGGTAGCCCCTCTGGGTGTATAAGGGGGGGAGGGGAAGGGGGGGGAAGAAAGTTGACTTCTGAATTGACTTGTGCTGGTGGTTGTGATGCAAGGGCAGTGTTGACTTCCTTGAGCTTCTTCATGATGCTGTCGTATTGCGCTGAGTCAAACACCAGGTAGCCCCTCTAGGTGTTTGGAGAGGAGAGAGGGGGGGGGGAGTGGTAGAAGAGAGAGCGGATGGAGAAGGGCAGGTAGGAGGGGGAAGTTGGAGGATGGCAGGACAAGTAAAGACACATTAGAAGATGACGTGACATGACATGGCATGACATGACATGACAAGACAAGACATGACATCCTTCAACCTGATATCGCAACACACAGACTGCATGCCCCCATTCACAGACACCTGTGGTGCCGCATCG